CACTTCCAAACTCCGCCTTTACTTTATTGTACTGTAATGGTTCACCTCCCTAGTGGGTGAGACCCTTTACTTTCATGGCGTGAGGAGTCGATTTTCAGGGTTGCTGTTTCAGAGCATAAGCTTTGTTCGATTTTTCACCACATAGATAAATAACTTACAAAACACGAATTCAAAAGTGAAATATACGGGTTCGTTGTGTTTAAAAAAAGAATTATAACACAATACTTCGTAATGCATCACGCCTCTCTTTATCCTCGCTAGTAAATGATAACTGAGCGTAATTACCAGTTTGTTAACCCTTACTCGACCTGCAAGCAAGTAAGTGATAATTAAACAATTTAATCGTTTGCACAAGTGAATAAAGGGGGACAGCTAACCCAGAGACAGTTTCAGACAACCAGACACTCCCTTTTGTCAATTTTTGTTAGAGGAATCGCATAGTATGATCGGTGTTTATTGCGTACTCCGTTTATTGGTACGATAGATGTCCCTGACCTTTAGTGCTAAATTATATGTACCATACATGCCTTTACTATCTTGATCACAACTTTCTAAATACATTATTACCAACGAGGTCGGTCAGACAGCTTATGTGAATCGCGAATGAACTTTAGAGTGTCTATGCTTTGAGAAGTCGTTCAACATTAATTTTGCCTTCTGTGCGACTCTACTACGAGATTGGTCGCGTAGGACGAGCTGCTCTGGTGGTCCGCTTAACTGAGACAGAGGGTTAATGCCTTTATTTAGGAGTATGATTTTGATCCGTTTGACTGCGTGACATTTTCGTGGAGAGCACGATACAACGATAAATATGGGAGTAGCGGTTATGAGCTTCACATAAGTTTGCCGTTGGCAAAAGAGCTCATATACCTGAGTTCTCTGATTGGGATATATTATTTATTTACTAGAAAATGTGAAGGTTGACTTCATGCTGAAAAAAAAAAAAGATCCTTCAGTTATGGCCTTTCATAGTATTATTAAGTTTAACATGGACCAACAATTTTACATCAGCCGAACAATTTGAAGTTATCGCTTTCAGATATTTAGGGTGCAATACCTGTTTGGTTGGTACGCTATACACCATTTCTTCTTTGTCATCTTTACGTTTTGCTCACAACGGCTTGACAACACTGTCCAAATTTCTTCACTTTTCAAACTTTGGGTGAGTTGAGTGATCAGACCGTTAATCATATATGATATGTGACGAATGATTTACACTGGTTCTTCTCAGTGAATGGAAGGTAGGGGGGAATTTCAAGAAAAGTTTTTACAAGTACAATGTTACACTCGGTATATTCTTCAGCATTTCACGAAGCTAATTTAGTTTTATCAAACTTGCGATAAAAGATTTTCGTTGTTGGCAAATGATAACAGTAAACGTCTGGACATGGTATTCTCTAATCGACGATTCCATATGATGAGAACAAAACACATGAAGTCAAACAGTTTATGGCGATCTTTGAAAGAAATATTATACTTGGTAGGTACACAGACCACGGATATTCGTCTGTGAATGACAAGTTTAAATACTATATCAGCATGGAGTGCAACTTAATTTTTACTATTTGAAAGCTTACCTGTCACTCTTATATATATGTGAAATGCACAGTCCATATCATATTAATATCATGTAATGAAAAATTTAAGGAAAAGATGAGGTTATTGACACGAATTTACGACGTCGTGATGAATGAATAAATTTTTGCACTGACTAACCCTTCCAAGGCTGCCAGAAAAGGTCTTATCCGGGAACTTTGGCTTTATGGAAGATTGAGATTGATGTTATGTCTCAGTATTATTAAGTGAATCATCGGTGTTAATGCCTGTCCTATTATTGAGATAAATTAAATACTCTGTAAAGTTGAACAGAGACCCAAAGCTTTCTTTGTATCAACCAAGTAAATATAAATAGCACTTCTTGAAGTGCCCCAATCTTTTTTCTGTACTTAAAATAGCTTCTGTAAAAACAAATCTAATCCTGGATGTATAAGCACGTGATTGTATCTAAAAATTCTCATTCATCATCTGATGCCATGTCGAAATACCCAAATAAAGCCACTTATAATTCCAATGTTAAATATTTCAATCAATTCTGAAGCATTTTAACCAAATTTAATTTAGTCTGTGTATACTTACTTTCACTGTTTGTCGTACCAACTCCACAATTCTGTCCCCTTCATGCGTTCTGAAATGTCTCATCCCAATGGGTAGTAAGAATGTTTGTCGTCACAATATCAAACTTGCTATAAATAATAAGTTATAACACTAGCTGATCATGGGATATACAATCTTTTGAATGAATACACTCACACCGTTGATATGAATTATAATGTACTCACAACACCATTGTTAGATATCTAAGAACATGTGAATTAATGAACATATATCTTTCTCAGAACTTATAACACAATTTATTGCTCTTCTATCTCATAACATTCTCTAGTTTAAAACTTCCAAAACTTATCAATAATTGAAAGGTATTAAGTATTCGACGATCAAAAACTAAAAAAATACCAAAGAGAGATTGAAAAGTAATAATTACAGTCATATTATCTACAAGCTAACTGTGTACTTTTTATATATATTAACTACTATGACGGTGCCATCCAACATAGCGCGGAATAGAAATGGTTACAACGTTTTTGGTCCTAAATCCATATTGTTTACATGATGTACAGATGTATTAGCCACTTTCAAATGATAATGCAGAATTAATTTCAATTTACAATGCGAATTTGTTCAACTTCCTTTTCATTTATTTTTGATATAGTTTTTGAATGATGTACACCCATGTTGTCCATTGTGTTCAGTGCGTTTCTATTGTGATATCTATATGCTCCTTCATAAGCTTTTATTGACCAAGTTAAAAAACCTAGAGCTTGCTTAGCTGAATTATAATTGTTAAGTTTGGTTGTATTGCCAGCTTCTTGATCTATTTTGACTAAATTTACCAATCTATCATGTAGAACCCTTAATTTATGAAAACTCAAATGTGGTTGAAGATCTGGTTTAATTTCCTTTGATATTTTGATTGATGTCGGTTGTGATTTTAATTGTGATTGCAATGCAAAATTCTTTACCAAAGAAGATGGAGGGAATAACTTGACGAAATCAGATAGAACTTTGACGGCTTTTGACAGTCTACCAGATAACGCCAAAATGTTAATGTAAGTTGTCCAAATTTTAGATATGACCGTTTCATCGATGCCTGCGTCAACTTCCAGTTTGCGTTTATTAGATAAAATGCTTTCTAAAGGATAATCGGATTGCAACTTTAAAGTACTATCTTGTTCAATATCTTTGGTAGATTTGTCAAGAAATTGATTATACTCTTGAAATAAAGCTTCAGCCAAATGAGATAAAGTATTGTGATTTAAATAAATATGCTCCATTAACATTGCTATAGTGTAACCGTTCTTTGATAAATTTAGACTATCAAATAACTTACAAGTAAATTTGATAATCTGATCAGGAGTGTTAGAGTGATTGATACGTATACTTATGAAAGCATTTAATAAGCGATTAGTAATTGTCACGTCCTTGAATGGTTTATCGAATTGATCACTTGTTGATTCAGTTGTAGAATTTGAAATATCTGAACCTAGAATGAAAAGATCAATATCTTTATCGTGTAGAATGCGATTAAAAATCATGTCAGATTCAGAAATAATTTCAGATGATGTTTTTGGTAATGACTCTGGGGTGAACTGTTGAGATGCATCATCATTAACATTTGATAGATCTGTTGCATTAAGACTTGTGTTGTTAGTTTCATGATTGTAGGAATACCTATTAAGGTATTTTATGGGTTGCGTGGATGAGTAAGCATAGAAGAATCTCGATAAATCTTGATCACTAATTGATTGATCACTAGAGATCCAGTTGGCTAAAACATGCCTAGCTCTCTTAACATCACCAGTTCGTTTTGACAACTCCATCAATGCACTAAAAATGTTTCTTGTAGGTTTCAAACCTGAATCCAACATTTCAATGAAGAGTCTATCAATTTCAGAAGAAGTACCCTTTTTATGAGCCTTCGCGAGTGTATGTATAAGTGAAGCATAAATATTCTGATCAATGAATAAACCATAATTTTTCAATTCATTGTAAAGATCAAGAGCTCTTTCAATCTCAGGTTGATTTGTTTGTGCACATGAAGAAATCATGGTAGAATATAGAGAGATTGATGGTATAGGATGTGCCATCAATCTAGAATGTACGAATAAATTCCAACCTCTTTGTTTTAAATAACTTGGTTGATTTGATGATAAATGGGATCTGATTAAATTAGTATATGTAGCTTGTGGCAAAATAATACCACGATTTTCAAAAGAAGATAATAAATTCCAAGCGTTAGTCAAATCTTGATTAAAAGTATGAGCATCAACAAATGTAGCGTACGTTTCATTATTCGGTGTAATTAAGTGACCAAAACTACGAAAAATATGATTAATTGAACTGATCTGACCTTTTTTTGCTAAGATTGATAAAATATTATTGAAAAGATCAATATTAAGTGCATTAGATTGATCAAGTAATTCAATTGATTTGCTTAGGTGAGTTAAATCCAAATCGTTAGCCTATAGAGAGTTTAAGATGAGTCCATTGTTCAATAAATAATAAACTGACAGCTGAAGATATGAGAGTTTCCCATTCGTCTCTTGTTGCAACCTGTAAATTTGGTGCGATAACTTTATTATCAGATTTAGAAGCAACAATAGCTTCCTGAAAACGATTTAAAAGAATAGACCTCTGATTATGACTTAATTGAATGTTGTTTGACTGTCGTTTCAAATCATTGATTTCATTTAAAATATTATAATTATTTAATGTATTATTTAAATTATTATTATAATTAATAGTAGATGATTTCTTCTTTAACCAAATATTTCTTAATTTTGATGCTAAATTTGTATCTAATAATTGTGACTTAGAAGATTCTTTAGATAATTGATCAACTAATAATGATCTTATTTTAATTAATTTATTATTAATTGTTCTATCAGTTGACTTGTCAAGTATCTTCCTAGAACTATCATTTGATAGCATCAATTGCTTATATAGTAAAGCAATATCGTCATGGCTTAAGTTATCAATAAATTTACTATTTGATAGTAATTGTTTATCCTTTAATTTTAAAAGTTTTGTTAAATCTTTAGTTTGTCGTTGTAGATGGTTCATATCAAAGAGGAAATTTTATAAAAATACAATTAATAGAAAGTTCTCAAAGCCTTATCTAAAATATTCATTGACCTGAATTCAATTAATTCTAAATGTTCTATATGGTTTGGTAAAATTGTTGTCAAACTTTGAAAAAAATTTTTCCAGGTGAAATCCAAATTTTTAAGAGTTTTGAAAGTTTCAATATTCCAGCCAAGCTTTTTAACTAACTTATTGTTTACGATTAGAGTTTCTAATAAATTTTCATTTGCGATCGTTAGTTTGTTTAGATGATTTAATATCGTCCAAGCTATAACGTCATCTTGAATAGGTTCGAAATGATTCAAATCATTGATTAGATTAATAATTTCATATCTAATAACATCTAACCCAGGTGAAATTCTGTCTAAACCAGCTTTACCTGTTGATAGGTTTATAGAAGATGTTGATCTATTCAAAGCTTGAGATTTTGATGTCGTATTTGTTATACGTTTAACAATTTTAGGTATATTCTCCGTTGAAGTTGATTTACTATTGCTATTATTTAAATGATGATGATGATGATGAAATGAATTTGTTGTAGGTGCAGCAACTATAACTGATAAACTGATTGATAATAATAAAATATAATAATATATTTTCATTTTATATAAACTAATTGTTCATAACAAAGAAAGGAAAGCCTTAATATTTAATTGAAATCTGACTATCTGTCTGAGCGCGACCGTTCCAAATCAAGAACGGAACGCTTGGCGTATTATGAAAAATAAAAAAATCTAATTTATAAACAAAACATTTTAATCCTCTGCTTCAACGATGTAATAAGCAGGTGCGTCTAACTTTTCCAATCCTTTCAAGAAAGGTAATGCGACGATAAACAAGTACTCTAATGTATTACCGCCTTGTTGTTTAATTAATTGACCAGCTGCGCTTGCTGAACCGCCTATTAAATTAAATTTTATTAACTTAATATGGTTATATTATTATTCTAACTCACCAGTAGCGATCAAGTCATCAATGACGATTACGTTTTGATTTTGTTTAATCGAATTTGATTGAATTTCGAAAACGTCTTTACCATATTCTAAGCTGTACTCAACCTTTGAGCATTGTCCAGGTAATTTACCACCTTTTCTAACTGGAACGAAGGCAGCACCTAATCTCATAGCTAAAACTGGACCCAAAAGAAAACCTCTAGCGTCTAAACCAACTACGACGTCTATCTTACCACCATTAGACAACTTTGGAATTGTATGAGAGTGTAAATGTGACAATAAGTGAGTAATTAAAACTTCAAATTTAAATGGGTCTTGTAAGATTGGGAAGATATCCAAAAAGGTTATGCCTTTCTTTGGAAAATCTGGATGTACACCTAATGATTTTTTTATTAATTCTTTATCCATTTAATTGATAGTTAGTTGATAGAAAACAAACTTCTTTTTGAATAATATTCTTAATAAATAAAAAATGTGAGTTAATATTATTTCCCTATTACTTTAGTACTTATTTTATCTTTCTTATAATAGGATAAACGATATTACTTTAGCCCAGATAGCAAACACACTCGGTATTACAACAATGTTAGCAATTATTCTTTTCCACTTTATAGATAACAACAGCAAGAATTGAAAGTCATACCAATTGTTTTTTTAAATATGCATATCCTCACAATCACTAAACTAACGATTTCACGTTTGAGTATTGTCCATCCATTTCAGCAAATTTCGTCATCATTGGTTTAGCTTAGCAACCTGAATATTATTGAGATACTACTTGTCATATAACATTCTACAATATTCTGACATATGTACCGACCTCATTCATTTTAATCTATTAAAGAGCAGATTGTTCATATTTATCTATCCCATTCAATTTAAATTACAATTTAAAGTTAATTTTCTAACTTCCCTTACGAACTTTCGCGTTTACTTCTATCTTGAGTTCGTCCATCATCACATTATGGTTATATACGGTGCAGGTTAGTTCAAACTAATATAATATAATTATTTGTTCATCAATAAAAATAGATCAAGTAAGCGCTTTAGTTGCATCTGCTGGTAATTCCACTTTATCAGCAGGTTACGCAGGTGAAGATGTACCAAAAACTGTGATACCTACACATTTTAGTCATTTGAATGATAAATCTTATTTTGGTGATAATGGTCCAGATGTTTATAGACCTGGTTATCAAGTATCCAATACAATGAAAGATTCTTTAGGTATGTCATCTCTCACAATAAACTATGCACAATCTAATTGATTCAAGTCGATGATTTTGATAAATTTACAAACCTCCTTGAATACACTTTTAATGATGATTTACGCGTTAACACTGAAGATCACCCTTTACTTTTAACTGAACCTGCATGGAATACACAAAAGCATAGAGAGAAATTAGCTGAAATAGCTTTTGAGAAGTTTAAAGTACCTGGATTTTATATAGCAAACGAAAGTGTCTTATCTGCATTCGCTGCAGGTAAATCTACTGCATTAATTATAGATATTGGTTCGGATTCTACTTCAATTACACCAATAATCGATGGTTTCGTTTTAAGGAAAGGTGTCATTAGAAATAACATTGGTGGTAATCAATTAACTAACGCTTATTTGGAATCTTTGGATGAAAATCAAAGACAAAATGTACTATCAAATCTGATCCCGCATCAACTAATTGAATCAAAAACTACTGTTGAATTGGGCCAATCACCAAAGTTTAACCTGAGATCTGATACAAATCCAACAGACTCTTGGTTAGAATATTCGAAGTCTAAAATATTGAAAGATTGGAGAGAAGCAACTACAGCTGTTTATGAAAATCATATTTGGGACGATCTCAATGTATTACAGCGTCCTATAAAGTCTTTCGAATTTCCAACTGGTTTTGCTGATAACTTTACAACGTCTAGATATAAAGCGTCTGAAATTTTGATTGACTCACGTAATTTTAATCCAGTACAATTTACACCGAACTCTTTTGAACCTGCTTCTATAAATCCTAGTGATCCAAAATCAATAGCTGAATTAATTAAAGAGTCTATTCAATCAGTTGAACATGACAGTCGAACTCAATTACTCTCAAACGTTATCTTAGTAGGTGGTGTAAGTTCAACGACTGGTTTAAGTGAAAGAATTCAAGCGGAAATATCAAAATTCCATACTAATTCAAGGGTCAAAGTTCATTCACCTGCTAACACCGTTGAAAGGAAATTTGCACCTTGGTTAGGTGGTTCAATCTTAGGTAGTTTAGGAACTTTTCATCAATTGTGGATATCTCAAGATGAATGGAGGGAATTTGGTCATCCAATTGTTAGTATGCGTTGCAAGTAAAAATATATTCATCTTGTTTGACTAAAAGTAAAAAAAAAAGAGAAAAGAAAATCGATTTTAATTGTTTAACATGTTTAAATATATCAGAAGATTTGTTCAAATTGATTGTCTTGTTTTAAATTGCCAGAAGAATAGAAAATATTTAAATAAGTACGATGTTTCTTGGTATAAAAGCTAGAATGAGATCTTCAGTTTAATTCTTACGACAGCATCTGAAAGCATTCATCTTTATCCAAAAGTAAAGTGCACCAATAAATTTAAATGCTGTAATACCGAAAGTTGTCCAAAGGATAGTTTTAAAGAACATTGATTGCTTTTTAGTCAACCATTTTTCATATCCTCTAGAATCTTCTATAAATTGATCTCTTATATCATCATAATCGTCATTTCCTTCTAAATCTACCGTTGGTACCGTTGGTTCTAATCCATCTGCGCTTTGCACTATGACAACGACGATCATATTGCATAATAACCAGAATAAAACTAATCTAGATCTAAACTTCCTATTCTCATCATCCTGTGATGGCTTTTCTGGTGCTGACTTTTCCTTGACCTTTGTAGCAACAGTTCTTTTAACAGTTTCTTGGAATGCACCGTCAATATCCTTTTGCTTCATAACATTTGTTTCAGCAGTTGCTTCACCACCTTTTTCTTTCTTGGATTTGACTGCAGGCAACGCATCATCTTTATCTGAACCTTTCGTACCCCAACTAACATCATGAAGGTTACAGAAAGCGTATACGTTCAGGACATTAATAAATGAGGGAGCCATTAACAAATATTGAGGGAATGATGTAAACATATGCCAAGGATCTCCAAACAAGAAAGACGCGATGAAGTAAATACCGAACGTCGCAGCTAAAGAAGCGACAAGAACCGAATTGTCAGATTGTAAAACGTATCCCAACCTATCTATTATTGAATCAGTGCCATCAGGGAATTTCATGCCTACAAAGGCTTTGATGGTAAGGAAAATCGCTGAATAGATAAGATAAAGACCAAGTATACCGAAAACACTAGAAATTTTATTAGTTTATCAACGGTCTAAATTATGTTCATAACTCACAAAAATGAGATGTTATAGAAGACACGCTCGGCCTTTGGTTTGTTTCCTAAAGCGAAAACAAATTGACAAATGACGAAGAATGCCCAAATCCATTGAAATGATCTATTGAACCAATATGTAACTACTGGTGTACCGAACGAATAAATTGGACTATCTGATGTTCCTTCTTTGGATAGAAGTGTAATAACAATCGAGAATGTAAGCCATAAACAACTAATTGAGAACCAGGAGAAAACCAAATTAATAGTGTTGAAAATCAACTGAATGTGCAAGAAGAACATTCTAATTATACCGTGTGATGATCTATATAATCTAAAGAAGTTTGCAATTGCGTAAACTGATGCAGCAAATGAACCGTTTAACCATCTTCTTCTTTGAGAAATTAATTCCGGTCCTTCTTCTGGAACATCAGTTTCAGCTTTTGATGATTTAACATATGATAAAGTCCATCTAGCATTCTCTTTTGCAACGAGTTCGAAGCATAAAATACGATCTTCAGCCAAGAACATATTTTTTGTAAAAATGTTCATTCCATTAATACCTTTATCACCAAGCCTTTCAGCCATAGAGTGGTCACCATGGAAATATTGTTCAAGTGGCCTATCTTGGATCGCTCTATATCTATAAGCAGAGAAAGCACCTGGTAAAACAGAGACATAACCAAAGGCTGATTCAAGTGGTTTATCCAAAATGTTTGAAATCTTATACTCGAAATTTTGAGCGGCAACCAATGGATTAATAAGCTTTTTACCGCCTTTTAATTGAGCATAAATTTCACCACAAGCACCACCTAAATTTTTATTATTATAGAAAGCTTCCCAAATGTAGTAAAGTGATTTTTTATAAGGCTTTGTACCAGCATCAAGAAGAATGCAAGTTTCAGGTTGTAACATTCTACCGATAGCATTAAATAACCATCTATGAGAGTTGATCTTCTTTTGATTCTTGGCTTTTGCAACCATAATAATCTGAACAGGAACCAAATTATTTGGATCATCTCCATGTGGTACAATCAGTTGAGGTGTAGTATCTACTGATAGTTGTGTAGTGTATTCGAAAATGTGAGCTTCAGTCTGCTTGTCATCAATCTCCTTTTTCATAACACCATCTTGATAAACACCAATGGTAGCTAATAAATCTAAAACAGTTTTATCCATAGGTTCTAAACCATCAGTGATTAAAGCTACAACGATTCTTTGCCAACCTGGTTGACCACCTTCAAGACCAGCTGATCTCCAATATTTTGATTGACGAGTTTTACAAATGTCTCGAATATTCAACATAACAGCGTGAAGAGAACGTGCGTAAAGAATTTTATCCTCATTGTAAGAAGTGATAGCAATTAAAAGTTCAGTTTGTCTGCCATAATTTGAAGCTCTTAAAGACCAACCATTTTCAGTAGTGAAATCGTCTGGATCACAAGTTGCGGCGGTATATCTCAAATGAGAGAATTCTCTGGTTGAAGTGTTGTTCTTATAAACTGGTTCAAAAGCGTTCTTAACTGCTGTTGGTACGGGAAATTCGTGAATAAAGTGACCTTTGGTAAGTTTAACTTTGACAGTTTTTGCTCTATCCCTCTTAATAGTTTGTCTACGACGCCAATCAGCTTCAGCAGACAAAGCATTAGAAGAAGGTTCCTCGTATGGGCTTGAATATGGATCACCGTAAGTCCTTGGATCAAAGCTGTGCTATGTTAGTCTGGAAAAAGATAAATAAAAGAAAAACATACCCAGCAGGGTAATATGGTTGTAATCTATTATCAGCTGTTAAAGGCATCTTTGCCTCTGAATCTTCATCTAAAATAGTTGATAAGTCAAAAGGAAACTAATAGGAGTTTCACGAACCTGGATTTGAAGGTGGGTATGCACCTAAGTTAGAGTGGGAGAAAGATGAAGGTGGGTAATCGTATGGTGTAGTTTGTCCCGCGTTTAAGTTGACTGACGATGATGACGGGAATGGACTGAATTGGTCATCGGCTAAAGCAATCCTTTGTGGTGGAATATCTGATTGCTCATTCGGGTTCCTATCATTAAACGGATCTGCATACGGCCTGTTTGACATCCTGCCCGCTGTCTCTGAGGTTGTTCAAGCGAGAGAAGCCTCGACACTAGTGCACGACTCAAGTAAAATAAAAATAAAATTATTTTTTTTCGAAATTAGTTCATAAATTCATATTAGATTTATTATCTTTATTATCTTCATATCATTATTTATTTTTATATCGTGTAAAATTGTACTGTCCCTTCCATAACGCAGTCGCTTACAGGCACACTTACATTTATTTTTATTCTAGAATATAACAGATAAATCAATATCATGCAATCAAACCAGAGTCAGTCCTTCCTTTGTTTCTCTGAATTTCGGATGTTTTATACTGGAACCTATTCTTCGGACTATCACGTAACTATCTTTTTTTTAATCTAATTTCACTCTTACTTTATTTTCATAATTTAATATATATCAAGAGAAAACTAAGTGCTTAAAAGTACAAAATGAGTGTCAAAGTCCAGAGATTGAAATTATTGTTCATTACCAACCGATCCATTTATTTTTTGGTTGCTGTACAGCAGGCAAATCTATTGACCCATTCTCACCGTCCCAAACAAGACGCAACCTTTGACCTTCCTTATCTTCGAACCAGAAGATCGCTCTTTCTGGAGATTCGACTCTAATATCTGATATGAAGTATTCGTTCCTCTTTGGTGGCTCAGGTCTAACAGGTAATTGTTCAATGAATCTGAATCCAGAAGGTCCTAAAGTATACTCAATTTGAGCTAAATCTGATGGTGATTGAGCATGCTCATATAAGATAACTGAGTGACCAAGGCAAAGGAGTGTCTTTCCACCATCGAACATTATTCTTCTAAATAGATTATCACCTCCTAAGAACTTTGCTGCTTTCATTATTAAACCAGTTGCGTACCAATCATCAGATATTCTATTTGGCAAATGATGAGGAACCAAATGAGTCCAACCGTTGATAAAGTGGTGCATTGAAATGAATGGTAAACCCGATTGTAAGTAACCTGCACCTGAACCAGGTACATCAAATTGATGCATACCAGGTTCAATCGTAAGTACTTCTTCGAATGGCACACCTAAAACGTAAGCAGCACATTTAGTTAGTTTACCATCACCACCCCAATATATGTTGGCTTCACGAACACAATCCTCGTATTGATTGGCCATTTTCTGCATAACTGGAGGTGACATGAAAAGACCAGCGCCACCGAAAGCTTGTCTACCAAATATTTCTAGAAGAAACATTTTAGTCAAATAAAAAAATAAAGAGATGACCTACGTCTTTGATCAGCACCTTCAGAGATAGCACCAATGAAATAGTCATCATCTGGGTTATACTTTTGAAGCATCCTTTGAACCAGCCTTATATCAGTAAAGAAGGTGTCGTCATCACCGATACAAAGCCATTTGATACCACCAAGCTTTTTTGCAACTTTATTAGCTTCGTTTGGCACCGATAACATACGAGTTTCATAATGATCGACTTTAGAGACCTGTACAACGCAATGGAGCCTTCTAACTCTTTCTAAAAAGTTTTGTAACTCTTCCAGCCTTGACTTATCTGAAGGAGGTAAAACGACCAGACAACGAGCATTAGGGTACATATAATGCTGCCAAAGTATAGAATATTCTCTTGCTCTTTTAGCAGTAGTTGTCATTGCGAATAAGATATTCTCTGGTTGGGGTGCATCTGACGAAAGTTCAGCTTGACGTGGGAAAACGGGGATGGTATGGTTGGGGGTTGGAGGAAAAGTGTTGTTAAGGTATGGTCTGCGTATACCACCCAAACTGAGTAAAGGTTCATCGTAAGTTGGAACTGGAGTTGACTGTGTAGTTTCTTTTTCCCACGGGATAACTTCTGGAATGAGTAGAGCTTGTCTAACACGCCATACACCATGTGGTACAACGTATTTTGAAGGTTCAGGCCAAAAGAAGATTACTGCTACTGTGATTAATGCAATAAAACCGAGCGCCATTTTCTTCGCTCTAGCAGGTGATCCATAAGCAGCCGCAGCTGCAGCGGTGACTGGAATTGGGAGGCTCAATTTGCCCATCTTGGTTGTATTCCTTGAAGGAGACGATCGCATATCATAATCTGAGTGAGCCTCGCAGCGCTGCGGATAACAAAAAGGGAATTTTTGGCGTAGAAAAGAAAAATTATTATTACAACTTTAAAATTAGATAGAGAATAATGTTCTTAATATAATCCATTTTCTAGATCGACCTAGTCTATAACGTCAGACATGGTACGATTTTTGTAAGATATTATGAGATAGATAGGTGTTTGTTATTACAAAAATCGCACATTTATTTATTACTCTTGTTATATTAGATTTCTGTAGAGATGTATAATATATTTCTTGTAAAATGAACGTTCAGACATTTACCTTAGAAACATAATTGTATTTACATAACTGATTATTAAATAATTGTTTTTTTATTTTTTGCATTCACGAATTTTGCTTATCGCGGAAGCATTAACTTCTCAATCAACTACTGCGTATATGGGAATTAGTCTGCCTTCGCCAGCTACACTAAAAAGTAGTAAAAGCTTTAGTAAAGTAACTAAAATGCGCAAATTGAGGTTATTGATATCTATCATCGTCATCACCGTCGCTGGTTACTTTATCATCCATCACCACATTCAGACAGTCGGTTTGCCGCCTTCTGTATATAGGATTAGAATGGGTATTTTGTCTCCTCAGCTCATTCATTGGGAAGAAGAAACTGATCAATTTAAGAAGATCTCGTTCTATGATGATGCTCTGCTCACACCACCAGGTATAAAAACGCCGATTATACAATCACCAAATAATCAAAATCCTTTCACACAAGCCCTTCCCTCTATTCCTGTTAATGAAATTCAAGTATACCCTCGTACTCCATCGCTTCCACCGAACGCTCCTGATTTAGATCAAATCTTGTTCGTTATGACAACTACTTCGAAAAGAGCCCAAGAATACTCCCAATTATGGTCTCATTTCCTTGATTATGACTCTCAATGCTTAGTTATGCTCTCACCTTCAGAATCTCAAGAGCAACATTCACTTGAATATTTCTTACGACATGAACGGGGACTTAATTGTTATGTGAGGACTTCAAATGTAGATAAATATGAAAACCGTATGTTATCTTTACCTGCTGAAGCATTACAATTCGCCCCAAACATTGATTGGGTCGTCATTGGTGATGATGATACTACATTTATTGATATTAGATTGGTTCAGCGTATGTTAGCGAAATATGATCCTAGACAAGATTGGTGCTTAGGCGGATCCACTGAATCAGCTCGTCAATTTGAACAATTCGGTAAACAGGCTTTTGGTGGCGCAGGTATTTTCCTCAGTAATTCTCTAGCTCAACGAATCGCCGATACGTTTGAGCTTTGTACTGAAGAATTTAGAGATGAAATGGGTGGCGACGGTAAATTATCCAAGTGTGCTGCACTTTCTGCAGAGAAAGATATGAAAGACACTATAACTCATGAAAAAGGTTTACATCGTAAGTTTAATTAACCTAAGTCTTATTTAATTCAGACTAAACTGTTCTTAGAATTGGATTTACCTGGTAATGCTGAAGGATTCTTCCAATCAGGTCAACCGTTTATATCAGTTCACCATCTGATCAATGGTTGGTCTGACGTTATTCCTAGTTATTTCCCAAAATATATGTCAGAAGATTGGACAGCGATCAAAATTATTTTACGTGCAGCGAAATTCTTAGGAGGTGATAATCTGTTTAGAAGATTTGCTTTTGATGGTGGTAGAACATTAGTCACTTTAGGACACTCGATCATTGTTTTTAGGGAAACACTAACGCCAGAACACTATAAAAACGTTGAGCATACTTGGTTTTGGCCTGATTATACTTTAATTGATTCATTACCAACAAGATCTCACAACAAGCGATCATATGAATACTTCCTTAAAGATATTTACCCAACTTCTTTAGATTTGTCAACAGTATCTGGATATACTGAACAACCTCCTTCAAACTGGAATGAATTATCGGATTTAGAGAAAGATTTTGCTTTGGAACAGTCATCAACCGTTACTTTTGTATATGAGGAATGGTACAGGAAACGTACACTGAAGATGGTATGGGATGAAACTAGATCTGATGTTGATCTTAAAGGTGATGGTCAATGGTTCGGTCAAGATTGGTTAGATCAAGAATCTGAATATTTGCAACTTAGATATCAAAACATATCATCACATATTTAATTGATCGTCAATTTATCATATCATTATCATCAAAGTATATAGACTACGACATCACTTTCCTCTTTCTAGGTTCTCAGATATCATTTTGTACAAGTAGCAGTGTTTTGACGCACTTATTCATAATCAATCTATTTTAATATTTCGACATAAATCTAAACTGTGCATTATGTACTAATCATCGATTGAATTACGTGTGATCCTAAAATAAATATTTTATATTTCATTTGTTTTTCTAGAATAACAGTTTGTTTGCTCTTAATACAATAATTTAAATGTTGCATATAGTAAACTGGTTACCCTTCCTATAATTTCTATTTTATAGAATGATGTATACAAATTTTTCAAGTGTAATTATTACTCGCCTACGAAGCTTCTAATCTGAAGTGTTTTGCGACCTTCGAAATTAGTGAAACGCTTTCACTTTGTTTCACTAATACATAAAGGAGGCAATTGATCACAGTCTCAACCAGTTTAATTAGAGCTTCTTGACAGCTACCAGGTAAGGTAAGGAAATAAAAGGAAAGAAATGCCTTGGCAAGTTATAATTTATTTTTAATCGGATTCAGGATTGTGATGTAAATTTGGACTGGTTAAGTTGCATATCAGCTTACTGAAGTACCGTAGTTTGGGATCTTTTACTAAAATCAATCGCGGATTTGTTCCACTCCAATCTTATACGTATCAACGTCTTATGTGTACAATGAGTCTGGCTTTAAGAGTTTACAGAAACTCTATATAAACTAAAATGTTCACGTGTTCGTTACGAGGATGTCATAGATGTCAGCCAACTAAGAAGTATCCCAAAATAGTGAAATTTTTTATCTACCTTCCCATTCTAATCCAATTTTTAGAGCTTATATCAACTATATCCAGGAGAGATAAGTTACTCTGACGTAAGTGTGTGTTATTACAATACGTTATATTGAAACTTTACTAGACCATAAATAATCTCAAACCTTAATAGATGATCAATACCACTCAAATCCATAAATTAGCTTAATTGAAGCATTGATGAGCGACCAACATTTAAATAAGGTTTGCTGTGATTGTAAGCCAGAACAAGGTGTCAAATGGTATTGTAGTTACATAATATGTATGTGGAACATCTGAAACATTTGGAGGTTTTTACTCAGCTGAAGATTGAAAACGCGTCTTTTTTCACATCTACGCTGAGATAGTGAAGGAAGGTAAAGGTGCGAGTTTGATACAGCTTGTGATTCTCAACTACAGCATGACTTGAACTTCTGAGGATATCTCCTGGTCGACTTCTCCTCTAATTAGAGATACATTTGAAGCAATCTCCATGACAGTAGCATATCTAGAACAGTTAGCACTTTCATTTGCATATATCGAGACCTAAGAGGATAGAGATTGGTTATATTTTAATGACGCGGTTGTATGGTATACGGTAGAATGAAGATAAAAGACTTTGTACAATAAAGGTTAATGAAAAAGAATTTGAAATAAAATACTCGGTACCGCACATTGCGAAATACCTCGCTAATGTCTTAAGGAAACCTATCTAATTATGGTTAGCATGAAGATTCAAGTTGGAGAAGCTTTCAGCCAACATGTGATGATACATGCACTTTGCGACGAGAGTACCACTTCCTTGATGACGAACGGGATAGCCGGAATATTACCCTGCTGTAAATATTATATGCCTCTTCTTTTCTAACTCAATTATCAAGTAGTTATTAATGCGTTCATATGCTGTATATGTCTATCCTTGAAGCCTTTGACTGACCTCAAGACCGCAAATTCTAATACTACCACCACATCGTGCTGTGTGACTACTACACCTTCCATTGACACCGAAATTGATATCTAGTGTTCACATGTCTACGTGAGTGTACTACCGTTTACTAAATATTGTTAATTGAGTTGGGACCCTGTTTGACGACATAATTGAAACTAAGTGAAAGCGGACATATCGTGATGGTCGTGGCAGAAACTTACCAGGTTGAGCCTGTTGTAGGTTCTTGAGGAGTTCAAGAGATTAAAGTGGTCGCAATATCATCTTGATGTAACTATTTTCTGTCATCATTCTCAGGAACAATTTGCAATGAGTTAGTAAATTCTAATTAAGTACATAGATATTTGACTTTTTTTTCTTTTTGTTATGAACTCTAAATCGGTAGACTCAAAGATTGCTGAGAGTGCTTCACTAAAATTGAGTGATAAAGATACTGGATCAAGCTCAAATCAATATCAATATGGTTTAACTTCTGCAATATTCATTATAGTAAACTCTATTATCGGATCTGGCATCTTTTCAACACCTGCATCAGTTTACAAACATGCAGGTTCTGTTGGTTTGTCGTTGATGCTTTGGCTAGTTGGAGGATTTGTATCATTGTGTGGGTCATTGATGGCGTTAGAGGTGGGCCCGCTAGACATTCTTTCTGTACACAGTACTAATTCTGCAGTTTGGCACCGGTATACCTGTTTCAGGTGGATTGAAGAATTATTTGGAACGCTCAATACCAAATAGGCGTCTCCTAGGAACTTGCTTTTACATTTTCTACTGTACCTTTTTGCAAGTTTCAACATCTTCTGCGATATCATTCGCCAACTACATTCTCCTTGCGGCAGGACAGGAAGTCACGACATGGAAGATGCGTGGTATCGCCATTGCAAGTGTCTCATTTGCTGTTTTGATATTTGCTTTCTTTCCAAGGGCGGCGATGTATACAAACAATGTGTTTGGTGCTATTAAGATCATTATGCTTTTATTCGTTATTTTCACAGGTATGTTTAGGTAAGGCTACACTATTAAGTTCACCGAAATTAGGATTTGCAGCATTAGGAGGTCACATTAAGCTTGAGGAAAAACCTGACAATTTTGACCCTAAAACTTTATTCCACGGCACAAAAACAAACGCTTACGACATTTCAACGGCGCTGTTGAACTGTATCTTCTCATATCAAGGATATGATCAGGTAAACGCAATTCTCTCTGAGGTCAGGAATCCAGCTAGAACACTCAAAATTGCCATGCCAGTAGCAATGGCGATTGTTACTACACTGAACATACTGGCAAATGTAGCTTACTTTGCTGGTGTGTCAATTGCTCAGTTTCGTGATAATGGCGTAACCGTAGCTGGGTCCCTCTTCCTCAACGTTTTCGGTGACAAAGCCGGAAATCAAGTTCTACCTGTTCTAGTCGCATTATCAGCTTTAGGCCATCTCATTTCAATGTCAAAATCTATTTCGGTCGTTTTGCAGGTGCTCGCTAAGGAGGATGTGCTCATATTTAATGACATTTTCACAACTAGCAAACCGTTTGGAAGCCCACTGGCCGGTCTTTGTGTTGTGTGGGCGGTAACTGTCATATTCGTTTGTGCTCCACCTCCAGGTGACGCATACGACTTCGTGGTTTCGTTAACTTCGTATCCCTACACTCTAATGCTCTTTTTTTGTGCGGTGGGAGCGTTCAAGTTGCGTTATTTCGATAAGGACTGGGATCCGCCGTATAGAGCTCCAATCGTTGGACTCATTTTATTCATTCTTGCCTGTCTATTCTTACTCATCGCACCCTTCATCCCCCCTGAAGAAAATAACTCAAGTCTCCCTTATTATTTATCTTCCGTGGTTTCGTTATCAATTACTATGCTTGGTGTTGTTTGGTACTTTCTCAAATTCGTTCTTGTACCGTTTCTGTTTCGCTACAAACTTGTTCCTATCTATAAAGACCTCACAGATGGGTCACGGATGATACGATATAAGCGCATTAGCAAGGAATAATTGTAGAGTTTTGTAATATATTTGTTTAGGCCTGTATTCATTGGATACCTAAATGATCAATATCTTCCCCTCTAAGAATAAGTTTACTGGCTATGGTATGAATAAGCATGACGCTTATATATATATATATTCTTTTGATAGCTATTTAAGCGATGTTGTAAATTTGCAAGATTCTAAAGTAATTTTGACCACTCGAAGCGATCTTTCTGTAGCAGTATTGATAAATACCACTGCAAAATTCGTCGCTCTCTTTCGACAGTTCTTTCCATTCTTCGATTTACTATAGACTTCACTGCGCTCAGCGTACGGTCTCGATTCATATGAAGGTTATCCTCTGGTAGAGGTTAGCGATTAGAATATTGTATATAATGATTCACTTTTCTGCGTCGACATTTGTCAACTTTGACTTTGAGAGAATTCTACTGAAAGGGTAATATCTAAACTAGAGTTGGTTTCTGCTAAAATGATGCTTCATATAGATCACTAAATATAAATAAACATGGTAGTGACAAACCAACGAGACTTCCAAATAAATTTTACGATATTAAAACACTTAATTTTAATTTTAATTTATATTGATATATTATTTTATACATTTTACTTGCTTCTGAGATGGCAATTTATACTACAACAGCATCTCTGTCATCCTGTTTTTCTTTTTTTATTGCATCGGCGTTGATGTATAAATTAGCAGTCGTATCAGACGAATTAAACAGTATAGACAGTAGACTTACGTTCTTTCTATACCTTCCATTTTATAACTTGATTATGAGATCGCATCATCATCAGCAGTGTAGTATATTCCAAACGAACCATCAAAAGATAGCATTTGGCAATGATGAGTGCGAAGCTTCTAAATCTGAAAGGATGTTTAGAAACATTACATGTAGTTTGTAAAACATTTTAATCTCAGTTTTGTGATCTGATTATCAATAACATTATCTGTCAACTGTCGCGCATACGATGTATTGATAATTGCAGCTAACCTATTGTGATCCTTTAGTTTTAAAATACTCTACGTGTTAATTTACCACAGTTCGTCAAATCATATTTAGTCGACGCTCAAATATCCAGTGTATGCCATTCTACTATATTTTCATACAAGAATGACTAACAGACAAGAGATAGAAGCTACCATAGAGTTAAACTCTTTAATGACTCAAAATGAAGATGTGCACTCGTTGTAGAGATGATAGGAGGATTTGTGTGTATTTGAAGGTACCGTGGTGTTTTAAAAATATAAGAGAATAAATATTGATGAATATATATTGTACAATTTTAGTTATTTTAGTACACCTTCCATCATCATAGTCATTGTTTCATGCTGCCACTTTTTACTTTATATTTCAGCGTAGTGACGTTCCTGGTTACTATGACTAGGTTACTATGATTATTTTACTCTGGTGCAATAGGTTAGGTGCCAGTGAGATTCGTCTGATTGTCTTGATTGGCTTGTTGAATACAATCGATGTGTAATGCGTAATATTGTCTTACTATTGCACTTCTGTTCCTGATCGTCGTATACTCGTCCTGCGAAATTTTGCGGTAATATTGTTATTTCTGGTGTCTGACATTTAATGCTTGATGTGAACATCCCAATGACTACCCGAACTTCTATGTTGTAGTCTATAGTTGTAATTGTTCTTTAAGCATCATAACGTGGTTTAAGATTGATACCAAGTATTAGATGTATTAATTATGTTTGTCCTTCCTTCAAGTATCTTCTCTATCATTTTTTCTTGTCTATAAGTTGTAATCGTGTAATCTAATCGATTACAGTGAGTTTAACTGGTGAATTAATTGAGTTGTACCATCAGGGATGAACTTTGTGATAGGAATTAACAGCTTAACACCTAACTGCTAGGAAAGACGTACGTGTCTTAATCCCTTATATATATTTCCTGAGGGTTCACCACATTTCATGTAATTGATATTCTGATTTGTGCTACTATCCCTAACGAACAAGCGTTGTAGTTATAGATTAATCTTGTGAGATGATAGATCATGTCATTAAGAGATCTTCCACCATGTCTAGAAGAGTTGCTGTTGGAAAGAGATGTTTTTGCTTCGCTGTGAACCGACCTAATGTTGATACAATCTAAGGTCTCTTCCAAAGCTGCAACAGTTCCTAAGAGATGTTGTAAGTCTACCTTTCTGTGAGCTATACTCAGACTCGCCAGTGATATCCAACGCTTCAAGAGTCACATAAAATGGCATATTACTTTATTGTGAAATGTAATAGATACATACGTATGTATCCGCCACCTTCTGCCACCTTAATTGCAATTGAATTAAAGTTGAAGAAATTCTGTACCAAAATTATTGGTCTAAGCTTGTCTACCTGTCAATTGACATTAGTGAGGTTGTTCTGCAACAGGTACCCACCTAACAACATTACTTACTGTTTTGCATGAAAGAGATAGCTCTATGTAATTGTAATTGTGCTTTTTTGAGCCTGAGATGTTGGTCATAGCAGATAAAGAAGGAAGAGGTGGAAGTATCGTCATAAATAGTCAAGTTAGGACCTTCCTAAAAGGGAAATGAATGTTTAGCATGGGATTTTAAACGCATTAGTCCGCTGGAAGTAGCTGCGCTCTTTAGAACACATTCCACCTTCTAAAGAATTTCCCGTTCCCTGCTGCTTCTCGAGTCTAGCTGTGGCCTATAAATGTCGAACAAAGATCAGAAATCGATATATATATAAGCGAGATAGAGAGCATTAGCAATAAATAGGAGCTAAAAAGCTGAAATAATCTCACATCTATCGATATCTAGACTAAAATCTGTCCCAAAAACGAAGGTGATCAGATAATAGCTAGATCGGCGCAGCCTCCTGAATATCCTGTGACTACAGGGCACATTTCGCCCTTTGAGAATGTGTTGTACGTGCTGGATTTGCTAAGCTTGCTCCATTCCTGGCTGAGGCTCGATCTGGCTGTAGTTGTAGCACCTAAGATGGTGTGATCTATAAGAGCTACGAAAGCGACAACAGCACAGGGAAGTCATAAGTTTATAGTATATACTAAAACTTTCTCATTAGACTTTGTATCAGATTTTGTATGCGATAATTATAAGATGAATGTATAAATGTACCATTAAATCATCAGAGAATAGCCAAATAGTAAAGCTTTACCTAACAAGCAAAATTGATTTGTTTAAAGTGAAAACATTAGCATGCGATAGTCATCTTATTCTTTCGAACACGAAAACACTAAATGAGAAAAGCCGATGGTGATCATTGAGGTCTTCTGGTTAATTACCATCAGATCGTACTCAGTATTAATGTGAACTTGTTCTTATTCCATAGAACATACTTTGAGACTTTTGAACCGCTTTCTCATTGTACTTCGCCAGCCATGTTAATATGATTAGCAAGTTTCTCAGCTTCCTATCAATTATTACACAAGTAACTTGTAATTGCATAAAATATTGATAAATCCTTACTCCAAAGTCACTTTAATAACACCTAATTCATATTTCATTCCTGTACACACCAGCCTAACATATCTCCAGCACATCAAAAGCAACATAGTCCGGGGTATAGACATTGTGTATTGTAGCAACTAGCCATCTTCTAGTTTGTTTTTTATGACAGTTGCTACTATATTGAAGGAAGAATCTAGCTGCTATCATGTGTTTGTAGAAGTTCGTTCATCATTATTAGAAAGCGGTATACAGAAACTATTATATAATATAACTGACATCATTCCATTCTGAATAATCCTGTCTCAAATTAATTTTTGATTGGAAGAAACGAAAGTAACTGTAACTGTAACTGTAATTTGAATTGTTTTGTGTATTTATTTTATGTTTTATAAAATTTTACAACAAGAATTTAGAGTTTAATGCCATGGATCCCTATGTGCTTGTCTTTCATTATTAAATATAGGTGCTGTTGACTGTACGATCGGGAATGAATTTTGCGATGGTATTCCAGAGCTTACTACCTGACTGACAGAAGGGAAAATTGTAGGTATGGTAGCAAATGATCCTGTAGCAGCGGCCTGACTTTGTTGCTGTGGTGGGATTTTAACTTCATACGGTGTCGGTGTCGGTGTTGTTGATATCTGGTTGTTCGTTGTGGTTGTTGCATTTGCAGGTGGTCTCCAATTCAATCTTCTTCCTTCGCTGTATATGTCATCTAAAACGTCTTCCAATCTACCGTCCTTTTCAAATGCTTTATACATTTTGTATAAAAGTAACGCGGCTCTTGCATCTTCAATAGAGTCGTGTGTGTCTAGTTGTATATCTTGCTTGAGAAGGAACCAACTGAGAAATCTTAATGATAGCTTCCTATGACTGTCTTTCTTTTGGTACAGTGCCACGGTATCTATTATCTGATTGCGTGGAACAAACAAGTCTAGATCACGTTAAATTTATTCAAGTTCTATTAAGCGACTCACTTATAATTCTAAAGTCTTGGGATAAACCATGCCCAATAAATATACATCCCATGTCGACTAGCAACCGAAGCTTGCGATAAGCTGCTTTGAGAGGAACAAGTGTGTGTCTTGAAGTACTAGGCTCAAGGTCACCATCTGAGTGTAATGTTAGGTAAGTGAACGCGTTGTGAATAACTTAAAACTCACGTATAATACCAGAGAACTCGGTCAAGTAATCAACAACTGGTTCACTTGTATGTATGTAGTCATCAATGAACGGTTTTTGATCCAGATCTCCTTCTCCTCTCAAAACTGAAACACGAGCTAGTGATAGTTTCGACGGTTTTATGACAGATCTTGACCCATCCGATCTAAATTCTATTTCTTCCTGGAATTTATCATAAGATTAGAAATATTTCGATTAAATTTACTTACTCTATCCATTGAAACAAATTCTGCATCGATAGCAACAAGAGAACCGGGTTTTGGTAATTCTTCTTCGCTCAAAACCTGATGCTTGATAAGTTTAGGATCACGGTTCCTATAATAATTAATAAGAAACTTTTGATCTACCAGATAGCTTACCAAGAGATAGACAAGTCATGACAAAGAATAGTTGGATCAATCTTCTGGTTAAGTGCAGTGAAATTGACACACTTGTCTACGTTCTTCCTTTCGTAATAGATGACAGATGGAATCTAAAAGGAAATAATGAGTTTGAGAAATCAAGATTATCAATGTACGCACTTTCCACTCAGAGAAAGAGAGAGCTTCGACTGGACTAACGTTGCGAACGAGGAAGTCATTAAATATATACCAAGGACTCTTAGAATTATCATCCAATTCATCATCTGATACTGGAACGATATTAGAAGTTAAGTTGTGGTATTAAATGTAATAACCTACTTTTGACAATTGAAACAAGATGATTGGAGTCGTGATCTGGATATATTTGTGCAATAACAGCCTTTGAATTAAAGTGTTAAAATAGGCAGTCACTAGTCAATGTCTTACCTTTAAACTGTAAATAGCCATATCACCATCATATTTATCTTGATCAGTAACAACTTGAACATTATCGCTTGTTCTTTTAATACCAAATTCAAATGGTAAAAAGTATTCAGGTTTTGGATTATATGGTGACTCTCCTGGTCTTCTAGCAGGATTGAGCCAAATGTCCAAGTTCTCCTTGGAATGTACACCAGCGTTTATTGACAAAACTGCAGGGAATTGTGAATCAAATGTTGAGACTATGCGGCGCGAGTGTAATGGTACGAATTGTTTCGTAACTGGACAAACATGTTTCGTTAGAGTGTCGCGTATGATTGAGGCGCAAAGTATGGAACCAAAGTCTACCGGTAATGGTACTTCATTCGATAATGTCTTCCTTGGATACATGAATTCAATGACGTGAGTGACACCCTTTCTCACTGAACGTGATCCACATCCATCGGTACACATTGAGACAGATAAAGACTCTATGCCCAAAAGTTGAGATATAGGACTCATATTTCCATTATTGCAGATCTGAGGACTAGGCTGAAATGTCCAGCTTTCGACTGACATTTGTTCAAGTAAGAACCTATTGAAACTTTGAATCATGTTTCCATAAGGAGCGTTATGATTTCCACTTATATCAGCGTCCAGAATGCCTAAAGCTTTTGCCTGTGGGAAACTCGATAATGCTCTAGAGAAGTTGGCAGATTGACAATTGACACCTTTTCCATTTTCTAACATCCTAAACAAAAAGCCAGATTCGGTCAATAAACAATTATCCTTTAGATCTGGTAAAGTTGTTTGTGATGTAGCGACAGCCCTAATTGGTTTTATATGATGAAGTATTTGAAGTAATGCATTAGTATATGAATTTGCTATGTGTGTTTCTAATCCAGAATATGGTGTTTTGTTGTAGAAGCCAAAATCGAAATCTTCTATACCGAATTTGGAGTATTTTATTTCAACTTTGCGATAATGCTTTGGCATATTTGCAACGTCGCTTATGTCCAACTCAAGGTTTTCAACACGTGATTCCAAACGAGGACGGTTATTGACACCACCATTCTTAAGATTATCTCTAATCTGTTCAGAAATAAATTTTGGTTCATCAGATTGACGACCACCAATCCTATTCCTACCGCTTCTACCTGCTTTTCGAGAGGGTGTGAGATTGCGTTTACCCTTATTTTCTGGTGGATTCTGAGCATGGGCTGGAAATATATCGGTTCGTAATCCTTTCATGACAGATATTGGTATTGGAGTTGGTGGGTTGAACATAGGAGATGAATCTGGTAGGGGCATATGTAACGGCATTGAAGACAACAATGGTGTGTCATAATATGGTAAGCCAATACTATTAAGAGGTGTTCTATCATTCCAATCTATACGTGGTGGGGTTTGTACCTCTGACGGCCAATCCAGCTGTATACCTTCGAAAGCGTTGAAATTTTCAGGTTGACCCGGTTCAAGATCTGTCCAGATATGAATTGAGCCGTCTGCATCACCAAAAGCTAGATGGTTACCAGTAGTCGAAACAGCCATCGATGTCACATATGAGGATATATCGAGCATATGATAAGTTCCAGTTGATGTACTAAGATCTGTGACGTGGAACTGACCTTGTAAATCCGATATAAAGACTGAAGTCGATACACGTGGATGTATCTTGACGAAAGACGGACCACTTGGGAATGAGACTGGTGGCAAAGGACGCATCATTCTCGCGTCGTAAACTTTTACAAGTGGTTCGGGAACGACTCTGCCAAATCTGTCGTGACATGTTAGCAAAGTGAATTCGACAAAAAGTATCGTACCTAGTTGTACAACCCCAACTGAGAAGGATATTACCAGTGGATTCTATACCGAGTAAACCATCTTTATGAGGTTGGATGTGCTGCATGGCTGCCTTTGATACCCTAGTATCTCTTATTTGGACATTACCGCTGACATCACCACAAACGACAGAAGAACGAGGACCAGGCTTAAGGAAACGAATAGGTTCTGGTACTTCAATCTGAGATGGAAAAAATTAAAATTGTTAATATAATGTAAATAAACGCACTTTTCTAACCAAACTACCTGAGTTGGTATTTAAGACTAGCAAATCGAGCTGATTACCACCAGCAACGACTTCCGATGAACCAGGGGACATAGACATAGCTTCCAAGCTAGACCTTGGTTCCTCTACCATCCATTTACCGATAGCTGATCTCTTTGTACCTTTCACGCCATTCAAGCCTAAAGTAACGATACCCCTATCGTCGAGACACAACTCCTTTACGGGGCTATTCCTGTGTGCCATATAGGAGGTGTATCTTTCGCCATCTAAACCATATAGTGAGCAAACCTGGCCGTGTGAGTTTCCACTCCAGAGCAATTCGCTGTAAGGATCAAAAGACAAACTAGTGATAGATGACGGTATAGTCGTATAACCAGGTAAAATCGTTCTCGATTGCCAGTTCGCAGCCATTTCAGATGGCTTGACTTGGTGGTCAAGTATCAACGAGATGAAGAGAAGGATGAGAGATTAGAAGATGGAGTATGGAATTAGAGATTTATTATATGCTAGAAAATATACAAAATTGTCTGGCTAAACGTACTGACAGCAGTGATACGTTGTTTTGCTATGACGCTTGATAGGCGTATAATGAGATTTAAACGTTTTGATAGGTTTATACAACGGTGTGTTATCATCATCAGCTACAAATTACATTAAAAGCTTATATGATAAGCTAGTTTGTATTATACATTCAGAAGTTACTTTTTGTACAATGAAGTTATTTAGCAGCTAAAAAAATACCAATAAAACTAAATTATACTTTCTCTACCAACTACAATGACCTTCTCATTCGGATTTCAACTCGATGACGATAATCAAGGCGTCGTGAGTGTGCTTTATATAGTTAGCACAACTTATACGCAATAGACTACGAATACTACGACTATTGACACCAACGTCGATGAGAGTTTGCATCCATGGACTGATATCAAAGTAGAAGATTTGGTACGTTTCCTTAGTTCTGTCGCTTAGCTTATCTGATGAAGGCTATATAGATCTCACAACTTCCTCCTTTATTGTCTTATTCCTCTGTTGATATACCGCACTCTTCAATCACACCAATAGCACGAAGAGATTTATTCGATGCACGCTTTCAATTGATAGACGCAGACGAGGACCAAGCTATCATCAGTGGTGACAGTGACCTTATTCCAGGAAAGTATGAGGGTGGCTTGAAAACCTGGGAGTGTTCAGTAGATTTAGTTCAACATTTACACCAATGTCAATACGATTTTAGGGAAAAGAAGCTTTTAGAGGTGGGTATAACATATAGTTACATATATAGATGACTCATATTTGGCTAGATTGGATGTGGAACTAGCTTACCATCTCTCTATGCTTATCGAAGCATGTTGGAACAATCAGGGCCGAAAAATGCAGTTATTCATTTTCAGGATTACAACTTACAGACAATACAACTCGTCACATTCCCAAATATCTTTTTGACCTGGTATATTACACAGTTTAACAAAGGCCCTGAAGGAGAGATAGAAATTAACGAGACTATCATAGAGCAATTCAAACAACATTTGCGGGACGTCAATATAGAATTGCGCTTTTCATACGGCGCTTGGAAGGCTATAAATGAGCATTATGATTATATTTTCACCAGCGAAACGGTATATAGAACAGCATCTATTCCAACACTAGTAGAACTCATAGAATCATCGACTCATAAAGATACAATTACACTTATTGCTTCAAAATCTGTTTACTTTGGCGTAGGTGGCGGTGTACGCGAGTTTAGTGATTATGTTACAAGTAAAGGTCACTCAGTAGACCCTGCCTGGAGTAGTAAAGGTTCAGGGGTAGTACGACATATTCTCAGCTTCAAATTATAGAACTCTAAAGACACACAAATAAATTGTAGAAAAGATACACATCGGTAAAAACCTCATTTGCATACGGCGGGATATGTTAGTAGTATTAATGAAAGAGAATTAATGAAATCTATATGTACGTGCGTGAAAAGTGAGAGGTTGGTCATTATGTACAGATCTTTGTAAAAAATGCGCGAAAATTTGTGTGCTTGTGAATGTTTTTAATTAGTTACTTGAAGAGCGTGATTGCTTCTCAACATCAGAAGTCTGAGTTTCCATTTTCTGTGCGATACCAGTCTGGCCTGAGGCATATTGTGATCTTGCTCTAATAGACTCTCCTTTGAAGAAGAGGATAAATGGCAATGGTGCACATAAACATCCGATGATCGCAAGCATGGTGCAAGCATACTGAAGGCCCATACCGTTAAACATGTAAGTTGCGAAGAGTGGGAAACTAGCTGCAAATAAGTTACGCATGAAACCTTGTGCAGCAACGGCAGAGGATGAGAATTCACCGTATGAGTCCGCGAGGTAGTTGTATACCGCAAGGAAAATATGGTATATACCCAAGATGATTGGAGTGAGTGCGATAATTGGGACAATGTAGTGGATGTTTGGGAATAGTGTCCATCCATACCAGAACATACCTACAGGAAGAAGGATCGCACCAACTTGAGCACCGTAAAGTCTAGCTTCTGGGACAGGAACACCACCGTTCTTGACTGTTGCCTTTTGGTAGAGATGGTCTTGCAAGAAATTTGTTGCAAAACCTAAAAAGGTACCGAAAGCCAAACTGATATATGGGAATCCTTGTTGACCGACATTCCATCCATGGTTATTTTGGAAAGTAAGGGGAATGCAAGAGAAGAAAAGGAAAATGATACCCCATGCGAATGAAATCCAGATAGAGAAGAAGAGAACGACTGGTTCCTTGACGAGAAGCATGAGAGCACGGGTAGATGAGTTGTGGAGAAGTGTTTTGAAAGAATCAGCTTCTAGTTCAGATGGTGCTCTGAATGAGTCGTCGCCTGTCTCTTGTCTCATCTTCTTTGCACGTCTGGCAAGAAGAACGGCACCACGGGTTTCTTTGAGAAGGAAACATTCGAGAACGAGCAAAGTAAAGTTGGCAATCAATTGGATCCATTCAATCCATCTCCATCCGAGTTTCAAGTCTATCCAACCGGAGTAAATTGGAGCGGCAATGGTACCGAAAACAGCAGCCCATGTGAACAATGACATAGGACCTGCACGCTCGTGGGTTCTCCAAATATCGGAGAGCGTACCACCGACCATTGTAGTACCAGCAGCACCAAAGCAACCGGAGAAGAATCTACCAATGATAGCAGTCCAGATATTTTGTGCGAAACCAAGTTGGAAGAAGAAAGCGACGAAACATGCGTAGTTAACGAGATAGATAGGATCTGATGAAGTTGATAAGTGGAGGTAACAAAATGGAGGTATGACTTACTTCTTCCGATATACTCAGATAATGGTGCAAGGAATAACGGTACAAGTGCAAATGAGGCGTTGAACACAAACATACCAACTTGACCCACTTCCGCACTAACGCCGAATTCGGCAGTCATATCATTTATACCTACAGAATAGGCAGATGTTGCTAAACCGATAAAAAGCGTCATGAGACAGAGTAAGATAGTCGTAACCCATTTGCGAATGTTGCTCCAATTCTCTGGATTCTCTGGATCGTTGTCTTCGAACCTAACTATTATAACTTTCTTTTCTCTAGAGTCGACATCGTCTTCATCTGCTAAATGTGGTTCAGAAGCGCGTCTTCCGTTGTCTACAGGATGTTCAACGTGTTCTGATGTTTTGTCTTGAGGGAAGATCGTTGTCGGAATGTTTGATTTTTTTAAACCTGACATAGTTGTTGATTATAAAGAAGTTCAAAAACGTTTAAGTTTTTTATACGACGATTTTGGTAGGCAGTTCTGCTTAAGGAAAAGTTGAGCTTATCCTAAGATTGTGAGTTTCCTTTTTTGGAAAGCAAACTAAATGACAGTCTGGAATTAAAAATGTTGGAACTCCAGATGCTCCTCTTTGTAGAAAAAATGGAGAGCCTGGAGGAACACATGGAGATCTTAGATCAAATCACTCAAATTTGCTTATCGGAGATGTAATTTATATTGCGAAATTCCTGATACTATTGCGAATACAGTCATGTAATTTCCTACGTACAATATATATCTTTTTTAGGAATTCCATAGCTCCGAGGAGATTCTCTCCGCTAAATGTCTGTTCCTGTGAGCTCAAATCTTTTGATCAGTCGATGGATCCGGTTAAACAAAGCAAGATAATGAACGTTCAATTACCCCTTTCAGACTTGCTATATAGGGAATAGCTTATCTTCAAGAAATCGGTGAAATCTAAGCGGACAAAAGAGTTCTACAGTAATTTTTTACAACTAAGTGACGTATGTTTGTCACAAAAGATATATATTCACTGATGATACAACTTGAACTATACTAAAATCTATAGGTGGTCCGCATTTCTCCACTACAATCCACACTTCTCCGCTTGAAACTGCAGAAACCGTTTAATCGTTTACGCACTGGACCCTTAGAGCTCCGTCGCTAAAAAATAATTTCTCGGCCTAGCAAATTCTCTAGAAATTTTCAATTCATAGATTATTTTTTCTTACAATACGCGTGACTGACATTCAGCTGAATTCAAGTTATGTGAATCAGCGGACAGTAATATGATAAAAGACTGATTATGTCCGCGAGATATGTGATGTTTATAGATATTTCAGTGAGTATCGAGTTTGACAGCTCGCTAAAATATGGCTTCAGGAGTTTATCACTATAAAAATAGTACTCCTATTACGGATACCGAACTGATATTGAGCGGATATTAAAGATATAATGTAGTAACTGTACAATTATGTTTTATCATTTCTATTTTCGTATCTTTTGAGACATATGTAGGAGACACCCAGCTGTCAGTCATACTGCATTTAGCAAGTCAAGTAATGCCCGGTATCAGAAGCCTAAAATGGGAGAATAAATCGTCTTTTTACTTTTAACAATAACATCGAACACTTAGATGAAGTTTTCTGCACTTTCAGTCACTGCACTCGTCGCAGTAACAAACGCGTCACCATTGAGCTTCCGTGGTTTATTTGGTGGTGACGATAAGCACAAGCACGATGAAGCGCTTTACTTACTTGGTCACTCAGAAAAGACAAAGGACTACAAGGTTTTCTCAGAGGCTGACAACGTACCATCAGACGTCATACTAGACCATTACCCATTACCTAACTGCAAGGATGGCGTTAAAGAAAGAAAGAACTGGGCACACTTATCATACGATGAACGTAAAAACTTTGTCGATGCTTTCAAGTGTCTTCGTTCAAAAGAATCCTGGAACTTGGACAACTATATGATGTCAGATCGTTTAGCTGACTTCATCAGAATTCATCAATGGCCTGGTGCTGACATTCACTGGGTTGCCTCCTTCTTACCGTCAGTGTTTTGAGACAATTTGAAACATACTAATGATATTTTTAGATGGCATCGTGGATTTACTTTGATTTATGAACAACAACTCCAAGAATGTGGTTTGGAAGGCACATTACCATACTGGGCGTGGGAGAACGACTACGCAGATGTAACACAATCCGCTGTTTGGGACGGTGACATGGATGCTGGTTTAGGTTCTTTTGGACACACCGATGAAAGCTTACCATTGAACGCTTCATTAATCACTGATGGTGCTATTGCTGATTACGAGATCACTTACCCATGGCCACACAAAATTGGTAGACGTCTTCGTAGCAACTTTGCACCAAATACACCAAACATCGCCGGTGAATACTTTGAACGCGGTAGATCACCAGAATGGATCAAATATTACCAATCATTTGATAACTACCTTAACTTCTCCACACTCTTGGAAGGTTATGACCCATTGGATGCACGCGCGGACTGGCCTAGCTCACACGGTTCTGCTCACTTGCTCACTGGTGGTGACATGGCAACGTAAGTTGAGCTTTGATCCGAAATTCAATATCTAACTAATAAAACAGTGGTGATGTTAATAACACAAGTCCAGCAGATGTACTTTTCTTCTTGCACCACGCAAACGTCGACAGGCACTGGATGGCATGGCAATTGCAAGATCCTGAGAACCGTTTATATCAATACGAAGGTAACACTCAGTATGATTTCCAAACTGGTATCAGAGGTGGTGTAAAGGCAACACTCGACCAAAACCTCTACTATGGTGATGTACCAGGTCAACAAGGTATTGCAATCAAGCACCTTATGGACTTAGAGAACAGCTGGTGTACCACCTACACAGACCTTGACAAAGTAGTACCAAAGTTCTGGGAAGCACGTACAGATGCTTTCTCGGGTCCTGGCCAACTAGATGAAGCTGCCGTTAATAAGTAATAGGCTTGAACTTAGGAAACCGGACAAAGGAAATTTGATATCTTTTAATTTTTCTAATACGCAGGATTTATTTTACTCTAATTACTTTAATAAGAAAAGGACAATAATGGACTATAAAAATCTTTCTTTCTTATCTTAATTAATTGTTTATTTATTGGTTTTACAATCTTTTGTTTGTCTTATGTAGGCCAATATGAAAGGGGAAGTATAATGAGCATTTCAAGATGGCTTTCCAGTATATATTTAGTATAAGTCAATAAATAATCATACAGTCATTGTTACATTCTCAAAAGATATCTTTATGTTTCAACATGGCTTCTATGACTTTATCAACCACGCTGAGATCTGCAAGAGTTGATGGGTTAGCTAGTAGTTCGTGAGCTTACCAAAGCACTCACCCAGGTCATTCCCGAGGGGTATACTCGTGTATTCTGTGAGAGCAATCTCAGATTGGACTTTGCCGATAATTTCAAAGAAGGTAGCCTGACTATAATCACTCTCCTATTGATAAACGCGTTAGATTATAAGAGTAACGCGTATTATAATATCCCACTCTATTCATTGTGACTGATATCTGACCTCCATCTGTGGATTCAACCATAGCGATATTATCGCTAATTTTTAAAACTTTACCAACGATTCTGACGGTATTTCCAATAAAATATTTTAGATTTGTGCTATTTGCGTAGATTGTGTGTACGTCCATCTCGAGAGTAAATCGACAAGAGAGAATGGTACGGGGGCTGAAGGAATTTAGCGAGCCCCTAGAAGCGGTAGAGGATAAGGTTAATAACTCTACCACTAGAGCAGATATTGAGCGGATATCGTCCAGATTAAGTGAATATTCCCGCGAGGCTAGCGCCATATTAGCCAAACTCGAGAATGACAGCAAAGCAATAGACGAGCATTACAGCGGCTTAAAACTAGAGGCTTTAAAGAAGAGAAAAAGAGAGGATGAAGAATCTTCAACTGCACAGGCTAGTGCGACGACATCGAGTTCTACGCCGACCGGACAAAGTGCGTATATTTAATAAGGAAATGCACCATTAATTGTATCTCCAGATCTAACCCAGACAACACTCAACCCTTTCAAATTAAAGATACAAACTAATAAGGTGTGATATCCAGCCACACATTCTTCACTATTTTAACACGCTATACAGCCAAAGAGAACATTATCCTTTGACTTACCTTCTACCTCCCAGTTACCACGTCCTGCTCGTACAAAGCCACTCCCTCCAACGCCAAAAACGCAGGACATCGTGAATGATGATTTCGTAGATAAGAAGCCAGCATCACAAACACAGATTAGTACATTTTATAGCTCAATTGAACCCTATTTGAGACCACTGGGTGAGGATGACTTGATGTTCTTGTCCGCAAAGGTAGGAAATTTTACAAATTTCTTGAATACACAACTGACTTAGTATATGTAGGGTGACGAAGTGACTCCGTACACAATTCCACCTCTAGGCAGACCCTACCTTAGCGTTTGGGAAGCTGAAGATGCTGGTTTACCATTTACATCAATTGATCAACCCAGTATACCCCCATTGCCCAGGCCTACATTGACTGCTCAGGATATGTCAGACGATAGTCTCATTAATGAAGATTTCAGTCTAGGTGCACTCAGTGAAAGATTAGTTTCCGCTTTGTTACCAATCAACAAGCCGACAGAGGAATACACGAACGAAACACAAGATGTCACAACAGATAAAGTTGCAGTAGGAATGCTTGATGACTCTCTAAGGAGAGAGCTTATCAGTATAGGTATATTAAATGAGGGTGATTTGGGACCTACACAACCAATTGATGATGAGATAAGTGTGCAACTCGCGCATCTACAAAATATTCTTCAAGTACAATCTCAAATGAATACTTCTCGTCGTTTACATCTATTAGGACGAGCTAAAGAGAGAATGGCTGCGCAGGAATATATAACACTTCTTACAGATGTAGAAAAAACGATAGAAGCTGGTTGGGCAAAGCGACAAAAGCAATTAACAAGAATAAAAAAGAAAAAGACGGAAAAGGCAGCACAAATTGCTCAACAGCAAGCTGCTAAAAAGACTGGGAAATTACCACCACCTACTTCAGGCAGTAGCACACCAATAACTCAGAGTAATTCAAATGCAGATCTAATGTCAGATTTAGGTGAAAGTGTTAAACGTGCTATTGAATGTCGTAACTTGTTAATTCAAAATGTTGGTAAACCTTTAATGCAGGAGAATGAGTTACATCCAGGTAAATATTTTGGATTAAAAGAACAAGAAGCTGGTGCGATAGTCGCGAATATACGTGATTCAGTTGATATATCAGAGAAAGAGCCAAGTATGGCACCTGAAGAAGAAGATGAAGATATTCCAATCGTAGAGGGTGTAAGATTACGATAAAAGTAAACCGATAAATGCTGAATGTATTAAATATATATAAGATGCTATTTAAAAAAAATAAAGCGCATGTAATGATTAAAAACCGGCTAAACAATCGGTTTCATCAAATGTGACGCCCCAGGTGGATTGAGAGACGAAGGAGCAGTCGGTAGTTTGTGATCTATTTGTTGAATTTGTCTTTGTCTTCTTAGAACGGGTACATTTGAAATCGACGGTGGTGGTTTGAGGTAAAAGTAAACCTAGTTGTATGGTGGTAGGAATTGACTCGGGTTTTCTATCATATTGATTCTTATTCCAAGTAGTTGCAATAGTAGGAGGGCTTTGAGAGAATTTAACTTTCTTTGGTGGTGAATTTGGGCGTGAAGGTTGTTGTAGGCAGGTTGTCGTATAGTATGTGGGCGTATAAGGAGGATAACTGAGTATTGACATAATTCTTTAGTGTATATAGATTCTAGATAAGTGTGTAGTTCTGCATATAGGTCAAAAACGCCCAGATTGAACGTTCATAAACTTACGGCTTAACAAACTACTAAACGCAGTCGTTATATTGTAGTTTAATTATCGTCAACCATCTTGAACGGTACACTATATACTATCGTCTGCTACTCTTCTATATTTTTTCCTCTGGTCGTTACTCAAAACAAATTCTGATTTGCTGCTCGGATTTTCAAGGCGAGGGTAAAAATTTTAATCGCTCAAATAGGAAACTAACCGTTTGAGAAGTGAAGTTTTAGTAATTAATATATAATTATTTTATGATATATATAGCTAAATACTATTTTTGGATTGGCTGTGGCAATACGTCATATGAATGCATAGACGAGCAAATGTGATGGCTATTGATGCATACATAATCAGCATAATGTGATGTCTATACTGGGTAAGATTCGATAACAAAAAATTTGATTAATTATCATCATCTCAATTTCGTCATAGGTGTAGTAGGATTACACCTTAGACCTTACATTCATGAGTGATTTTAAGATACAGCCACACGAAGCAACGGTGAGTTTAGAGTTACATTGAGACCTCAACTAAGTTATTTCACAGACAAATGATCCAAATGGACCAAGGAAATCAATCTATGAGGTATTTATAGGAGTATCCATAAAGTTGAAATGTACTAAATAGACATAGGAACACCCTACAACTCTCAAGCACCCTTCCAGGGATCCTCATATACCTTCAAAGGATAAAGTAGACAATCTCGAACAACCGTTATCAAGAGAAGAATTACAGAAGCGTACAAAGGAGTTAAACGAGTGATAAATTGTATACTTATAACGACTCAGCGTACAACGCTGTCCATTCTTTACTGACTGCTTTGGCTGCTTGCTCGTCTGTCTTGTAATGCTCTGCGACGTCATTCGCTAAAGGATCGTCTGGATTAGGGGAGGATAGCAGCGCTTGTATAGAAAGTAAGACAGTTCTGATTTGCAAAGCAGGCGACCATTTATCTGAGTGCGTCAGCTGATCGCTAGTGATGTAAAGACTATACCCACCCTTTAAGATGTCCAAACAGATCCTTCCCAATTTGTCTATATTAGGATGGTAGATCTTGGTTAAAAACCTAACTTTTGGTGGTTCCATAGGGTATGATGACGGCAACCAGAGTTCTAGCTTGAAGATACCCTTTTCAAAGGGTGAACCATCTGGACCTTGTATAGAAACATCAAAGTATCTGATATCCTCTTCTGAGGGTATGGCTTGTATTCCTTCAGGTGCATCTACTTGGAGACGCTCTGCTTCCTAAACAAGGGGAGATGATGAGAGATAAGCCTATGACATGCTTATATACACACTTTTAATATACGTTTTGGTAATCCCGCTGACATATCGATGATGGTCGTTGCTCAACAAGCGATTCTTGAACATCTACCACCAAGATCTAAAGATGGGTGGTACAATTATAAACAGCAACGACAAATCTAAGATAAAAAATCAATTGAAGCTAAACTCGCATGGTCAGAACTACAAAATATTGACTGCAACTATCGCAAGGGTTTTCTACGCTTATCCAAACCCAGACAGCTGGAATTATACTGGTTTAGCGGGTGCTTTAGCTATAGTAAAGGGTGATAGAAGTGTCAGCTTTCAACTAGTCGATTTGGAGGTAAGCTCATCATCACCTTACACTTTCCTGCACAGCTCACACCTCAAAAGGGTACGAAAGGCGCTGTATCTTGGCAACATGAACTTCCTAATGAACTTGTATATGTTATGGATCAATCAAACTTCCATTCTTTCAACGGCGATGAATGTATGATCGGCATACAGTTCTCAGCTGAAGGAGAAGCCGCAGACTTCTATAGAAAAGTCAACAAAGTCAGAAAGCAGAAGAAACCATCAAAGAAAGAGGAAAAAGAGAGAGTCAAGAGGGAAGAAGATGAGAAGGAGAAAGCAACACAAGCAGAAGCTGCTAACTCAGCGGCGTCTCTACAAGCTCCACCTTCACCAGCTCCTTCAAAGGATAGCGGCAAGAAATCCAAGCGTTTCTCCACCCGTTTGTCTCTTGGTTCGTCATCTGGCAAAGATAAAGACGGTAAAATCAACAAAAATCTCATCAGTGCACCTAAGTCTGATTCATTCAAGCATGTTGGGCACCTTGGTTTCTCCAGTGAGGGCTTTTCTATGCGCGGTATAGATCCATCTTGGCAAGCACTGCTTGACCAACTCAACCAAAAGGGCTTCTCACAGAAAGACATCGAGAAACATGGTGATTTCATTAAAGAATTTGTTGAGAATAAAGGTGGACCTGAGCAATCGCAGCCAAAGAAGAAGGCACCACCTCCGCCAACAACGCGACGAAAGCAGGCACCAGCGATTGATGGTACTGTTACAGCAGCTCAGAAGCCTGCACATGCACCACCGCCACCTCCTATGGCTGCTCCTCCAGCTCCACCTCCAGTCGCGCCTCCAGCTCCGCCAGCACCTCCAGCACCTCCAGCACCAAGTCCACCAAGGAATATACCACCACCGGCTCCTGCCAAAGTGCCAGCACCGCCTGCTCCACCGGCTCCACCAATACCAACTCCCAAAGCAGCACCACCAGCACCACCAGCCCCACCTGTACCATCTACAGGTCCACCTGCTCCAACCTCAGCGCCAGTACCTCCATCAAGGCCAGCTCGTAGGTGTTTTCGTTTCCTTTACTTCACAGTGTACTAACGACACGTTTTTAGCGCCTGCTGCGGCTCCTCCTCCTCCTCCAGCTCCTCCTTCAGGTGAGTACATAGATTTTAACATAGATCCTGCTAATCTTTGCGGTAGCTGGCGTTCCACCACCACCACCACCACCACCACCGCCAGTACCATCAGCAGGAGGTGAGAAAACCCTTGTTCACTCGTTACTTATCTGACTTTCTCAATAGGTGCTCCTCCACCACCACCGGTACCATCAGCACCATCATCTCCATGTGAGTCAAATACTATGAGGATAGTTGTTAGTCTAACTGGATTTTTAGTACCACCTGCACAAGATGGCCGTTCAAACTTGTTAGCAAGTATACAGGGTAAGGGTGTGCATAATTTGAAGAAGACGGACAATGTAGCAGCAGGTACCGCCGGTGCAGCAGCAGGCGCAGGCGCTGCTGGAGCGTCTATGGCAACGAGCTCATCAGATGACCAACCTGAAGAATCCTCAAACGATCTAGCAAGTTCATTAGCTCAAGCACTTGCTACAAGAAAGGGTAATATGGGTGACAGTGATGATGATGAATCTGATGATGAATGGGACTAACAATAGACAATAATGATAGATGTAATAGCTAAATAGTTTTGAAAATTTTAATTTTACATGTAAAATATCTCGATAGGTCTGAAAATGTGATTCCAGCTAAATTCAGCTGTTAATTAAGAGAAACCGAAGTTACTTCTAGCGATTTCATATGCAATTGTCGTTGTTTATATGTTTATATCTGGAAAGTTATCGAACCGTATAGTATGTTTACAAATATGGAAGACAGTAGATAAAGCGCTCGACATAATTAGTTTCAGATAAGCTCAAATGGATAACAATTAATTGAATTACACAAATATGAATGTTTGTTTATTTCCACATCGATAGCGTGTTTGATAAGCAGTAAGTAGGGATATAGAGAGTATAATAGCTGAATAAGTTATAAAATAAAACTGGCTATCGTGACAACATCATAAAATAAATATTAAAACTCGTTCATCTGACTATTGCTTCTTTCAGCCCAACGTCCTCACACGGAGGTGTATAAGAGCTAGGCTGAGACTTCGCTTGTATTCGCACAACGGAGATGGCAAACTTATTCAATGACGATTTCGTTAAAGCCTTCGATTTTATGGGAATAAATGATTTGGACGATAACGACGATAGGAAGAATATCAACAACAGACAGTTTAGAGACATCTTCAAACCTCGTAACTCTGATAAACGTAGCTTAAGCTTACCAGATACCGCTAATGTCCGTTCTCTTACCAGTAAACATAGACTGCTAACAAACTATTAGACATTCAATAAAGCCGTATTCCCCTATTCATACGCATCAGAAAGCCAAAATACCACGTCTTCAACCCACAATCGTACTTTCAGCTACCCGTTCGTTAATACGGTCAAGCCAAAGCAAACCGATGCCAGGAGTGAGTGCACGAACGTGACATGTTTATCTACATTTACTAATATATATGGAACAGGTATTCTCAATAATCCATCTTTGGATAACCCACTCAAGTGAGTGTCTTCTTCTTTCGATGACCTCATTCATCTCCTAGCAGTACTACCAACGTATTTATACAAGGACTTTCACCACTTACAACTCCAGAGGACTTACAGAGAGCCGTCGAGCAATATGGAATGACTAGCAGTGCTAGAGTTATCATGCAACCAAACAAGAAAACCTGTAAAGGGTACGGTTTCGTACAATTTATAAACACTTATGAAGCTCAAAGAGCAATTATCGCACTCAACTGCAAAGGTATAAATGCTGCTTTTGCTAAACAAGAAAGTTTCACCGCCAGATTAAGAAGATTGGAGGATGAGGGATCAACCAACCTCTATTTATCGAATTTACCCTTAGATATGGACGACGGGAAGTTGTCTGTACTCTTTTACCCTGCAAATATACAATCACTGCGCGTCTTGAAGAATGAAAACGGGGAATCTCGGGGTGTAGGCTTTGTCAGGGTGAAGGATAGACAAACAGCTAGCTACTTCATAGACAAGCTACATGGTATCACGCTGTCAGGTTCTAGTCTTCCCCTTCAAGTTAGATTTGCCGACAGCCAGTCACAAAAAGACTTTAAGAAACTCGCCACGCGCAATAAACCAAGTCTTAAGACGAGTACAAGTTTGAGTGATATGTCAGCATCTCTTGAGAATGGCGCGGTTGAGAGTGCGTTCAATATTGGCTCATTAGACCAGTTTCAGCTTCAGATTCCACCACTGAAACATTCACATAGCTATGAATCATTTACGCGGATTCCACCGCCATTACATACGTCAGCATCACTCGAGGAACTTTTCACTACTGGGAATGCGAAAGTGAAGAGAAAACACTCATTTGATCCTTTCTCTGACGAGCTTTTTGACTTTAAATCATTCGGGCTATACCAAGGCAACAACTCACAGCCATCGATATCAAATTCAAATTCAAGTGCTAGTTTTCAATAAATCACACTGCATTCACATTGCATTTACTTGTCATTACGTTTGAATTGAGTTTCATTCTGCTAACATTACTAACTTATTACACTATTTCTGTACGACTTCTTGATTAACTGGCTTATCTAATCTATGAATGGACTATTTTTATTTTTTTATCTTTCTATCTTTTATCTTTCTATGAGTCGCCCTTGTGAGCTATTTTAGCCGTCGGTTATCTTATCACGTTAAATTAAGTCATCTTGGCTTTTGTCAATACAATCAAGATGCACCCATTAGATCCACTCACTAGAATTGAAATAGAACAGGCTACAGATGCTACGAAAGCCTTCGTCAAATTGGAGCAGGGCTTAAAGCCGCAGTCTTTACAGTTCAACACTGTCACTTTGATAGAGCCACCAAAGCAGCAAGTATTAGCCTGGTTAGGATATGAAGATAATGCTCCGCTTATCACACGTCAAGCGGAGGTAAGTAGCTTCCTTGCCACATGTTCAACTCTAACCGCATTAGGTTATCCTTCTCGATGGACAGACACAGACAGCTTGGGAGAGCGTCGTGGACTTGCCATCAAATATTTCGGAGGGGAAGTCCGTAAAAGAAGCCCACGTCACAAAGTGGAAATGTCTTGACAAAGATCAACAGCCAAGCTTGTTAGTTGAAGAACTCAATCAAGCGGAGAAATGGGCCAAATCTAACCCTAAGATTTTGGAAGCCGTCAAAGAAGTTGGCGTAGATCCAGAAATGCTCTTCTGCGACGGATGGTGTGTATCCATCGATGAGCGTTTCCCAGGAAGGCGTCTTCAGCAGGTAAGAAAATACTAGACTGCTTTATTTCTATTGAAACTTCTAAGTGTCTTATGTTTGCTCGTTCACGGCCTGGTGACTCGCTCTATGCGCATCCACTAGACTTTGTTCCCGTATTCGACAGCCATACAGGCGAGTTGCTCGCTTTGGACTTCCCTCCACTCAACGCTCAAGATGGCGAGCCGGCTCCGCCATCGTCTGCCAAAGGTAATGCCGAGAGACCACGTAAATTTAGATTCCCTCCTCCATCTACGAATCAGAATTACCTTCCTGAACAAATAAAGCAGGATGATCCTTCATTCAAACTCAGGGAAGGTCTTAAGCCGATTCATATAACTCAGGTGAGTTATGATGACTTTCATGAATATGTCTCACTTTTACAACAGCCTGAAGGTGTAAGTTACAACATTGAAGGTCGTGTTCTTAGATGGCAGAACTGGAGTCTGCATGTCGGTTTCAACTACCGGTGAGTGTATAACAACATTTAGTATAGTATCTAATGACATCTCAGCGATGGCCTTGTACTCAACAATGTTACATACGATGACAATGGTACTATAAGACCACTTTTCTATCGTTTGAGTATCGCCGAGATGGTTGTACCATACGGTATCACCAAGTTCCCGGGTCACAGAAAGCATGCATTCGACACAGGTGAGTGAGCGTTCAGTAATGAAATTTGATAATACTAACTCCAGACAGGTGAATATGGTATCGGTACACTCTCGAACAGTCTCTCGCTTGGTTGTGACTGCCTTGGGTCCATCAGCTATATGGACGCTGACTTCGTTAAACGCTCTGGTGAATCAAAGACAACAAAATCTGCTGTATGTATACATGAAGAGGATGCAGGCATTCTCCACAAGCATACAGACTTCCGTGATTTGAAAGTCCATGTTGCGCGTAATCGCAAATTGATTATATCCAATATCTGCACGGTTGCTAACTACGAGTATGGCTTCTATTGGTCATTTGGATTAGATGGGAACATTGAATTGGAAGTTAAATTGACTGGTATTGTTAACGTCACCGCAATGGGTCCAAACGAGCCACGTAATAAGCAAATTGAAACAGAGGTAGCACCGAGAATTGCTGCACCATTCCATCAGCATCTTTTTTCACTTCGCATTGATTCTATGATTGATGGACAAAAGAACCAGGTTGTCCAGACTGATATTATTCCGGATGAGGATGTCGTTGGAGGACCTACGAATTACTATGGTAACGGTTTCCACACCGAGAAAACCATATTCAAGAACAGCAAAGACGCAATTTCAGATTATGATGCAACCAAAGCACGTACCTGGACAATAGAGAATCCAAACAAAGAGCACTACTCTTCTGGAAATCAAGTAGGATATAAGATAATGTGCAATAATATGTCAACCATGTTTGCAAAGAAGGGATCAATGTTGTATAACAGAGCGCCATTTGCTAGACATGGTATTCACGTTACCAAGTATCAAGATAACACACTCTATCCTTCCGGTATGTACGTTAATCAATGTGAAGGTGGCGAACAATTCGCTTTATCAGATTGGATAGCAAAGGGTGATAATGTTCAAAATGAAGATATCGTAACTTGGTTAACATTTGGCGCTAACCATGTCGTTAGACCAGAAGATTGGCCTATTATGCCTGTTGAATCGGTCAAAGTACATCTCAAGCCTTCAAACTTCTTTGACAGGAATCCAGCTTTGGATGTTCCTTCAGTTAAAGATTCTAAGTCGCGGTTGGCTGAAGAAGCTGAAGCCACACAGGATTGCTGCAATAATAAATAATAAGTTTTCATATTTTTTAAAAGGATTTTATAAATACAAGTACAATTCATCCGTGTCTATTTCTATGCCCTTGCGGCTTTGGTGGGTCATACCATCTAAATGCCTTCTGAGACGGTCCTGGACATGAAGGCTGTAGTGGTGGCGTATAAGTGAAGTCCTGCATGTATGCATTAAAGAATGGTGTATCTTTAAACACCGTCGTGAAGTCAAAAGATGGACTATCGACCGTATCGGATGATGAGGACAGCGAGTCCGAAAGGACTTGAACAGCTTGTACGAGTTGCTGATATTGTTAGAAATACCTCAATTGATAATTCTTTCTCTCACTTTAAATCGTTCTGCTGCCTCTTGTTGCTTTTCGGCTGGGTTTTTGTCTGGGTGGTATCTTAACGAGTCAGGCTATCACTCTAGTCATAGAATTACACACCTTAATGCCAGCTTTTTATATTGTGAGGTTATTCCCGCCACGGTAGGTGTACCCTCCACCCCCAGAATCGCTTTTGCTTCCCTGACGCTTATCTGAATCGTGATGAACTCTAACAACGATCATCAATAATGAAAAATTTATATCTCCGTTGTCTTTTTTTTTAAGAAGACGCGTTATTTCCTCTTCCAGAATTCACTTACTCTTTTCGGTAGGTAGCGTGCCATCATCCATTTAGGCTAGCGTATTTGATTTTCTCCTTCTTTTAGAAACTATTTCAAGATTAAAGCAATTAGAAAATACTCAAGTTCAAACAATTCCAGACTAAGATCACGTTCACCACCATCACCAATAAAAGATCCAATGAACAACGAGCATATGAACCCAACACAAGACCCACAACCAACGCGCAGAAGGTATACGCGCGCTTTAAGCTTAGGTTCTAGTTTGAATTCAGCCAATAGTGAAAAGCGTAGCAATGTACTTGGTATACACTTCAGTCCACAAGTTGAAGACGATGACATTCACGAAGTCTCTCAACCGCACCCACATAGACGTTCAGGTAGTCCGCTTAAAGGTCCACGTCCACCTCCGGGAGCATCAGCAGCTGGTTTGCCGAGTTCCAGAGATTTCGAAGGTAGGCATGTCTTTCTTTTTCCGCTTTTGGCATACTCACGCGTTTTTAGGCCAGAGCGTACACACTTCTCGCTCTAACTCACCCTCAAAAACTGTGAGAATTATTTCCCCACAATCAGAAGCCTTATTGTCTTTCCATGAACAGAATCCGAACAAACACCAAGAACACGTCCAGAAGCGAAATGAATTTGAAAAGGCAGAAGCTATTGTTATGGAGAGAAATCCAACTAATGAAAGTGAAGCCAGTGTCAACTTTGACGCCGTCAATAGAAAATTGGGGCATATGCACATCGAGAATCAAAAGAATTCTGATACTGGAACACCCCAAATGGAAAATTCACCAAAACATCCATTACGCGTTACAAATCCATCTGCTTCAACCACTTCACTTGATGCTACCCTAGGAAAGCAGCAGAAAGAAGAAGAGATAGCAGATGAGATTGGTGATGAAAATCTTAAACAGGAACAAGTTCAGGAAGTCGAGGAATCTCATCATAGTGAGCAAATCAAGTCAGATAACAAGTCTGAGCTCTCTCACAAGTCACGTAAATCAGATCATTCCAACAGATCAAAGCAAACTCATAAGTCAAACAATGATGAGCAGTACTCTTCAGTAATACCACCAAGAACATCATCGAAAATGGGCGTAGATGGAGCTGAGCAGTCTTTTGAGGAGCAAAAGGAATTACCAAATGATAGAGATCAGATCCCAGTAAGGAAGCGTTCACAGACCTTACCCCAAAACCCTCGCATCCAACTTCAAGCTCCAGCTATGCGTGTTACCCAGTCTACTCAACCGGAGAGAAGTGAGGGTATGGTAGATAAATCCAAGAGATCAGTTTCTGCTCAACAGCAAGCAGTTAGTTCACCATCGAGACACAACACATCATCAACTAGATCACCAGAGAATGCTTCGATGTTGAAATACGCTCATCTTGATTTCTTATCAAAGCCACCATCTTCCACTGAATTCCCACACGCACCTAAGCTTAACACGAGATCTGGATCAAACTTTTCATTGAATGCTAGCTCAATTGGATCAAATGGTGTTGATATTAGATCATCAAGAGGTATGAGAGGTCTCGCACACGCAGAAAGAGGTGGTGGTGCTGTCAAATTCGACGTTCAGAAAGGTGGATTTGTCACTCCTTCCAACTCATCTTGTTCAACTCAAGCAGGTGTTATCGATCCACCTTCTACGCGATTCGATGCTGACGCAGTTACTGGAAAGATTGGTCAAGTCGGTCAACATAATAAGAAGATCCAAAAAGCTCGCTCTCAAGGTGACTTACTTAGGCAGACTACCTTGCTCAACACTTCCACTTCACCAGCCAGAACTGCAAGAGAATTGAGGGCTGTTCTCTCCGGTGGTAGCAGGTTCGGCAGCAATTCACATCAGATTACTCTCGAACAATCACGCACGAGATCAAGAGCGGAAGTTGATCTAGTTCTTGATAGTGAGGCTGTCGTCGAAGGTGGTGTCCTTGGTGGTCGAATGGATGTCAAGCTTGCTAATGATAAGGTCTGGTGGGGTAATGGTAAAGTTCGTGTTGTTGGTTTTGAAGGTTGGTCTTACTAATTGCATGATTTCGTTTACTCACGCCACATAGATCTCCAAGCTGATGAGACTCGCCATGTTTTCTTCCACCATGATGCTCCTGTTGACTTCTATCCACCTGCTGGATATGGCCTGCCAGATGATGAAGGATACTACCGCGGTGTCAACACGAAGAAAGGTAGACGCAAGGATAATAGAATCTCACTTCCTTTCAAGATCAAGCTGCCAATTGGTGGTGGTGCAAAAGGCCCACTCAAGTCGAAGAGTGGCTTTGTCCGTTACATAGTTATTGGGTGGGTTATTTTCCACATGAAATGTTTTTCCTAACCCAAAACAGCTCTATTCATCTTAAGAACCACAAATCCAGTGATAGATCAATCGCGCATTTCTACAGATATGTTACAATTTATCCTTTGCTATCTCCTTCGAGCGTTTTAGCACCAGCACCCGTACCAATCATGCAGACAGCTTCAAAGCCTCTCTTCCTGGGTGGAAAGGGCCCAATCAATTTAACAGCTAGCGTCCACCGTCCACATTGGGTTGCTGGTCAACGTTGTTATGTCATGATTACAATCGATAATAATAGTAGCAAGAGGGTGAGTTTTTAGATTAGTGAACAATACATTCGCTCATGAAACATACAGGTTAAATCTGTTAGCTTGTCCCTTAACAGGACTATCATTGCTTATAGGCCACGTCCATATGCTTCTTTAATGGTTGGTGACGACCTTGATGCATGCCAAACCACTACAAACACCAAGAGAATCGCCGAAGAGAAGCTTGAAATAGGTTCAAAGGGTACTTCTGGTCATGTTACGGCTAAAGGCTGGTTCAGAGGTGTTGACTCAGGTGAACAGCTTGAGTTCTCTTCATCGTTGCAAGTTCCTGTTAGTTCTTCTTTTTCGATATCATGTCTTTGACTAACTAATTCACAAGTCTGATGCACTTACTATCCCTCGCACACGTTTATTGGAGGTAAATTACACACTTCGCATCGGTGTCGCTGGATCATTGTCCAAGGGAGACGTATCAGTCGAACTTCCAGTCAAGTTTATTAACTTCTTGTCGATCGATCCTCCACCTTCAGCCCATCCACCAACTCCTATGCCTATGAATTCTGTCTCAGGTGTAACACCAACTGATGCAGAATTAGTGAAGTCGGCTGCATTAGAAAGACACAAGCAGGACATTGAGAGGGCTAAATCACCATCAAATGATGTTAAGACAGTGGATGCATTGAGAGGTACTGCTAAGATATCTCCACCAGCTCTTCATGCTCAATCTTCTGTTAAAGCTCAAACAGGTAACACTGTCTTTAATGAGGGGGGTCCAAAGATCTCACAAATGGATATCATTGATGAAGCACTCTTTAATGCGTCGGTATCACGCAGAGGTAAAGGCGGTAAGCCACCTTCACCATTACCAGTTGATGATATGGATACCACCGCTGAACAAGAGCAATCTTCTAATAATCATGATGATAGCACAATGAATGAAACTACTCAAGATATGACTGAAGATTCACATATGACTGATTCTCAAGCAGATGGTATCTCAGAGGATGAAGATGACAGTGGCTCAGAGGTGAGCTTTGACGAGAATGATATTAGTGAGCCTGCTATCAACGTGGAGCCAGAAGAACATAATGATGGCAATGAAAAGAAACGTCCAAGTTCGCGCCCATCACTAGCAGAAAGTAGAAGGGAGACACTTTTGAATGCAATTAAAGATGATGACGAGGATTCAGCCTCTATTGATCAAAATGAGTCTAATTCAAATGGCGAACATGAAGATATAGTAGAGGAAACTCCAAAACTTGATATTCATAGCCCAACTGGTGACTTCCACGATGCTCATGACTTCGAAGAGGAAGAGAACGAGAAGCAAGAAGCTTCCCATGCTGCCCCAGAAGATGTTAAAGATGAGCCTGAAGAGGTTGAGATTAAGGTTGAGGAACCGAAGCATGATGAGCCTGAAATTGAACCAAAAGGTGAACCTGTTTCAGAGCAGATCAAGAGCGAAATGGAGGAACCTCAACAAATCCACGAAGAGGAAGAGTTGGAGGAAAGTGACGAAGAAGAAGTAGAAGAACATGAGAAGGTGGATGACGATCAATCCCCTCCACCAGTTGGTCTTCCACAACTTGCTCAAGATCCGTTGGATCATCGCTCACTGGCACAATCTCGTGCATCTCACCTTTCTGGTGGAGATGTTATGGCTTCAATGGCATATCTCAGCTCACCAATTAATGATGTCGAAGAACCTGTGCAATCAGTGCATCAAACTGCTAGACGCCCACTTCCAGAATCACCTCAATCATCCTCTGGTAAGATGACAGCTCATGAGCAAGTCAATCGCAATAGTCCATCTGTTCGTAGCGATGAGAAGTCACCAAGCACAAGGCCTGAACCTAAGCGTACTGCTTCAGAAGATCCATTCTCACCTACATTCATGGAACAGCATCAACAAAAGGAACTACCATTGTCTCCGTCTAACAAGACACCAAACTCACCATCATTCTGGTCACCTGCTTCCAAAGCAGCTGCTGCTATGCCACAACTTCATCCAGTAAAGACCGACGGAATAAGCAGAAATGAAGAAGAAGCTGAACTTGAAACACCAACAAAAGTTTTGAACTCTACAAATGAGTACTCGTTTGATACATTCAAAAGATACGCCGCTGCTTACACCGTACCATCACCATCAGCAGAATCTGATAAGAGTCAGCCTGTGTCAGTCAAGGGACGCGTTGCTCAATTTGAACAAACTGGGGGAGGCTCTAACAGATCAAGTATAAACTTTGAACCATCACAGTTGATCAAAGACAGAGCTGTGAGAAGACAATTAAGTGCGCTTAGCAAGAAATCAACAGATAGTTTAAGGCCAGGTTCACAAAATGGCGAAAACTTTAATACCACTTCAATGGATATTTTCAACAGGTGGAATGAATAAACGAACTATTTAAACCTGCATGACAACGAAAAATTTCAACTCAATCATTTATTTTTTATTTTTGACAGAATTGACAATCATTTATCTATTTGTTTATTGTTATTTAACATGTAATTATATGCAATTAATCATTTAAACAATTTACTTTCGTTTTGCTTTCTTCTCTGACGATCATCTATTGAACAAAGAGAATAAAGAGAATGAAGGGATTAAAAAAGATGAAGTAACTAAGATACGTGTGTTTATACCAGTGAAGTAAAGCTCCTCTCTCGTTAAAGTCATCTCTTAATCACAAACCATCATCATCGATGCATGCTGCAATTGCCAATGAGACTGATGAGAGGAGATTAAAGAGCCTGGTACAGCATGTTGGAAGGTCATTCTATGAGAGCAAGTATTACATTATTTTAGATCAGCTTATTAGGAAGGAAGCGTGGGTATATCTATAAAGATATTATATGAAAGGCTCAGACGCCATAATTTAGTATGCAGGATGGTGAAATAGCTGGTAGAATTGGATTAACTGTTAAAGATAGCTCTAAACTTATTGCAAAGTTGATATCTGATAAGCTTGTCTTCCAGTGAGTTTAGCTTTCCACAGTGGAAGACATCCACTAAAGAGACCAGTTATCGACGGAATGAATATCAGCCACCAAATCCACGTCCACTTTTGAAGACCTATTATTACATTGATTATCAACAGTTCATCGATAACGTCAAATGGCGTATGTGGAGGATCAGGAAAGCTATTGATGATAAATTAAGAAATGTGGGTGTTTGCCATTTTATTTAGTTCCGCTAAAATTGTCCAAGGAATTAGATCAGAAAGGATATGTTTGTCCTGGTTGTCAAAAGACGTTTACACCACTTGATGTCCTCCATTTAGAAGCAACGACAGATACTTTCATATGCGATACTTGCAACGCACCGCTCAAAGATAATGATGAATCTGATGGCGTAAAAGGTTCACAAGATATGATGGCACGTTTGCTTATGCAATGTCGCCACATCATTGCAGGTCTAAAATTAACGGAAGATATGACTTTACCACCGTAGGTATCACCTTTTTAAAATATCCCATCATAACATCTAATTATTAGATTTGACATTGCTGATTGGATTGGCAAGAACGTCAAAGCGATTACTCAACCAATTAAAGAACTTGAAGGTGAAGATGATGGTTTAGCCGTGGCTGGTGCTGGATCATCATCTGGTAATAACAAATCTCAAGTTAAGGTTCAAATAGTCGCAGATGAGCATGACGCCGAACAGAAGAAGAAATTAGAACAGGAGGCAGAAGAAAGGAGAACTAAGAATGCTCTACCGGAATGGGTATTGAGGAGTACCATTTCAGGTGAAATTACAGCGATCGGACATAGGAATCAAGCCATCATGGAGAGGAAATCTAGAGATGAAGGAGGGACTTTGCATAGTCAAGATGATGGATATGAAGCCATCAACATGGATCAATATTATAATGATTATTATTCTAATTACAATTCAAAACGATCACAATCGCCTGGTCAAGATACATCGAACAAACGTATAAAACAAGATACCGAAACCAATAACGTAACACAACAGCAAGACAATAATGATTCAGAGGAGGAGGATGACGACGACTTTGAACAAGTCGCATAACTTATTTTGTCGATGCACCTGCATATTATATACACATTATATATTTATCTTTAGTTAGAGATGATCTGAGATGTATAGCTAAGACGATCAGGTTAAACATTATTTTAGGTGTAGCGCAGACAAACTTGACATCTTTTAAACATAGATTCTGTTTTCTGTATTATTCGACTTATTTCGGCCAGTCTCAGAAATAGGCAATCTTTTGCCAAAATTCTAAAGGTAGTGTATAATAACTTGAGAACCGAAAATTCAAAGTAATGTCAAAATCTCTCCAATAGCTTTTGAAGGATCAAAGGCTATAAATGTCTCTTAGATGTTGGCCTAGATGTTACTAAATGAGAAAAAGTGTTATTATATGTAAAATTTTAGGTTGTATCAATCCTTTCTAGGCTAATTTATTAGTGTGACTCAATTTATCAGCAGATAAGATAAAGAATGGATACTTTTCCTGGTGAAGTTGGTGGTAAGTTCACGTGCGTGACCTAAAATGAATGCACATAACATCAAGACATGATGACATGCAACGAAGACATATTATAAACGGACAGCGGAAGTACTTATACAATATATTACAAACCAATAGATTGGGATAATCTGTGATCAGGTAAATTTAGTATACAAATCACGCTAATAGCGTATTACATACAGTTCGTGCGATGTGATTTGGATATCTGAAAAAGTTATGTAGAGCTGCCAATCTTGCTGTATGTTTGAGCACTTCTTCTGTCTACTAGCAGAATTCAAGTATGACTAAGCCACATTTGTAACTCGGAGGTTTCACATATAAATCTGGAGACAAACAATGTATTCTTTTTGCACCCAACTTCCATAATGCCTTTACACTTTCTTGTGCTTGGGGGCACCGGTAAGTAATTTGCAATGTAACGCAGGCTGGGACTAACATGTAGACCTATATAGGTGCAATAGGCACGCTTTTTACCCACAAGGCCTTAGTTGAAGGGCATCGACTCACTTTATATGCTCGCAATCCATCAAAATTGAGTGACTCACTACGTGCCCAGGAGAAATTGGATGTGATAGAAGGAGAATTGAGCGATATGGTAGCGCTAGAGACGGCAGCCAAATGCGGTGCTGATGCTTTCATATCTTGCGCCGGACCTCTCAGTGGAAGCCAAGGCACTGTACGTCATTTTGATACATGAAGTTTAGAATTCTCTTAACCTTAGCCACAGCCTATCACAGATTGCTACGCCAAGCTGTTGCCGTTATTGGCTTCCAATGGAGTTCATCGGGCGATCATGCTTTGTACACCTTCATTCAGCCAACCAGAAGATTCTTTCTCTCTATTATGGTCATTTGGGAGGGTTTTCATGCGACTTTTACATTTCACAGAATTTAATGAGATGGTTTCGGTTGGTGAGTTGGTTACACTCAGATCTCCAGCGGATATGACATGGACTTTGTTCCGTGTGGGGGGATTGACAGACGGTGCTGAAAAAAACACAACAGCCACAATGCTAGGTTCTGGTAAAGACCATGTCACTATCAGTCGGGAGAGCGTCGCAGCTTGGCTTTTGAAAGAGATTAAGGATAGTCAATGGAAACTTAAGGCTCCATATATCTGCAACACTTAGGTAGAGCAACTTAACAACGATATAATTCCACTCCTTACATGTACGATTATTCGGAGCGATATGATAGATACAAATCACTAATACTACAGCTGAAGCTAAACGATGTGATGGTGATAGCGTGAAGTTCACTCGCCCAAGCGTGAAGACTCTAAGGAGCACACTCCTTTGATGAGGTTAGATGAAGTACAAGAGCTGGTTGTAATGATCTGGTAGATGATGTTACACATACGTGTCTCAGATTCTTCCAAGATCCTTAGATCCCTTGGAAGACAATTATAGAACTTGAGAGCTTTAATAACTTCTATAAAATTATCAATAATGGTTTTACAAAGAAATGCAGCCATAGCGGAATCCGTTATTTATGATACAGGACACTCAATTTGATTTATTTAGGTTGGTTGGTTGGCAAACTTCTTGTCATGACCTCTCTTCCTCTGTGCATTACCTTGCTTTTCCTTATTTTGACGCTGACGGTTATTACCACTATGACCAGCGCCTTGAGTTGGAGCTTTACCACGGGTAGAGCCACTACTGGCACCACCTCTTCCTCTTCCTCTCGCGCCACCTCGAGAATGTCTTGATTTACCTTCTTGAACAGGTACATCGAGGTTATTATTCACAATATCCTTATCTTGAACCAGTCTTTGCAATTTGCGAGGATTTCTCACTAATTGAGAATGCCATCCTTCTATTTGGCCATCATCTAAACCAGTAGCATTCCGGAGATTCTCTCTTTCCTTGGATCTGCGAGTAGTTGAGGACCTATCAAACAAGCTTGGGTTCTCAAGATATGCTTTCTCAAGTACAGAATAATCAACTTCGACAGTCGGAGTGGTATCACCTGTCTCGGTAGGTCTGCTAGCGTACTCTTCTTCCTCTTCTAATTCAGCTTCAATTTCCTCAATTTGGGCTTCCTCTACTCGGCGCATGACTGTTGCTTTAAGTTCATTTCTAGCGTCTTCATCCATCTTTAATTTTAAATTACTATATCGGATGGTTAGTAAATTTAAATTTGAGATATTATACCTACTTAGCCTTGCCTATACGCAACTTGCTGAAATCAAGCTCGGCGGGTTCGTCATTATCATATTTAGGTTGCTCAAGAGGTTCATCTTGAGGTATATGAACTGTACCCTCTAGTAAAGCTTCAATAAGTGCCTCTGTGTTGCTGTATTGTGGCAAAGATAACGCCTTTTCAATAAATGATACATCTTGATCTGGGAATATATCAAGAACGACATCAATGCGTGGATCTCTATCTGGTCTTGGTGGTAGAGCTGGCGGCGCTTCCATATCCGCTTTGCTTGAGCTAGGTGGGCTTATTAACATAATATCGAGCACTAACAATTCCATTCTTTGACCAACGATCTGAAGATCAAAGTTTGTTTGAGGTATAAGAAGTGTACTGCTCTCAGTGATGGTTTCTAGATCAGACAACATTGATGCATTCTGAAGAGGTCGATCGCTGAGCTCTGGTGGCGGTGTTTTGTCAAGAATGACGTTTAATGCTTCTGAAATGAGGGTGGCTGAATTTGAATTTGACAATGAATGATGTATAATATTGTAGAGTATATCCAAGATGATTAATTTATCATCTTTCTCAATGCTATTGTATAATCCGTTTAGGTATTTGAGTAATGGTAATGAGCTATTAGTTAGTGTTTCAACGAAATTGATAGAGAAACAGTGTAATACATCTAATATCTTTGGTGTATTAGAATTAGATGCGACTAAAACTTCCACGAATCTCGCCAATTCGAATGATGTAAAGTTAGTTGTAGCCGCTATCTGCTTAAATCGAGAGATATTATGACGATGTAAGATAGTAGCTAAACTGACAAGTGATTTAAGTGAAAACTTTCTATTAATTGATTGTCTCTCAGCCAAATCGAGTATTTGTAGTCTAACTAAACTGAGTTCTTCTCTATAATGAGTAGCAAACCAGCTAAATAAATCGTCTGCAGAACTGTCACTCAATAATTTATTAGATTTTAAAATATCGTTCAGCTTTATCTCTAAATTCCTGATTGACATCTCTTTCGTTTGGAACGACGAAGTATGCAGGACGAAGAAAACGATTTGAGGTGCAATAGCTTGAGATGTAGAAAATTATTAATAAATGAAACCAAAGCTGGTATGCTTATCTCCCATTTTACACCTTCATCTCTCAGTTCTTTGTTAGTAACGACGACGTGCTCTCGTGGGACTATCTAAAGCTATATATGATCAACAACTTATAATAATAGACATATTTTGCATCAGATGCGCTACAGATCTCTTCGAAAATAGCCACAATTGTCCAGCTTGTCATACTAGTTTACATGAACCAGATGATATCATTGCAGGTTAATTATTATTTAGATAAGCGCTGAAATTGATAGCCAGCTCAATTCACTCAGTCCAACGGAAGATTACAAGAGTAGTTGCTTAGCTGGACTATCCCCTTCTTTGATATTTGACATCGCAGGAAGGGCTATCAGATTCTGGCAATACCAGCATTCTGAAGAGAGCTCATTTCAGTCTATTCTTCTCAGGGATTCACAAGAGAAGCTTGCTGTCATTGAGCGTAAGTCAGAAATTCAGGCGAGAGAATGTATGTCTCAAATCGGACATATACATGTTTTCTAACAGTTGCATCAAGCTAACAATGAGATCGCAAGTGGGTGATCCAATGGTTACTTCTTATTATTCAATCAACTCAATTATAGCTCTTCAAATGCAAATTAACAGCATTAGCGCAGAATTAGGCAGTGAGCGTCGCAAACTACAGAACATCTTGAAGTCACACCAAGAGCAGGAAAATGAAATTAGAAGGCTGAAGAGCAAAAGTGACACCAAGAGACAAGGAATACATTATGAAAGACTATCAAGATCTGCAGCACAAATACCACCCTCAGATAGGGTGAGCATATAAAGGTTTTTTTATATTATTCATACCTATAATCAATGCAGATGCACACACCTACCATTCAAGGAGCTCATATTCCTCCAACACCAAATAGGGTAGCTTCTGCCAACATTTACTCAACACAACATACGTCAAATAACGACAGGATCTCATCATACAATTTCAACAGATTAGGTCCTTTCGAAGGTGTAAACAAATCTCCGATAAAGCGTTTCAATATGTCATCACCGTTGAAAACTCATCCTCTATCACGCAGAACATACCTTCAAAGGTGATACACTCGGCTGATTTTTTTTTTATAACAAAACAATGTATCTGCGAAAACAAGTTTACCAATCCATTTTCTGACTCTTGGATTTAGGAGGGTTGAACGTTCTACCGGCGTATTCTTGACCGTCTAACCATGGCCATGTTTCTGATCTGCGCTTTTCGAATGTGACGATATCATCCTCCTTTTGTAAAGTCAATCCGATATCATCTAAACCATTAAGAAGACAATGACGACGGAAATCATCGACGTTAAATGGAATACTCTCTCCGTTATAGCGTTTTACTACCTTATTCTCAAGATCAACTTCAACTTCCTTTGATTCCTTAGCGTCTTGTGAAAGTTTTACGACATCTTCTTGCGGCAGCACGACTGGAAGCATACCGTTTTTGAAGGTATTGTTGAAGAAAATATCAGCAAATGATGTAGAAATGATACATCTAATGCCTTGGTCGAGTAAAGCCCATGGAGCATGCTCTCTAGAAGAACCACAACCGAAGTTACCACCTACGTTGATTAAAATAGATGCCTTAGTCCATGGTTCTTGGTTGAGTACGAAGTTAGGATCAGGCTTGCCGGTTTGTGGGTCATATCTCATACCATAGAAAGCAGCACTACCTAAACCAGTACGCTTGATCGTCTTCAAGAATTGCTTCGGTATAATCATATCTGTGTCGATATTTGGAAGATCTAAAGCTGCAGCTAAACCTTTAACAACTGTGAACTTGGTCATTCCAGCTGCTGCTGCTGCTCTTGTAGCTTGTTGAACAGCTGAAGGAGCACCGTCAGTTTCTGGTGGGCCTTGAGGTTTAGCTTCTGAAAGTTTAAGTGTAGATTGATTGGTTGTGTAGTCTTTAGGATCGAGGATTTTGAGTGCAGGTTCACTATCGCTAGTTGAAGATGGTAATGCTGGTGCTAATTCTCTAACATCGGTCAGACGACCAGTGATGGCAGCAGCAGCAGCCATTGCAGGAGAACACAAGTGAGTTCTACCACCTGCACCTTGTCTACCTTCAAAGTTACGGTTAGATGTAGATGCACATCTTTCTTGTGGTGATAATTGATCTGGGTTCATACCTAAACACATAGAACAACCTGCTTCTCTCCAGTCAAATCCAGCAGCAGTGAGAACTCTATCAATTCCTTCAGCTTCAGCTTGACGTTTGACGTTACCAGATCCAGGGACAATCATGGCAAGCTTGACGTTTGATGCAACTTTACGACCACGAGCGACGGCAGCGACGGCCCTAAGATCTTCAATACGTGAGTTTGTGCATGATCCGATGAAGACCTTATCAATTGGAATTTCCGACATTTTTGCACCTGCTTTTAATCCCATGTACTCAAGTGCACGCTCGCAACCTTGTCTCTTTGGACCTTCTGGGAAAGATTCTGGGCTTGGGACGTTTCCGGTAATGGACACGACATCTTGTGGAGATGTACCCCAAGAGACGGTTGGTGGAATATCCTTTGCCTCGATATTAACTTCAATGTCGTAGCTAGCTTCTGGATCCGATTGAAGAGTTGACCAGTATTTTATGGCCTTGTCCCATTCTTCACCTTTTGGTGCTAAAGGTCTTGATTTGAGGTAATCGTATGTGATTTGATCTGGTGCGATCATACCAGCTCTAGCACCACCCTCGATAGCCATATTACAAATCGACATTCTAGCTTCCATTGAAAGTGAGCGTATAGTGCTACCACAGAATTCAATAACGCATCCAGTACCACCTGCAGTACCGATAATACCAATAACGTGAAGAACTAAATCTTTTGAGGTGACACCTTCACCAAGAGGGCCATCAACGCATACTTTCATGTTCTTAGATTTCCTAGATTGCAAAGTTTGGGTGGCAAGGACGTGTTCAACTTCGGATGTACCGATACCGAAAGCTAAGGCACCGAAAGCGCCGTGAGTAGAAGTGTGAGAGTCACCACAAACAACAGTAGTACCAGGGAGAGTGAAACCTTGTTCTGGACCGATAATGTGGACAATACCTGTTGAAGAAGTTAGCGGAGGAATTGATATGAAAGTATGACGCACCTTGTCTGGAATCATCCATACCGAAGTAAGTTAAACCGAACTCTTTGATATTCTCTTCTAAAGTTGCACACTGGGTACGGCTATCTTGTTCCTCGATGAAAGTAGAGATTGACTTGAAGTTTTCTCTCTTAGAAGTTGGTATATTGTGGTCGACGGTGGCGAGTGTACAATCTGGCCTTCTAACTTTTCTGCCAGCGTTTCTCAAACCTTCAAAAGCTTGAGGGGAAGTTACTTCGTGCACTAAGTGACGATCAATGAACATGATGTTGTTGCCATTATCGTCTGTAACGACATGATCGTCGAATACCTAATAAAATATAAGCTAGGTGTTTATGTGGCTGTCTATATAACCTACTTTTTCGTATAATGTACGTGGTTTTGAAGTTGCAACCATGGATGTAATTGTTTAAGAAGCAACGAATCAGGAAGCCTCGGTTTGAGTCGAAGGAATGCATAAAGTGTTAATAAAATAGTAAATTAAACTGTATGCTAGTTTATTTAACGTACTAGTTATAACTTATAATTACATTGAAATACAGCCTTCGGACAATTGAATGACACCCGATAGGCCGACGATAGTAGATTGTCTAACTGATGAGACAAAGTAGTAAGCTATCAATAAATGGTACAGGATATAGATAACTGTTATATAATTCTATATAGAGTTATAATATAGGTATATTCAATAGCTATATAATCATACTAAATAACAGATAAAGATATATAATCTAAGCTATCTCATAAATACATTCTAATAATGAAAATAAAATAAAAATTTATACACTCAACTAACGATTTGATTGTTCTTCTATTTCGACATCATGCAGTTGCAGTACGGCTGTGGGTCTAACCAATTAGCGTCTAGCTAAACTTATATTATAACAGTTCGTAGTTTAAAAGACTTCAAATTAATAGAGAATTACTCAAATTTGTTTGAATTGTAAGTTTAAACTATCAATTTTATCATTCGACTAATAAAACTAGACCTGCAGAAGTAAAAGTATTTAAATACTCAAGCTGCGGTAAATACTTAGCATATGCACTCACTGATAGCGTTGTTATCGCAAACTCTGATGGTAGCCAATTAGCTCAATTAGATGTCAAGCAATGCCAGGATTTAGAATTCAGCAGAAAATCTACTTACTTGCAAACCTGGACTAGACCTGTTAGATTAGAGAACAATGATTATAGTGAAAACGTTGAAATATTCACACTTGATGGTACAAAAGTATTCTCAACCACAGTCAAACAACTCGAAAGCTGGACAATTAACTTCGCAAGTGATGATAAGTGGGCAGTTAAGCAACAATCTAATGAATTATTGGTATACGATACTCAAAACTGGTCTAAAGGTTTCACCAATAAACTTAAATTAGAAGGCTTAGTCACATACACTCTCAGTCCAGGTAGAAATCCACATTTAGCAACTTTCATTGCAGAAAAGAAGGGTGCACCTGCTTCACTCAGGTTATACTCTCTTCTCGGTTTGTCCAGTAATTCTAAGCCTGTTTCACAAAAGACATTCTTCAAAGCAGACAGAGTGTCCATGAAATGGAACAACCTTGGTACAACACTTCTCTTCCAAACTCAAACCGACTTTGACAAGACCAATAAGAACTACTACGGTGAATCTAACCTCTACTTATTATCAACCGTTGGTGGTGGATACGATGCACGTATTACACTTGACAAACCAGGTCCAATTCATGACTTCAACTGGTCACCAAATAGCAAAGAATTTATCGTTATTTATGGTTACATGCCGGCAAAGGCTACATTGTTCGATCAAAGGGGTAACCAAACATTTGACTTTGGAGTAAATCCAAGAAACTTTGCATTATTCAATCCACAAGCTAGATTTATTTTAATTGCTGGTTTCGGTAATCTTGCAGGTCAAGTTGACATTTGGGATAGAAGAACACTCAGTAAAGTTTGTCAAATTGATTGCTCTAACACAAGTCACTGTGAATGGTCACCTGATGGTAGATATATTCTTACAGCTACCTGTTCACCACGTTTAAGAGTAGATAATGGCGTTAAATTATGGCATCTTACTGGAAAACTCATACACATTCATCCAATTGAAGAGCTCTATCAAGTACATTGGAAACCAGTTGATGTTAAATCATTCCCAGAATTTAGAAATGAAATTGAACCAGCACCAAAACCACATGATAGCGTAAAAATATACCAAAAACCAAGTGAAACTAAACCAAAAATTACTGGTGCTTACAAACCTCCACATGCTAGAGGTACACCATCTTCAAGTGGTGCATCTACACCAAGAACTAGAACTATTCCAGGTGCAGCACCTTCACCGAAGCCACCTCAACAACGTAAGCAAAAATCACAAGATCAACAACAACAACCAGAACCACAAGCACAAAATGATCAACTTACACCAATCGACAAGAAGGTTCGTAACTTAACCAAGAAACTTAAAGCAATAGAAGAACTCAAGGAGAAGCAAAAGAGAGGTGAAAAGTTAGAGAAAACTCAATTAGCTAAATTAGACAGTGAACAAGAAATCAACAAGGAAATTGCACAGCTTAGAAATTGAACTAGATTCATTTTTGTAAAGGACAACTAAAAAAAGAGAATGATTTATTATTTTTATTATGATGTTGATGCACCAACGGCTAATCTCTTCAAGTGTTCCATGAATACTTGTAAACTGACATCATCTGTAAAGATAGCCTGTCCAGCTGCATTTTGTGAACCATAGATACCACCTGACATGTGAGTAGTTGATGGGTTAAGTTTTGAGAGCAAGAATCTAGCTTGTGATCCACCTTGGTCACAAACGACGTAACGTGGTATTGGGAATCTATCAGCTAATAAATCTTGTGCGTCTGAAATTGGAAGTTCAAGTAATTCTTTAAAGTTTTCATAACCTTCTTGATCTTGGTAGTTTGCTTTCCTCCATTGTGCGATAGTTTCACCGTGCCATATCAAGATGTGGAAGAAAGTATCCAATAAGAGTATAACATCGTTCTTTATACTAATAGAATCGAGAAGGACTGGTTGTGGTGGACCTTCCAAACTGAATGACATCAATGTTGGTTGAATCATAACTAAACTATTGTTGACATCTTCTTCATTGAGAATATGTCTATAGAATGCAGTTTCATCAGGAGAGTTGTTAAACACTTGTAAAAATTGTGATCTACGTAAGTGGAACATAAATTGAGGATAAATTCCGAAGTTTTCTGATAATCTAAATGAAGTTGGATCTTCTTTATGATAATCAGCGAATTTTTGACATAATCTAATTAACATCCTATCCAACCATCTAAGAACATCAGGACTATCATCAATTTCTGCTTTGAAAACTGCTATTCTTGCCATCAAAACTGCTGCAGCTTCTTGATCAAATGAAGCTGCGATTGCAGGTGAACCAGCATCAGCAAAGTTTCTTGCAATAGTTGTAACTCTTAATTTATATTGACCTGAAGATGATTGGTAGTGGGTAATAAATTGAATTAAACCTCTTGAATTTTGTTGAACTGGTTGACCAGATGGGCTAACAACTTCAAAGTAAACACCTAAAGTTGTTCTTGGATTTATAGAACCAATCTTCCAAGCTGATGTTTGACCAACACCGATTTCAGTTTCACCAACGCATGCAGACTTCTTTTGTGCAGACGTTAAATGACCAATTGCACCAGAAACCTTCAACTCCTTACTAGTTTGAACATCCATTGTGGCATTGAAGCCCATTTTGAGATTACCAAATTCATCCTTTTCGAATAATCTTTGGAATGATTGCTTGAAGATCGAAGTAGCGAAAGAATCACTGAGTACTAGAGCACCATTTGTAAGATTAGATAAGGACTTCATCTCCAACAATCCAATTTGGTCAAGACAACCAGCGTAGATGTCAACGACGTGACCATTAGATGAAGCTCTCTTGGCTAAAGATTCATAGAATCTAGTAGCTCTCTTAAAGTGCTTAACTGAATCTCTCTCAATATCGTGGTGTGATCTGATTGGTTCTCTTAATTCATTTGATACGACCATACCTGGACCTTCAGTTGCAGGACCACCAACGAATGTCATGATTCTTGCACCAGAGTTAGGGAAGCTATTTTCGAGTATACCAACAGCAACTGAGAGTGCAGCACCTGTACATCTCAAGCTACGCTTATCGGATGCGACGGGCCAAGGGTCCCTTGACAAGTTATCCAAGATGCTAGTCAATTGGAATTCAGCATCTTGTACAGGCTGTAAGAATCTAGCAGCACCGTGAGGTTGTCCAGGTCTTTGTTGTTGCTGTGATGGAAGGGTAGTAGAACGAGGAGTGATACCTAACATGGCTGAGATCTGACCAGGTGAATAATCTTTAGTACCTCTGAAAACGTAACTCTTTGGACAAGCATTAAATCCGATCTCATGTACCTGTGTCATTGTACCAAATGTAATCAAACCGACTAAAGCATTAGGTGGAAGAAGTGATAAACCGAGTGTTATAGTCTCCTTAAGCGCTTCGAAATCTTCTGGTTCTAAGCAAGTATCGACGACAAATAAGAAAATTGGTGGTACTTGTACTGGTCTAGATAGTGTGTACTCAATCGTGGTATACTTTGGCAACAACTCTGCAGGTAAATTTGTATTGCTGATATCTTTGTAGTGAGGTGGGAAAGCGTTTCTTGATAAACAAAATGGACAAATCCATAATTTACCTCTAACGTCAATTTGGCTGTGATGTGCTGTAAGCTGTTGTTGATCGGTCTAACTAAAAACGCACCAATAAGGATTGAGAATAGATCTACAAGCTTTGCAAGTGACTGGCTCATATAAAACAGGTGGGAGGTCTTCTCTCTCCTTGAATGGTACGTATAAGGCTGATATTGGAACTACTGTTCTTGTAGCTTCAATACGTGATGACGGCCAGACGTTCCAACTGAGTCTGATACCTATAAAATGTTAAATATAATACAAGTTTATCGTTATATCTCTCACCATCTCTCTCTTCTACGTCTTCTACGACTTGCATCTCTTATATTTCAATTGAGCTGGTCGATGTCAACTAACAAGATATAACTCAGAGATAAAAATATAAAATTAAAATACAAAGCAAGAGGGCTTCCAATCTGAACCCCTTACGGGTGTTGGTTTAAAGCTAGAGCTTGGTTTGTTCGCTAGTCCGTCACCAAGTGCGTTCCGAGATACTGAACTAGCGTAACCACCAATGTCTTGTGCTTCTTTTATAATATCCAAGCAGTATTTATCTATTGGAAGATCATTTAAATCGCTTCCAAATGGTTCGCTTACTGTGACGTATCTGTTTCAGTGACAGTAAACAAGTAAATAAAAGAACTCACATTCTGATGATATAGCATCAATACCACAGAAGAAAAATGTAACTAAGCCAGTTATCGGTATAGACATCCAGCCTAAGCTACTAACCAACTGTGGTGGAATTGCCAATAAATAAAGTGCAAGTACTTGATTGAGATGTATGCTTAAAATTAGAGGGATTGGGGCTGTGAGTGAGTATTAGATGAGATACAAGTCTAGTCGTAAACCCACTATCTCTGATTTTCTCAGCCTGTGTCATCAAATCGGTCAATTCTTTCAAATATCCAATCATATTGACAAATAATGGAGTGTCAATATGCGTTTTCATGTTATCATTTCTTCTTTCTGGTCGGTTATTGTAAAATCCGTTCAAATAAACTTGTAATAAACGTAAGACAGACAAAGGAATGTTACTTGGTCTTGAGTTACTAAGCACTGAGCGAGGTACACTCAAGTTTTCATCACTTTCTTTAATGTTAAGCTGTTCGTGCTGCTTTTCTAATTCGCTCGTCTCATAACTTGGTCTTCTTCTTACGTCATTCAATGGATCCAAATCCATGAAATTGACGTTTCTAACAACAGTAGGTGTCTTAAACTCTTTGTCTTTCTCGCGATGGCTAGCTAAGGAAGAAGATCGAGAAGGCGGCTGCGGTGAAGGTGACGCTTCAAAGTGGACTCTCGTTGGGAAGGACTTCTTCAAACTAGCTAAGTATCCCCTAGGCAAGAGTACTCTAAGATCGTGCTCTTCTAAACCTCTAAATTCTTTGTTTCTGAGATGATATCTATAAAGTCTATGTTAAAGTGCCAACTTGGAGAATGATGAACCCACTTCAATGCTACTGGAAAGGATAATATCAATCCTATAAATTCTTCTATTGTATTATCATATGCAGTATCGCTATTTCTATCAAATATAGAGGACGATAATCTAAGGAAAGATCGCGTGCTTGATTGGATATTAGACCAAAGATTTCTACCGTCTTGCCACCTATTGATAGAGTTAGAGTGATTGAATGCTAGATATTTCTATAGATACCGTTGTATTGAAGAGGATGCTCGCATTGATACTAGTAATCCAATCACTGTGTGACTATTAGCAAAGGGGCAAGTATATAATTGCTAAACCAACCAATTGATACCATCATTGTTAGGCTTTTTGACGCTTTACATACGCCAGACATTATTTCTTTGTCTCCGTATAGAACGATAACTGCTGCCCAAATAGAGAAGAAGACTACTCTGCGTATGGTGCTAGACCTTAAACTCAAATAAGTATAGATATATTACTACTATAGCACACCCACCATACTGATTTACTGAACTCTAATGAAGCTGGGAGTGTCATTCATGTATCTATCTTATGGTGATCGACGAGGAGCAAGACTAAAATAAATTACAAAACGTTTATTTATGACATTTCTGTATCTTCTGTATTATCATTCTCTGTTGGTTTCTTCATAAATTCATCTAATTCCTAGTATCTGGATTAGTTACCCTCCTCACACAGCATCATAAACTCACTTTGTCCAGGGAATCTGCATCTTTAGGAGCTGGCTTTGGTTTATTAAAACCTGCTTTCTTTGGCTTGGATTGCTTAACTGAACGCCTTGATATCTGAGCTCTATTGGAGGAGTGATCTTTAGAGGATAATCCGAAATGTGATCATACACCTACCTTGGTCCAGTTGGAACAGGCCCTGGATTTACTTTACTACCTAATCTACTTAACAATGAACCTGCATTGTCTCCACTTGAAGCACCAGCATGTGAAGGTGGGTCAACAGTGAAGTATCCATATGGCTCTACGTTAATAATCTGATCTAAATAAAGGGTTATAATAGAGCTTGACTAAGAAAGTAAACCAACCCTTAGCTGTCTTGCCATTGAACTCTTCAATCGCTCTATCTGCGTCTTCTGAACTCTCAAAGGCGACGATAGCTTCTCCGGTACTTCTACCACTCTTATCATACCTAATACGCAACTTTGTGACTTGATAACCGTTGAATATATTCTAATCACGTTCTTGTAAGCCAAAAAGATCTGATATGAGTATAACGAGACTACTAACACCAAGCATTTCTTCACTGATTTCGTAATGAACGTTTGTCATCTTAATTTGATTCTCCCTTTCTCCAGCTGGTGGCTGGCGTGGTTCTCGTGGTCTATTCGTTGTAGGTCTTTTAGAGAATGAAGTAGAAGAGCGCTGATATTTATCATTATTATATATAGCTACTTGATGGATTCGCTTACGTATTCAGCTGGTTTGGAATGTCCGTGCTGCTTTCTGAATCCACCGCGAGGTTTAGCTGAACCACGACGTTTGAAGCCAGCTCCAGAAGTTTTCTTTTTCTTGACGATATCGTCTAAACTCATATCTAAATCCCTGATAGTTCATTAACTTAACTATCGCTAGATTTCTCTTAATCTCACATTGATGCCATGATCGTAATTTAAAGAGAAGTTATATAAATTAAATTAACTACAAGTTCCTTATCTAACTAAAAATGATTGTAGGAATGCCTGTATTCTCTTAATAATTGTATAATTAGTCTATAAAACTCACTATGACAGCCATTACGCTAACTAACCAGAATGCATATCTATATCCATCAATGTCTCCAGTTAGAAACGTCTTCCATAGGTATCCTCCAAATATTGGCCCTAGGAATCGTGATAAGCTAACTGCCGATTGTCCGTAACTGTTGGTTAATCCAGATATTGAAGGTGGTGACATCACATTGATTAATATAGTAATACTTGTATATGCTGCCGTTGTCGCTGCATATCTAATTGCAGTCAAAATAGCCAGTCCTGACATGACTAGCAAATCAGATTCAGACTCTGGTCGTGCCAACTTCCTGACAAAAGGTACAGCTCCATAGGTCATAATGTAAATCAGTGAAGCTATTCTAAACATTTGCAAATGCGTCAGCTGACCATTAGGTGGTCCTATCTTTCCATATAAATAGAATTGATAGAAGATGTTGATTCCAGCCATCATAGCTATAAGTGTCGAGAAGTGTGAAGGTGTCAATGATAATCCACCACTGGTATAATCTGTTAAAAGAAATGTGGTGAATAATTGATCGAATGTTGTATTATGCAATGCTAAGAATGAGTACTGGAAAAGTATAAGTTTGATCATTAGTGTCATCTCAACTGGTTTTTCTTCGATGATCGCTGGTTGATTTTGTTCTGGTATAGCTCCTAATCTACTACTACCACCTTCAAGATCATCAAATTGTTCATCCAAACCAATCCAACTTTTCTGAGACGAAAGACCAACATTGTCAAGGATAGATTTTGGTCTGGCTGCAGTCATACCCAGCTGGTGTATACGTGGAACTGATCCCAATTTTGCAAGGTTTTCTTCACCTAATCTATCGCCTCTATCAACAAGCGAACTAGGTCTACTAAAACCAAGACCTGCGCTGTTCCTTCTGAAACTATTTCTGAAACCCGTAGAAGCCGATGGTCTGATAGAAGCGCTACTAGATAATTCCTCGACATCCCTCTCAGATGGGTTGGTTAAATCGATAGTGTTATTGTCCAAATGATCATCATCATCGTCTTCATAATGAGATGCAAAACCGCTTGGATTAGGTGATCCTAAACCACTTTGATCACCTTCCTCTTCTATTGCAATATCTTCAGCTTCTTCTTCGTGATTGTATCTTTCTACTTCTCTCGTTAAAGCTGATTGAACCCATAAATCAGTGATAGACACGACATTCTCTTCCTGTGCTAGGAGCAATCTTTGTGCAAATGAGCGACTTTGCTTAGGTTGTGGCTGTCTCAATGATTCGGCTTGCCCATCGCTTTCAATGTAAGATGGGTATCTGGAATGAATATCTTGAAGCGGTGAAATTGGAGTTTCTTCATTCAACTGACCACTCTTGAATGACTTAAAGAAGGTAACAATTCTCTCCTTTATAGTCGTTGAATTATCAGGTAAACTAATTGAATTGAAGAGCGATCCACCATCTCTGTTGACGAGTGCTGTGAGACTACTACCGAAGAGCAAGACACTAGCTGCGACAAAACATGGTAATGCGTAAGGGTATTTGTCGAAGAAAGGATGCTTATCAGCTGGGAACAAACCCGGATATCTAACAGTGGGACTCTCGAAAATACCACCAATTATAGGACCAAAGATCGAGCCAGCACCCCAACTGAATGAAAGGATAGCATATGCTTTTGCTTCATTTGTACTATCAGTAATATCCTTTACTGCAGATCTTGATACACCGACTGCACCACTAAAAAGACCCTGAAGCATCCTGACGCATATTGCTTCACCGAGAGATTGACATGTACCGAACAGACTAGTGGCTAGAGCGTTTCCGAACAAACTAACGAATAAAGTAACTCTCCTACCATATCTGTCCGCAATATTGGACCACATAAGAGCAGTAACGAATTGAGAGAGGAAGAAAGCCGCACCTAGTATACCAGTGTAATAGCCAACAAGGCTTTCGTCATTGTGCGTAATTGAGAACTTTGAGACCATTACAAATATAAAAGGGGCTGCAACTGATGCTGATAAGAACTCACTCAACATCGAGAGTGATAATAAGGATAAAGGGATAATAGGAAGTGGATTACTTGGTTCTTCACGCGCTTTAATGGGAACTCCAGTTTGACTAAACACCATAGATTCTCCCAGCTTACGCCCTAAAGGCATACTAGTGGGACGAGTTGCACTAGTATTGAAATGACTAGAAGTTCTACCAGATTTACTTCTAAAAACCCTCCTTCTTCTGACTGCTGGGGCTATGTCATTGTTATCCATAGTGGATGTTGGAGAGAGAAAGTTAGTTAGACAACTGCCATGACGATCAAACTTAAAATATTAGCAGGAAATTCAGAGGATGACTACAAAGTTGTAGATTACGATAAAGGTGTTCCTGTGGATATAGACAATGCCCATTTCACTGGTAATGCTGTTGTTTTACTCAAAGATAATAGTAATCCACACGGATATTTCACCCACGAATCTAATAGTTCTGTAACTTGGTCTATACAATTGCGTGGTTTGATAAAGGAGGACGACGTTGATTGCGATGATCTCATATTCGGCAATCAATTTGAACGCCCAATTAGAGACAGACTACCTTGGGGAACAAGCATAGCAGTTAAATTTATAAAATATCTCGATCCTACCTTATCAGAAGATTTATACTCGGATAAACCGTGGGCTTTCTCACCAGTTTGTAGCACAGTAGAACGACTAAACGTCTCTGACAACACGAGCACAAACGAGCTTTTTAAGGAAGACAATATGATACTAGAGGATGACGTGAAATGTTTGACAAGCGATGATGACAAGCTTGAGCATGGGAATCCCACTTCACGCAGAAGACATTTTCACAATGAGAGCAACAGGAAGGGTGTAATGCTGTCTAACAAAATAGTAGCATTAGATTTTGCAAAAGGATTCATAGATTTCTCAACTTTGTAGGTTTTGGATTATAATCCTATGTTATGCTAACAAAGCAAACAGATCACTCTCTTTCCCAGAAATAAATCTCAACATTGGATTACTTAAGCACTGGGATGGTCAACCGGTTAGATTTTATCTTCGGAATAGAAAAACTGGCCATAATTTAGTAGTTATTCAATTTATAATCGAGGACGTAGGCCAAGACGCGCCAGAAGAAGCAAAGGAAATGGCAGCCCATAATGATATTGGAACAAATCACTAATAATAACGACAATCTGTAAATATTTTCTAGGAAAAAGTCCGATGTATAAGCCTTGCGAACGAAATTTAGTCTAAATCTATGCCTATGAAGCATCATCATCTTTGTTAATGACTCCTATATTCTCAAAATTGCCATTAGACACTTCATCTAGTGTTGGTCTAGGCCCCTTAATTGCACAAGTCGATGGTTTGTCTTTTGATGTGCCATTTTCATACAATTCCTTTTCATCTGCGTGAAGTGAGCAAACGCAGCTACCGCCAAACTCGGTCGGCAAGTTTTCATCAAATGACAGTTCCTTTAAAGCTTCCTTATAACCTGAACCGTGGATGGACACCTTCGAAGCCGTTGCTTGATCCATCATAGCTTTGACAACCTTCCAAATCGTACTAAACCCGGTAGGAGCGTTAATTATAACAATAGGTCCACTCAATTCAGGGTAATTGTCTTGCAAAATTTGAATAATGGACTGAAATCTTCCTCTAATCTTCCAGAATTGATAATAGGCGATACCTTTAACGTCCATAATGTTGACCGTCTGTGATACATGCAGACCACGCGCTTTTGAACAGGCTCTGAAAGTATCTTTTACCAGCCTTTCATTAGAGATGACCTGATTGAGTGTAAATCTTTCCGGGGTAATCTTCTCAAACAAGGCCGATGCATCTAGTTTATTGAATTGTTGGTAATATAATGGTCTTCCAAGCTATGTTTCATCTAAGAAAATGTTTCAGAACTGCGAGTGAACTCACCTTGTCTGTCTTGTGAAAGAACTACCATACTATAAGCGATATAGAGTCAGAATAAGGGTACCTACCTGAGGATAATACCTGTATTCATTAGTAAACAAACAGCATATGAACACACTCACTGGTCTAATGCAGCCTTCTCATCTTTAGTCAGCTCAAATGACTCACTGAGCTCGTCTATATTGAAATCTTTCCTCCATTGAAGGTAGTTCCTAATTTACATAAGCGCCCGCGGTCGCCGAGAAGCTTTCGCCCACCTGAACATCTTCTCGCTAGCGTCTATATCCCATTTACGAGCCTGTAGAAAGCGTCTATCGATATATTTAGAAATATTCATTAATTAGTTATCGAACTCACACTAGTTCATTATCATCGTGCATTAATTCACCATCGGCTCTACGACGTGATCTGATATCTTGAGGTATCCTCTCCTTTAACTCGTGTAGCTTTTTTATTTGCTCTGCATCGATATCATATGAACTTGTATTCAGTGTATCGTTTGACATTCTACTATCTCAAACTGTGATGATGACTTTTTAAGATAAAGGTAGATATAAATTAATAAATCAGTAGTTTTTACAATGCATCGTCTATTTCTAGTGGTTGTGACAATAAATATTCCATAGTGAATTCGTTCTCTTCGCATCTAGACTTTGTTAGTATCTTCTCCTAATATAACCGGTGAACTTACAATGCGGTGATACCCTTCTGCCAATCCACTAATCCTTTTTGGACACTCCTCAATGGGGTAGCGAATTCAATTTGACGTGAACGTAATGTTCTTCCGTGATAACTCAACAATGAAGATACCCAAATGAGATCAAATTCCAAGTGAACACTTCTCTCCATGTGTTTACCAATAAACATCACAAGTTTATCAACGTATACCAACGGGAGTTGCTTTACTATCAATTTGATTTCGGCTGGTGGTGTACTAGTGTATACCATCTCGACCAATTTTTCATCATTCAATCTGAACGCCATAACAAGAGCAACAAGATAGTCGCCTTTGCTGACTGTCTTTGCAACACTTTCTGGCGTCAAGTCGATATCTAAATCAAATGGATCGAACAAGACACTTTCATCAAGAGAGTAGACAATTAAACCATCAGTTGATGCAGTCGCCCATGTACGTCCAGTTGGCGATACCTTAACGCATTTTGTTCTGATTTCTGGTCTATACTTGCGCTTAGACAGATCACCACCTTGAGCACCTGGAAGTGAAACATCAAGGCGATCTTCCAAGTCACTTTCGTCACCTTTTGGTCCAGTTGGAATGTTGCTACCATCATCTAATTGCATTCTGTTGTCCAGGAACTCTTGTGTTCCATCTAATGACAAGTTCTCTGAAATTTGGAACTTCTTCAATGAGACGCCTTCCTTAACATCATAAAGCAGCACATACTTGCTATTACCACCTGCTAAAATGTAATTGCCATCAGCAGTGTAACACAAACTGTTGAAACATTTTCCGGACGAGTTATTGGCTGCCGTTATCCTGTCATCTTGTTTTCTACCTCCGGAGATATCTTTACGACCTTCAATAACACCTGTTTGTTTGTCGTCCTCCAATGACCAGAATTGTATTTGACCATCAAGTGTAGACGCAGCCAACTCCTTACCGTCTGGTCTGAAAGTTACAGTCAAGGCATCAGAGTTGAGTGAATATGGATCAACCGTTCTCGCTCTTCTGAATATATCCCATACTCTAATAGTTCTATCCCATGAAGATGAGGCTAATTGGGCACCGCCTGGTCCGAATGATAATCCAGAGACTGGGCCTTGGTGTCCTGACATAACATCCATAAGTTTACCAGTTTGCACAGACCATAGGAAGATCTCAAATGAGTCGATAGAACCTGCAGCAAGGACCTCTCCGGAGTCATCAACTGTCATTGAACTGAATTGAGTTGGTGTTGGTGATGTGAATGTTTTGAAGTTTCTATAACGGATAAGATCGTATGCTCTCACCGTACCATCTAATGAAGCAGAAAAGAGGATTCTACCCTGTTTCGCAAACTCTACTTGTGAGATTGCAGAAGTATGATCGCTAAACGTAACGGTACAAAAACCGGATGACAAATTCCACAATTTGACTTTTCCGTCATCACCACCAGTTGCGACTAATTGACCATCAGGTGCATAGGCTACCGCATTCATATCTGAAAAGTGACCTTGTTGTTTGAGAACATAGCTCTCTGATTGCCATTCCCAAACGAGCAATTGTCCTAATTTTCTAGCACCAAACGCGAGCCATTCACCGGAAGGATTGATATCTACAGAAGTGACCTTCTCTTGTGAGATAGACAAGGTGTGTAAGTTTGTGAATGACGGTAATTCCCATAAACCGAATACACCAGTGTTGAAACCGACGATCAAGAGGGAGCTATTTTGGTGGAATGTTGAGCAAACAACTCTTGTACCAGGCATGTTGAAGTAATGTCTAGCCGAGACACCCCATCTAGTGTCAGCAATCTGTCTATCCTCATCCATGCTACTGTCGCTACTGCTGCTACTACTGTCACTATCTTCGTCACTGTCAGAGTCTTCTTCGCTTTCCTTTGCAGTCCAAACAAAGACAGCACCATCTCTAGATACTGTGTAAATAGACTTGCTATCCTTCGAGAAATAGGCGTCAATAACTCTATCCTTATGTCCACTTAATGTCTTTGGTCTAAAGCCAGGCAGAGGGTCTAAAGTGAAGAGACGAGCAGTCATATCGTGACTGCAAGTGACGAAGTATCTAGAGCATTGTGACCAAGTGATAGACGTAATAGAGTCAAAGTGTCCTGTGTATGTTCTATATAACTCCATTGGTGCGAACTCTCTAATTAAGAATGAAGGTGTCTTCCATACTTGTACGTGATTACCGTGAGTGACAGCGAGGAACTTCCCACTTGGAGAGAACTTTATATCGTTTACTGGATTTTTGAAGTTGTGATGGTGAAGTACAGTACGACGTTTTGCGTTAATGAGGAGTGCTCTACCGTCTAATAGTATGTTAGCGTGAGATAGTTAGCTGTGTAGTAAGCTCACCATCATCTACAGTGACGAGAATTCTTCCATCAGGACTGAGAGCTATTCTCGCGATATTTTTCCTATTCTCGCATGGGTAAGTGAACGATTGGTTGCTAAGAGTTGTTAGCGGTTTGTTGTAGAAGACAGCGTGTGCTCACTTCACCAAATCGAAGCTGGATACTCTGTTTCCTACTGGACTCAAGACTGAGTTGCCATCCTGGGTGAATACGACATTTCCTTGTCTATATACCGTTCCACAGAGGTTAGAGAACTTATATAATTTAGTTCTATCTGAATATAACCATATTTAAGACTTACCGTAAAATTACTCTTCATCGAGGCTTCTTATCAAGCGGAAGAGAAGACAAACAGACGAGGAGGTAGTTGAGAAAAATATTTTTATACTCAGAAAGAGTAGTATTTTAATAACGCAAGATCTGCTCTTGCTTCTATCTCATTCTTAAAGAGAAGACAATGTGTTAAGCATGCATAAAGTGCTAGGGTAGTGTAATAGCGGAATATAAACTATATTAACAATTTCGACTTATATTACGTCTTTTTGCTATAATACTCCTGAGTATACTGATCATAATGAATAAGAAAGTCAGCTAAATGTTTAATAGGCAGTTGGATTTCGTCTACGGGAATGAAATGGCTCTGTTTGAGCACAGTAGCGAAATGTAAAGACGTAGCTGCCAATAAACCTGAGATTATGACAACCAGACGGAGATCAGTCAAAACGTCGTCAACCAACAAGAAGTTCTACAATTCCATAGATATTCGAACTAGGAAGGCCCAGCAGAATACAGAAGTTAGACCCCATCGTCGTACGTGAGGCTGAATACGTTAGCAACGAAATGGAGATAATGGAATCGCACACGTCGAGATACTAGCAGGAACTCCTAACCTTCTCAAGGCTCTGTTTAGTACACACTCTGGAAGCGTCTCAAACTGGGATCGTGTGTAACTGCAAAACTGATATCGAAACTGACGACATACAGTACTGGCCGTTCAAGCATCCCTTAACTAATAGTGTGACAGATAACTATCATAACCTAAAGTTCCCTGTCACACATTTTGAGAGAGTTCTTATTTCAGGAGACTTTTGTGGCATTTCAATTGGCAAAGTAAAACAAGTGTAGGTAAGACCATATTGTAGCTTCTACTTCGAAGTACCCGCCAATTCAATAGAAGTTAATGACTCAGTCGATGTATCTAATCATATCAATGTACTTCAAACAGCAGAAGTATCTAACAAAATAGAAATGTCTTATATAAGGGAAGTCCGATTTAGCGGCAAAATGCCTTACCAAGGGAAATAATTACCAGTGCAATTGCTTAATACAGCAGATATTACTGACATGATTGAAATTTCTAATCAGATCGAAGCATCACCGACAGTTGTCATCCAAGAACAGATGGCATCTGATCTAAAACCATTCGAATACTGCGACAATCCACTTCAATAGCAGTAAATAACAAAAAAGTATCGATATCTCATATGAAGCCATCAATGAAGGATGATCTGTCCGATTCAAAAGCAATTAAATATCGAGACAGATCAACATCCAATTCAATAGATATAGACAATTGATCAGTACCAGTTGCTTACATAAGTACCTCATCCCTGCAGCAAGATTCCATGGATAGTGACTAGAATACAGTACTTAGGTACAGGTAATTAAAAGTGATACGTGTAACGCCAATATCATGTTTATTATATTTTAAGTGTATATCCAGAATTGATTTGACCACAGTCTAATAGTACCAATATAAAACACGTATAGGGAGAGAAGTGCATGATAAATTCAAAGTGAAATACTGCTTATAAGCACATAAGAGGAACTCAAAGTTAATGCAACGACTTTTGTTTCTTGAGGTGTCTCTAACTCTTGTCTACACAAGTGAAACTTCTTTTTGTCTATCACACATAGCTTCAGAAGAGCAACAGAAAAAGAAAAATGACATGCAATATACAGGTATTAAATAAACTAGTAGAAAGCTAAATTTACAACTACAATTACTACTCATCATACTGCGTAAGGTCAAGAGTGAGGACCTGACTTGAGTTAATATCACCATTTCTGAACACACCAACTAAGGCATCAGCGCGTTCAAACACTCTTGACGAGTGAGTAATAAACAGATATTGAGAATCATTCAAGTGATTTCTGAGATACTTAGCAATCTGCGCTGCGTTTTGATTGTCGAGTGCCGAATCGACTTCATCAAGTACGAAAAACGGCGATGGTTTGTAAGTTTGTATGGCAAACAGAAGTGCCATTGCAGCCATTGTTTTCTCTCCACCTGAAAGTTGAAACATGTCTCTAAATGGTTTACCTGGTGGCATTGCATGATATTTTATGCCAGCGTTATATGGTTCATCCTCATCTTCGAGAGATAAGTAAGCTGTACCTCCCGTAGGATTGGCACGTGAGGTCGTCAATTCTTTGTATACCGAATCAATACTATTACTAATATGATTGAAGGCGTTCATGAATAGCTCTTGACGTAACGCCTTGGTATCTTGGAAGGTATCCCTTGCTTGTTTGGTCTCTTTGCGAGCGCGTTCGAACTCTTTCTCCGTGTCATTCAACTTATTCTTCATATCATTCAGACTGTTGTTGTTAATTAAGCATTTCTGGATAAAGAATGCTTACCGATCACTAGCTTTAAGGTTCGGCGCCATCCTCTCAATTTCTAAACCAATAGTCTCAATTTCTTGTTGATATCTTAGTTCAGCTTCTTCAGTCTGTTGTTTGATATAAGTTAAACGGTCACACGCGAAAAAATATCACTTACCAACTCATCCTCATCCTCCACTTCATCAAAGTTGACTTCAATGCCATAGTCATCAATTTGGACAGCACGCTGAGTCGAATCCTCCTCATTGTCAACATCCATCGGCTCAATTTCCCTCAAATCTGCGTCAATTGGGACATCTTCCAAGCTACCAGCTACGAGAGCCAGAGGTAATTCATCGACTTTGCATTTCCTGTAAATAGAGAAACGTTCACTAGCAAACATCCTAATATTATCATTCTGAGAAATAAATTAGCTTTTTCATATCGCAGAAAGCAAGTTCTTACATCGTTTGCGATGTCCTTCAAAGCTCCGTCATATTCACGCTCTGCTTTTTGAGATACCCTTCTAACTTGATCGACATTCTCGGCACTATTTTGTTCAGTTTCCCTCAGGTCCTTCAAGAGAGAGTCGTATTCATCAATCTTAGCTTTGATCACATCGATAGACTGATGAAGTTCTCCTCTTTCACTTTCCAATAAATCGAGGTTTTGTCTATCGGTTTCGAGCCTATTTTGGAGGCGCTCGAGACGCAATCCCGAAGTTCTGAGCTGTTCCTGCTCAAATCGAAGTAGATTATTGAGTTTAGCTATCTGTGTTTCAAACTTAACCCTGGCTTCGCTCTCAGCAGCCGCGACGCGTCCTTCACGATCTTCATACTCGCGTATATTTTCAATATCAAGTTTATCACAGAAGCTGGCAAATACCCCATCCTCAGCTTCGTTAATAGTGTCAATTACATTATCCAATTGATGCTTAAGCTTGTCATAGGAAGCCATTACCTCTTCAAATTCCCTAGATTTGGCTCCATGATCACTCTCCGTCGCCGCCAACTCTTTGGATATACCTTGAAGTCGACTAACTGCACCATCGTAGCTATCTTTTGCTATGTTTTGCTCATTTTCGCATTTCTTCACTTTCTCAACAAGCTCTTCATCTTGCTTCGCTTGAGGACGTCTAGCCCTAAGCGCTTTGAGTTGAATGACAAGCTCGTCTCTTCTACGCATCATTTGATCATATTGCGCTTGATCGAAACGTCTTCCTGTGTCTCTAGCACCTTGACCACCAGTGATTAAACCAGATCTGTGTATGATTGTACCATCGAGAGTAACAGCTTTGACATCTTGTTGTTTATCATAAACGACATCCCTTGCAATATTCATATTGTCACAAACTAAGGAGTTTCCAGCTGCAAACTGGATTGCTTTCTCATAGATACTGTCATATTTTAAGACATCAACTGTTAACCTCGCACCTGATGAAATTGTCCTCAAACGTTCTTGAATTGGCTTAACTTGTAAAGAATCAAGTGGTAAGTAGGTTGCACTTCCTACTCTTTGTGCCTTCATATAATCGATACATTGTATAGCCGTTGCTTCATCATCGACAACGATTGATTCAACGTTTCGTCCCAAAGCTGTAACTACAGCTGTCGAGTATTTTGACTGTGTTGGCTGACACAAATCGACCAGTTTGCCTCTAACACCCGGAAACATTCTCTTTAGCGTCATCAAAACATCTTTGAACTTGTTGTCACGCTCCGTCTGACGGATATCATGACTGGCGCTTGATAATTGACCGAGTAGAGCTTGAAGTTTCTCATTCTTTTCAGCTTCGAGTTGACTGTTGGTGTATTAGCTTTCGACATCTACCAAAGAAATCACAAACTTTATCTTGTTCCGTGTTGTAAGCATATTGTCGTGTTTCTGTCTGGAATCCTGAAGACCTCTCTCAGCAGCTTGGAAAGCATCTTTTGTCTGTGCCATATTAGTAAAAAGACAATCGAAATGATTAACTTACGTCTTCGACGTTGGCAATAGCTCTACGTTCATCGAGCTGCAGCTTCTCATGCTTTGCTTCTGCCTCAGTGAGACGTGATCTTGAGGCGTTTAAGGTCGATTTGGATGTCTTCTCTTCACGTTTCAACTTTTCAAGCTCTTTACGTGCATCTGGAACAAGTGAAATAGCTACTGTTTTACTAGATAACAAATTGTCAGCAAAATTACAGTATATTTAATACTCACAGTTGACGATATTCATCGAGATCTTCGTCTGACAGCTTGACGCCACGCGACTCAGTAAGCTTCCTGGCTTCAGCTGGAAGTGATGTTAGAAACTTTGTAATTGGTTGAAAAAACCTACATTGTGCACGCTCAGCGGCCTTTTCAATCTTTTCAACATCCTTCTTGTATCTATCGACACGCTCTTCTAACTCAGACACCTCAGCTTGGAGACGTACAGCATTCCCTTCTGAAGTTTTAAGCTTGATTTGAGCGTGGTTGATACGGGCATCGAGGGTAACAATAGCAGGTGCCTAAAAATACCATCAGAAATGCTCACCACGTTGATATCGCCTCACCTTTTCATCTATCTCACGTTGACTTGATTTTATTGCATTTTCGGTCTTGATAGTATTGTTGTGACTCTCTGCCTTTGCCTTTGTAGCCTTTTTTAACTCCCGTTTGGCGTTATCCTTGATTTCTAAGCGATTTAAAACGTTCATGACATACTGACTCACCTGATCTTCACTTAGTTGCTGTAAAAACTCTCTCTTTGATGAGATAGCTTCGGTATTTGACTGAATCTGGGTCTCTATGTGGTATAACTTCATCAATAATAAGCGCATAATCATGTTTTCCTTAAAATACCAAGTCAGAAAAAAGGAAATGAGAACATATAACCTACCTTTCTGTCCTTCATGTCTTCAAAACGCTTCAATTCACTTGTTTGCTCTTTAAATTGTTTGATTTCACCATTTAGAACGCGTCTTTTCAAACCTTGTCCTACGGAAGTATCATTCGCTCGCTCTTGGGCGTTTTTTGTCTCATCATAACGCTCTTTGTGCTCTATCGATCCTGATATCTGATCAATAAGCTTGGAAAGTTGTGATGGCGACTGAGTAGCGACAGCTTCGACATCTCCCTGTCCTGGGTTAAGAACTATCGTAACCTAAGTGGTAACCTACCTGAAAAACGAGGAAGTTCTTGGTTTTGACAAGAATGTTCTCATTTGCAAGTGCTTTGTTATAATCCGCGAATGTTATCGCTTTACCGTCTAATCTGTATTCAGAAGAGCCCGAGAGTGTAATGCTATCATTGCTTGAGCTATACGACCGCGTCTCGCGAAGCCACTTACGTTCTCTCAAACCTAAACTGGCGTCCAGAAGCGTTCTTGTAAAGAGCCAAAACGGAGGCTTTCTGAGCTGAGTAGTAGTCATGATCACCTTCCTGGGTTTGCTCTATAGGAGCGTCATTTTCTAATCCGACTCTCCTGCCGCGGTAGATAAGGTCTCTAATGTTCGAACCGCGAAGATGAGCAGATTTCACGCCCAGAACGAAAGAAATAGCATCCATGAGGTTTGATTTACCCTGTGAAACGCGTTAAGAGAGTATTTATAGCTGATAACTCCTTACACCGCCGTTTGAACCGATAATGCTAGTAAATGGGCTGAATGGTCCAATTCTATGTCTACCTTTGTAGGATTTGAAATCCTCTACTTCTATCCATTCAAGCGACCTGCTGGGTGTTTAATCTCCGTATTAATCGCTCATCTCTCGCTTACATCTTGATGGCGTAAGTAAAAGACGCGTCTTGATACACGACAACGATGAGATTGCAATATCCTTCAACACAGTCAATTTGGTTCACTAGATTCTTTACATCCACCACTTCATCTGATTACTCCTCTCGGGCGTCTGAATCTACAGCCAAACGTGCTCATCTCTGCGCTGCACTCAAATCAGATAAGAACGAAGATCTCAATCTGATATCAAGCATACAGGAATATCTACCCCATCTACTGGCACTCGAAAAGTCAGCATTGAACGACTCCATAGTCACAATCGCAGACGATTTCTTCCTCTGGACTGTCCCCTCACAGCTCTCACCCAAAGGCAAATCAACCTCGTCTAGCAGCCTTACATTCGAGGTAGTACATGTTTTGCACGTCCATGCACTTGCATTATTCAACCACGCCCAGGGCTTGGCAGACAAGGTCGGCTCATATGATTCGAACCCTCTTTTACCAGACAGTAACAGAAAAGAATGTGAGGATATTCTCCAATCAGCCGTATCAGCTCTGAACCTCGCGGCTGGTATGTTCAAGTATATTTCTGACACCGCGATCGACAATTATGAGGGCGCTAGAGATGCAGACACTCCAATTCTCAATAGAGAGTACAACATTGGTCTTTCTAAGCTTAGTTTGGCAGTTTCACAATCTCTAGCAATCAGGAAACTAATGTCACCTCATCATGCTTACACTTTACAGAACCCTGGTCCACCATTGCCAAAAGCTCATCCTTCACCGCAAATTCTACTCAAATTGCATCTGGATACATCCTCACTGTATAACTCTTCACGGATGATGTTAAAAAGTTCTATCAAATCAACTCTTCGCGTTCAGCACGTCGACTTACCTGCTGAATTAAAAGCACATACAAAGAGAAGGGAGAAATTCCACGCTGGTGTCGCCAAAAAGTGGCTCGGTGTCGACGCTGCTAACAGCGGTCACACGGGTTTAGCAATCGCCTGGCTAAAAGCAGCCTCAGAGGAGCTAGCTGAGAGTGTGACTTCAAGTTCCTCTGAAAAACTCAAAATATTAAGCAAGAGCATTAGAAAGGCACGCGATGAACGCAAAAATGAACTTGACGTTGAGTTGAGCTCTATAGACACATACTTCAAAGCATACAAGCAACTCAACGACACGGTATGCTGGGTTTACTGTTGGTTTTTTATACTAATAATAGTCCAATAGGTACACTTCCAAGATATACCCCCATCTCAGTCACTTTTGTCACAAATACCTAGCGGAAGATCACTTGTCGCAGCTACACCCTACACTCCGCCACCAGTCGCCTGGGTATTACAAGACACACCTGAAGAAAAGGAGAATACTTCAGATGCTACAACAAGATCTACAAACACTCAATATGCATTACAAGGAAAGTACTTTTAACGAAATGTAAAACTAAAAGGAGATATATAATTGCAATTACAAAGCTAATCCGTTAAGACTACACTATGATGTCTAAAACTACGTTGGTCGTTGTGATAGCGCCTCCATAAGTATCCTCATATCGCGTGATTGTTGGTCGATTGCCAACCTGAGTGATTTGATTTCATCGACTACATTATATTGAGCACTACTTGTGCTCGCTTCTGGTATGGATTCAAGTTGTGAATTTTGTTGGATGCCTACCCTTGGTCTCGCCGTTGTATAGGTTGGACTACCGTATGGATTGTGAGCATCAAAAATAGGCTCGGGTTCAGATGGTACATCGAATCCTGATGATGGTACAGTTACGTAATTGCGTCTTCTAGGTGTAGCTTCTACATTTTGGTGAGATGTGACGGTATCCCAGACTAAAATGCTCCGTTAGGAAAATGTCTGATATAGGAAGTCACTGACCTATCGAAAAGTTCCTTCCCAAGACAAATGATGGTAAGGCGATCAACAATAATCCGAAAATAAGGAGTGGAAGTGTGATTAATCTTCCTATGGTGGTTGTTGGCGTGACTTCACCATAACCAACTGTGGAGATTGTCACTAAAACGAACCTAGGTTTGTTAGATTATGTAATTAGAAAGAATAGGAACTCACCAAGCAGCAGCAGGAATACTATCAAATGATGAAGGTTCGCCGTCGCTGGTAATGAATGTTTCAAGGCTGGCATCCCAGCTACCGCGCTCAAGGAAGTATAAAAAGGTTGCGAACAAAGCTACTAGTGTACAGACTAAGAAAGAAAGCGCGAAAAGGGCGTCTGCTGAGCGTTTGAACGACAAAACCATGACCTCGATAGTGAGCAGGAGTTTGCTTGAATCTGCAAAAAGTGAGCTAGGGAGCCACAAGCTTAATAGACTCACATCTAAACGCTCTAAATACTCTAAGAAGTCTGAATGTACGTAGTATAGAGAAATGGAAGAAGTTTGTCTGTCTCGGGTGAGTGAGAAGTTGGGACGGCGATAGTATAAACAGACGGTGTCAGTGTGCAAGGATACTTCAATATAATAGGGCAGAATAGAAGCCAGATCGATCAAGGCGAAGAAAGATTTTGACCACCTCCACAACATTGTCTTAGAAGGTCAGCGGCGAACTTACCGAGAAGACGGACGTACCCATGAGTCTGAGTGAGCAGCGACTCTAGCGCAATACTCTATTGTAAACATGGCGACAATCGCGGTTTCTAAGCCGAACCAGATACGGGAATCTGTGGCTCTAAAGCTGGGTATAGTTTCGAGGATAGTCAGAACGGCGGCGATAACGATAAGGAGTGTTATGCAAATGTGTATTGTGAAAGCGCCCTGCGAGCTGTTCGGCTCCTGTAGAAGTTGATAGAGATTCTTCTTCCAACTAGACTGCGTATGAGGAAGGTAAGAAGACGGTAGAAAAGACGTACGGTTTGCGTATCTCGTTGGACTCTGCCGGATCAGACTCGCCCCAGAAAGTGGACCAGTCGCTGACCTGCTCGCCCTCGTCGTTCTCGTTGTTGAGCTGCTGCATCTCGTGCCCGAGAAGCTGCTCGTCATCTAGATGCTCCCTACGCTTTCCCTTGCTGCTATTTGTCAGTCTCTGCTAGCTCGCTCGCCAAACATACTTTGAGGTCATCGTTTCTGATTAAGATCTCTCTTGAGAAGCGACGACCATTCGCCGTAAGAGTAAAGCGTGAGTAAATTAAGAATTACTAGCGAGCGCCTTTACTTATAGCAATATACACAGTTTATATTATTTGGCACGCTATATACACGCCACAAAAGCTATTGAATGCCTACATTCATGAAGACTTTGTTCAAGAAGCGTACCCAGCAAAACCAGCAGCCAGGAGATAATAAAGAAGACCTAGAGCAGCATCATATCGCCTCCGCCGTCAGAGCAGCCCTTATTCCGCCCAGAAGAGGCTCCTTATACGACAACCTAGGTGGTATGGACAGCGATACGAGTCCAATCATCCCAGTAAACAATTCTATAAAGAATAACAGCAGCAGCGAGAATATCAAGGAATCTACCAAAGGTCTGTCCTTTCTACGCTCCTGCACCTCGCTCACAGTTTACAGCTGATAAACATGCATCCCAGTTCAGCTCCCAGCCATCCCACAGCCCAAGGAATAGCGATGAGGATCATTTCACCCACCCAGAACCGCAGCACGAAGACAACGAGGAGCCCCACACTGTCAGTCATGCCGATCACCCGCCAAACTACAGCGCGGACCAGCTCGAAGGGGAGAACAGCGAGGATCACCGCGATAGCATCTCTATTGAGCCTCCCGTCCAGTCAGACTTACCGACTTTCTCGCCTATACCCAGTACGTCCATCTCTTATGTCACACTGCATGAGCTGACGGGAGTAGGAGTGTCGACACCGACAGGACTCACCCTTCCTCCTTTCTCGCCCTTCAATCCACTCGCTCATCCACCACCAATCGCCAATCAGTTTACGAATAATGGCACGCCACCGACGTCGCCAAGAGATGTCCGCAGGGCTGCACGCCAGCTACCGACACTCGCAAGGGGATCTAGAGATCTCCCGCCACTCCCACTCGCAGAGGAACACGATCAGGCCCACGAAAGCGCCGATGTTTCAGAGTCAGACGATGACTCGGAGGAGAGCAGTGAGGAGGAGGAAGAGGAAAATGTAGAGGAATACAGGCGGCCCAGCATTCAACAGCCACCGTCGACCGACTACTTTAGTCTCCCATCCCAGAATCCACTTTCGCCATCTCAGACACCACGCGCACACCCACCAATGTCGCCTGGTATAAACTCGAATTCCCGCGCTACGACATCTTCTGTATTACCACCGAAACTCAACCAACGGGCAGCGTCTTCAGTCACAGTTCAGCAGCGGTCGCGCGAGAATACACAAAGCACCGTCGACTCCGTTGCACCCACATCTGAGGATTCTTCTACAAAGGATAAGGCTAAATCCCCAGAGGCACTCAGAAGACTGACAAGCTCTATCATGCTAACGGCCGTTGATAATCCAGCGCACGTACCACCTCCAACTGAACTTCCAAGCAGGACATCATCACACAAGGATGTAACAGTACTCGGCTCGGCTGCTCAGGCTTCACAGAAGCTCTCCGTTGCCAGTCCAAAAATCTATGGCCGCCAGATGTCAAGATCTTTGACTGACCTATCATCATTTCAGTCTCCGGAAATTACCGAAGGTCTTCCAACAGGTTTGCACCCTTCTGTATCGGCTGGTGCAGATGTTTCGGCGAAAGGGAAAGAGAAAGCAGAACCCCAAACACCTGCTATTACTATCGATCAGGCTGTCGAGAGCAGTACGAGTACGCGTGAAATCGCCGTAGGCACAAGTCCACCGGTAACCCCAGCAATGGGACACACTGTACAAATGGAACAGGAGCGTCTTAATTGGAAGGATGTAGTTCAAAATACACCGCTCAGTCCACCGCCACCTTTGACGCCACTATCTACGCATGGATCACCTAGTGCTGGTCGTAGAAGAATGTCGCTACCGAATATGACTGTAGCACCTCCCCAATACGAAGATGTAGCTCTACGAGAGACAATCTTTGGTGGTATAAGGCGAGTGATTAGACCACGTGAAGAAGAGGGCAATGAGAAACTCCCAACATATAAATGCGGTATACATATAGAAGGATTAATGCCACGCAAGATGGAATTCACATCACCTGGAAACCAAGCAAGAGATCGTACCTGGAGAAGAGTCTATGCTGTTCTCCATGGTACAGTACTTAAAGTCTACAAAGCGGACAGATGGGATCACGACAGAGCAGTACTTTCATCAGAGATCAACGACCTCAACGAAGCTGATCAAGAAAGTGCTTACGTTCATCAACCACCACCAGCTGATGCGCCGATCCCACCTGTACCAGCATTACCACAGCTTCTTGCACAGAGGCCCTCATTCCAGAATCATATCAATGCACCACCAAATAATATCAGATACGCACCAACTTTATTACGATCTTACTCACTTCAAAATGCCGAAAGCGGCCTTGCGGCTGATTACGTAAAACGACGGAATGTCATTAGAGTTCGCCTATTATCAGACAAGGGCGTCAAAGAGCAATTCCTTATACAAGCATATGACCAGTCATCTGTGATAGACTGGATAGAGGTGGGTATTATTTGATTGGGGTGAATTCACTAACGCACGTCAGGCACTCCAAGCAGCAACGAATGTATCATTAGATTTGGACAGTCGTCCTATGCCAAAGCTCACAACACTTCCAAGAAGAAGAAGAAGAAGGAGAGTGCGTCAAGAAGACCTAAGTAATGGCAACACGGATGCAATTGAAGCTGCCCAAACAGAAGCTGCAATACAAGCATCGCTTAGGAACAACCAGAATGCGGATAACATTTCTACACGTTCAGGAGGTCTCAGGGCTAATATACGGAATAGCATACGTAGAAACGCATCACAATTGAGAAGCACGACATCAGTAAATAACATATAAAGAAGTTTACTTTCATTTAACTCAACATTTTACTCGACATTGTATTCATTAACTTGCTAATACTTACATTTCGCTACTTGCCGCTCGCTTCTGATGACGACATTTCTTTCGGAACTGAACCAGTCACTCGTTGGACACGAACGACGATGAGCTCAGGATTGTTGAAATTACCTACAGAAGTTCTGCTGAGGATTCCTGAGTATTTAGACCCTGGGTCTTTTGATATGCTGGCCCAAACTTGTAAGGAATTACGTGAGCTATTCTCAACCGACAATCTGAGCTGGCGGGCTGTTTCGCAGAATGTTAGGATAGGACGTCCAGATAGATCACGCTCTAGAAGTAGATCGCGCTCTGTTCGTCGCGAGAGGGACACTTTCGCTACAATTGGACGCCGAGCAGCGAGTGAGGAGCGCGGACGTGGGAGAAAGGGACCTATTAACTGGAAAATGGACTACTCGAGTGAGGAAGACAGCGAGAGTACTATAGAGGAAGTAGACGCAGAGATGGCGAGTATGCAAGTCGAGCATCCCGAAGAAGCCGGCGACAGTGTGAGGCCATTGAGTACGTCTTGAGTGTTAATTTTCACTATTTTAACAATATTTAGGAGATTCGAGTAGGTCGCTCCGCCATACTTCCAATTCACGCTCCCGGTCACGTTCACGAAGCAGAGTGCGCACAGCACGAGCACATCCCGCGCTCTCAGCCCTTTGGTTCAATAGAGCCGGGACAACTGTTGACAGCGTAGAGGTTATACTTCCAGACACAGATCAACGCGAGAAGTTAGTGGATCACCCGCAGACCTACTACTGCCTCGCTACCGAACCGCCTTTGAGGAAGGTCGAGCTTCAAGTAGGCGACCACGTCAGTCGCGTTGAGAATGACGAGGGGATCACAGTTTGCGATGTCGTCGATGAAACACTCAACACGTAGGGTATCATTTCTATGTTTATTTCTCCTAACGCGAACGTAGGATAAATTATATCATAACAAATGCGGCAGTAAGTGATGATGGTGAGATGGATCCAGCTACGACCCTTGTCTTGGATGGCAGGTACGTCTTGGCCTTCTTGGTAAAATTTTCGTTAACACAGATAATCAGATTGAAGAGAATACAATATGTCGAGCCGGAGACACTCGAATGTATATTTGAACTGTAAATTGTAGTAATTGTCTTCGTTTTGAGCATTTTTAACTTTATATCGCTATGGAGTGTTTGTAGCTCTTGTAAGCAACCAAGAGCAACTGAGAGCAAGTAAATGCGTAGATATAAATGTGCACTTATGCTAATATCTTGGAGAATGCTCAGTATTTTCATATGATCGCTATGGTCTTGGTCGTGTGACTACAGAGGTTGCTTAGATAAGAGGAACTGTACTTAATTATGGAATATAAGCAATTAGCATGGATTACTAGCGGTTTCAATCAAATTTTTTACACCGGCGGCCATCTACAAAGCTCACCGAAGCCCCGGTTGAAGCTGTTTCGCCATGATAGGCAAATTTAGACATAATGGCTATCTGCCACTACCAATTACACAAAATAGCGTGAAAAACAACGCCAGTAAATTACTTGCAATACCTATTCTACTTCTACTTCTGGTTGTCTACAACTATCGCGGAGAAACGGAAGTCAGAGAGGTATACAAGCTATTTGTCGTAGCAGAGGATGAAAGCCACGAAATTTTCCCGAATTCAGATCCTCCAAATTCTGCATCGAGGAATGTACGACCTATCAAATTCCATGAGGCTATGTCGGATAAATGCCTAGACGATTGGATTAGTATGGCGATATGGTCAGAAAACTGTAATGATGTAGATGTCGCGAAATTCAGTACTATCGATCCGGTTTTTCCTTGGGTTAATGGAAGGTTGGTGTGATTATAAAGGTAGTCAACACATTCTTACACCTTTTAGTGATCCAGTACAAATTTCTGCATTACAACAGTTCTCTGACGAGAAGGTGGACAGTCAGCATCGATACCAAGAGCATGACGAATTGAGGTATGCCCTCCGTTCCATTGAGCGCTCAGTGGGTGAGAACGTTGGGCGATATCACATTTTAGCATCCTCATATGATTCGCCGGAAGGTGAGCAGCAGATCGCTCAGCATCCTTCCTGGCTAGACCACCATGATAAAGTTGAAATGCACCACCACTACAAGTTTTTCCAGCGGATGCCGACAATTGAAGAAACTAAGAAGCTTTCACCCTCAGAATTGAACACTCTTAACGAGAAATGGCGCGCTGAATCACTTCCAACTTTCAATTCCTTCGCTATAGAAGGTCAGATGCACAATATAGAAGCACAATCAGATACGATTGTCTACCACAATGATGACTTCTTCACATTAAGGAAAAACGCAGTCAGTGATTACTATTCACCAATTCATGGACCTGTCTTGCGTAGTTTGAGTTATAGCATGTATGTACCACAAGAGAAACCACTAGGATCACGCAATGGCGAGGGTGTAGCTATTGCGCGTTCGTCCTGGATTTTAGGAAAGAGATTTGGTATGAGATGGAGACCATACATTGCCCACCACGCTCGCAGTCTGTCACTTCCTATTCTCAATGAGGCTGCCATTATGTTTGACAACTCTTTCAATAATGTCACTCTGGCGAGATTTAGAAACACGAAGGATGCACCATGGGCTATACAATCCTTCTTTTTTGCCTCATGGTTTATTACCGAACGTCACCGGGAGGCCCTCTTGTGGTCCTGGATCATAGCCAAATGGGGCAAGTCTGGTGAATCTATAAACACTGACATGATGTGGAAGGAGCTCACCGGTGGTGAAGCTATTCAACATGTGGTTCACGTCCCATATAGAAATACACTAAAGGATGATGAACTTGAGAAGACACTTGAGGATGCTCATATACCCAAACCACTCAACACAGAGTATGCATTCTCCAGTATGGATGGATTCGGACCTGGATACCTACGTCAGATTTGGCATAGATTGCTGAGTCGACACGGATGGCCTGATTTGAGAGATGGAAAGAAACTAAAAGCCTGTACTATAGTCAAAGACAAGTGTTTCAAGAGAGGTAGTAGTCCAAATGAATTATTTAAACACATTGCCTTTGAGGAATATGGTGATTGTGGTGACTGTAGTAAGTACTCTTTCTCTTTGATGGTTATATCTAAACGCATCGTAGTTATAACGCAATTGATTGCGCAAGCAGGCGGAAAAGGATTGGAAGTCTTCTTACCACCTAAAGACGACCTCATGGGTTTCACTAATGTACCACATTTACCTCTCGACGATGATTGGAGAGGTATCGACTTTAGTCTTAATAATGTCCTGCATACTGAAGTTTCACCACGGTCATTCGCAACCCGCCTCATCATGCGTTACAATCACGTATTCGGTGAGACGCCTTCGCAATTCACGAAAGTGTACAATCCTTCACAGCTCAAACAGCAGCTGCATTTAGCGGACACTCGTGAAGAAACCACATTCATTTGTCTCAATGACGACGTCAAAAAAGAAAACGATATACCAGCCATCAACGAGTTAATGGGCAATTGGTTCAATTCTCGTTGGCCAGATCCAGCAGAATGGGAGAGAACATAAATATAGTTAATTTCATATTTGCATTTTCCAATTTAATTACATATTACTAGGTACTTTCACTATAAAGAACACTCGAACGGACAGTAATATTTTGTTAGCATTAGATATACATTTAATCAATTAAGTTCATACGGCGGTGACTTAACCTATAAGATACTATAACATACTCCAACCCAACTTGACAGCGAACCACGATGTCAGCAAGAGTCCTGCATTGGTTTAGAACTGATTTGAGATTACACGACGCGCCTGCCCTTGTAAAAGGTTTAGAACTCAAACCAGAGGCTTTCTTTCCTGTAAGTTTGTGGTGATCTCGGATCTTTTTGTCCCTGATTTAGAGCAGGTCTGGGCATGGGACCCTTATTTCAACTTTGATTGCCCGGTTGGACCAAATAGGTAGGTATTTAGGGTATACTTGTAGCACTAATTGACCTTTCATAGGTACAAATTCCTTATTGAAACAATGAATGAACTCGACGGAAAGCTAAACGATATGGGAAATAAACTGCATGTGTTTAGGGCTGACCCAGCTGATTTATTTCCTGCTCTTTTCAAACAGTGGAATATCACACACCTAGTTTATGAGAAGGTGCGCCATATATTCGTTTACGTCATCCTGTTTGACACTCACTCTCAGGATCCAGCGCCGTATGCAGTCGAGCGGGATGAGAAGATAAAACAAATAGCGACAGATGCTAAAGTAGAAGTCTTAGATATTACAGGACATACACTTTATGATATAGATGCTGTCATCGAGAAGAACAAAGGCGAGCCAACAACAACTGCGCAAGGTTTCAAGAATCTTGTCAAAGATATGGAGATTCCTCGTCCAACGGAGGGTCCTACGAGTATGCCCAAAGCCGACAATCTCAAGCTTGAGGCTATCAGGAAGGAGGTGAAACTTTTCAAACCTGGTCACGATATCAATGCGGAGCACAGAAAAGGTAGAATGACTGTATATGATTCTGTTACAGGTGTGAAAGATATTCTAGCATCACCAACACTCGAAGAATTGGGCTACGATGTTAAGGAAGCAACAACGCAGATTCCAGGAGGCGAAGATGAAGCTCTTCGCCGCCTTGATAAGTGGATACAGGATGAGGATGCCACGGCTACTTTTCGCAAACCACAAACATCACCAGCAGAGTATGACCCACCTGCAACAACACAATTGTCGCCTTATATCAAGTTTGGCGCATTGGGGGTCCGCGAATTCTACTGGAAAGTTGTTGATCTGATGGACCAATACGATGGTGAGACCAGCTCTGAACCTGAGAATCTCCCTGGTCAGCTCATATTTAGAGAGATGTATTTTGCAGCACAGCTCGCGATTGGTAAGCCATTCGGGCAGATTAGGGGAAATAAGATATGCAGACTAATTGATTGGAAGCTCTGCAATGTGTACGATGAAAATGGTGAACAGATAATTCCACGTCCGAAAGGCCCAAAGGAAGACGAGGAAGCACTTCAGAAATGGGCAGATGGCTTCACAGGCTTTCCATGGATTGACGCGGCTATGCGTCAACTTAAACAAGAAGGCTGGATGCACCACCTTGCAAGACATTCCGTTGCGTGTTTTTTGACGAGAGGACAGTTGTACATTAGTTGGGAGAGGGGAGCTGAAGTTTTTGATAGATATCTTGTTGATAGAGACCCAGCGTCTAATGCTGGTGAGTTTAGACGCCTCTAATAGATCGTTAATAACAAGCTTAAGGTAACTGGATGTGGCTCTCTTGCTCATGTTTCTTCCATCAATATTACAGAAACTATGGTACAACGACTTTCCCAGCTAAATATGACAAAACAGGGAAGCTAGTCAGGAAGTATGTCCCAGAACTGAAGGATTACCCCGATAAATATATATACAAACCATGGGAAGCGCCGGAGGATGTACAAAAGAAGGCAGGATGCGTAAGTAGATATATTTTATGCAGAATTACAGTCTAATATGCTACCAGATAATCGGTAAGGATTACCCAAAACCAATGGTTGATGAAAAACGTGCCAGCTCTGAATGTATGGCCAAAATGAAGGATCAATACGCCAAGAAGCTCTACGGAGATAGTGAATTGAAACGCAAAGCTAATTAGTTAAGAGCTATTTGATAATTTATTATGTAATTAATATATTGATCGACGTGTCATGTTACTTTTTGTTATGTCAGTGAGTACAAATATAAAAACATATCAAAGCACGCAGAAAGAAGAGAAAAATATATTGTACTGCTGGCTCATTGTCTGTTAATCAATAAAAACCTAAATACAGATGTCAAAGCGTCAAACCATCCAGTGCATTCTCATAGGGCTGATCCAGACAATGTGGTTGTAAGCTGAGATTTGAGAACTTAGAGGATAGGATAAGAAGAACTCCAGATGATCACACCCAAGCTAAGCAAAGAGATGTCATCACTGATATAGTTTATCCGTGAAATACCAGGAAAGAGGTATAAGCTAGAGAAGGATAAGAATAGAAATGCTTGTAATCGAAGAAGACGACTAATGCATAAAAGATTTTACACTCAGCGGTAATTATTTTACCGAGTAAAAGCTGTCTCCGCTGCGTTAAATTGTAAAGGTCACTAGCGATGAAGAGATTGAGCGGTTATTTCCAGAGGGATCTTTCTAGGAGAGATAACGAGAGCTTAAACCAGAGATATCACTTGGGTTTCGTACGTTTTCTAGCCCTTAGCTTATCCATCTCACAAAATACAGGCATCCCACTACAAATCTCTGCAACCGCACGAGAAGACGACATTCCAATCAACTGAGATATTCATCGGATTCCTCGGTAAGAGATTTTCGTACTCGTGTCTATATCGCTCACATCGCATAAGAAAATAGCGAGATAAACACTTACGATAGAGACGTCTTCTTAAGAATTCTATTGCTCGATTTGCGGCCTGGTGGAGTATCAGACAAATGGGATATACAAAGTGAGTGTTATTTCGTTGCTTGGTGTCTCTCCGTTGATCAGCTTCCCAGCTGCACTCTCAGCACTCAAAGTTATAAAAGTACTGGGAAGATCGTCAATAGGTACCACAGCACTTACCACAATTGACGCTTTCAATTGCTTGGCTAGTCTTCTCGAGAGAAAGGGTTACAACGAATCAACTGCAACGACGCCTTCGCTCACGAGCAGATTACAGTCACATAGAGCATCATACATCACATCTAGTGATACAATTAGCGTGTCCGAATGTCACTTAGAATCTATGACTATCGTTGCAAATACTTTGCTCTTGCACGAGCAAGCTAGATACAATGCTGTTCAATCGAACATTCCTAGTCTCTGCTATCAAGCTTTGAAGGCAGGTTGAAACACCAAAGCATTTGTCCGCCTCTTACCCCTCATAACAGGCACAACAGAATACATCCGATATACACTTCGTCGCTGCTAGATGTTTATTCCTTTGCACGCTTAAGCCAGATCCAGTAGTAACAAAGTTGGTACATGAAGATAATCTCGTTGACGTCATACACGCTGTAAGTACAGACGGTTATCTGTAAACTTAGGAGTAACTTACAATAAATCTAACAGCGTCTTATTCAATATACCCCTTACATAATTCCTTCAAACAAGTCTAATGATATACCTCCGCGGTCGAAGGAACTGGTCACTGACATACTCAAACTCTTCTTCAATCTCACTCTACATCACAAATCGAGCAACTCAAGTCCAATTTTGGGAGAAAATTGGGATGAAAAGTTCAGTAAACTCTTACAGCCTCTTCTTATACTCTTCATGGATCTTACTGGGAACTCAAACGTAAATGCGATATCGCCTATACCTCAACCAATACCACAAGTTATTCATTCTTTACTCTGCTTCCCATTCAAGCCATTCACACAGATATGGTCAAATCCTCATTCTTCTGGATCTTTTTCACCTTCTGCTGCTATAAATCGATTATCGAGATCACTTTCACGCGCTTCGGTAGTGCAGTACGATACATCTAAACTCAATTTCGAGAATATGGATAACTATCCACTTTTGAATAGACTCATAGAGCTCCTCAACAATGTCATATCTGCTTTCTGGCCTAGCAGCTCTTTGGAAGGCGGTGAGAGCGTTGATAGTGCTCAAGCAAAAACAAAGTCTGCCGGTGTAGGTATAAATCTTGATGAGACACTCTCACCTTTGATTATGCTCTTGCGTAAGCTTGTTGCGGAGGATACAAGGGGTAATGGTGGCTTTAAAGGGTCATTATGGAGGTTACTCGGTTTGCATGATATCGACAGAAGTGTAAAGATGGAGCAGAGAGGTGATTCTCTTGGTGTTTTCGTCAGATTCCTGACTAGCTCTCTCTTTCCTTCAATAAAAACAACAGTCGGAGAGCTACTTTTCGCTCTCTGCGATAACGATCCAACGAAGATGTCTTCAACAATCGGTTTTGGAAATGCCGCAGGATTTCTCTTCTCGAAGGGATTACTCAGTGCTGGCGCTGGCGACCCTGCTGAAACCGGTGTTAACCCAGTAACTGGTGCTTACGAAGAAGCTCGCTCTGGTGGACCAGAGGAGATGACTGAAGAGGAGAAAGTGAGTGTTAAGGTTATAGTTTGAGTTTTACTGATCATACATGCAGGAAGCTGAAGCTGAAAAACTATTCGACGCCTTTGACAGGCTGAACAGAAATGGTATTATCAAGACATCAAATCCTATGCAAGATCCAAAGAATCAGGCAAGGTTCCAGGAAATTGAGGAAGAAGAAGTTGATGAACTCAAAAAGCAAGACGAACAGGATGAAGAGGATGTCGAGCAAATGATGAAAGAATATAAATCACGTAAAGACAAATCTACACCATAATGATTACATACATATATTTTGTAATTACTACTAAAGTATATTAATCTTTTTAATTGATCAACTTTCTCATATCATTTCTCGATATCGGCTTTCTTCCCCACAACCAACAAGTATATAAGATAATGACATTACCGGAATTGAACGTAGATGAGCTCCTTGAGCAACTCACCGTTAAGGAAAAGATTGATCTTCTCGCTGGTAGAGATGTATGGCATACTGTAGCCAACAAAAGACTGGGAATACCTTCGATCAGGACATCTGATGGTCCTAATGGTGTTAGAGGAATTTGTTAGTTTATAATTTATACAATAAATCAGTTTTAAACTATCTGCAGACTTCTTTGAGGGTACACCCTCTTCCTGCTTCCCAGGTGCGACAGCTTTGGGTGCTTCATTCGACAACGAACTGTTAGAGAGAGTTGGCAGTGCTTTAGCTGATGAATGTATAGCAAAAGGTTTGTTTCTATATGCAATGTGACGTAATAAACTAAGCGAGCATCCTAGGCGTACACGTGCTTTTAGCTCCGTGAGTATCGTAGATTTAAACTAGAAAATATTCTAATATTAGTGAGTACTATCAACATTCAACGCTCACCTCTTGGAGGCCGTGGTTTCGAATCTTACTCTGAAGATCCTGAGTTGAGTGGTACACTTGCGAAATACTACGTAAAAGGTTTGCAAGATAAGGGCATAGCAGCTACGATCAAGCATTTTGTTGCTAATGACCAGGAATTTGAGCGTATGTCTATGTCTTCTGAAGTCTCAGAAAGGGCACTCAGAGAAATTTATTTGAGAGCTTTCGAAATCCCCCTGAGGGAATCAGAGTATAAACCATGGGCTGTTATGACAGCTTATAATCGCATGAATGGGTTGCATTGTTCGGAAGACCCTCGACTTCTCAAGGATATCCTTCGTGATGAATGGAAATGGAGTGGTGCGGTTATGTCAGATTGGTTGGTAGACTTTCAACGAGATTTATTGATTTCTGATATGCTGAAGGTGTGGCACTTACTCCGCAGACGCTTCAACCAGTGCTGGTCTTGATTTAGAGATGCCGGGTCCACCTGTCGTCAGAGGTGCTGCTCTTCAACGTGCTCTTGCCGCTAAGAAGGTTACCATTGAAAGCATTGATGCATGCGCCAGAAACGTAGGTTTATATCGTGTGTCAATGAATGTCAAATACTGAAGAAATTTAATAGATCCTTGAACTAATCAACAAAGTGCGCAAGAGCGGAATAGATGAGGATATTCCAGAGCAGGTACTCGACACACCGGATATCCGTCAGATACTTAGAGAATCTTCTGCAAACGGTGTAGTACTTCTAAAAAACGATGAAAACATTATGCCAATAAGAAAGGGAATCAAGAAAATAGCTGTAATAGGTACAAATGCAGAATCCGCAATTATTTCAGGTGGTGGTTCAGCTGCACTTAGAGCATCTTACTCCATTTCTCCACTTGATGCTATCCGTGAGCAAGCTAAAGAGATTGGTGCTGAGGTTGTTTACTCACGCGGTGGAAATGCACACAAGCTCACACCACTTTTTGGTCCCGAGTTGAAGACCAAGGACGGTAAAGCAGGTGTGGATGTTAGTTTCTATGCTAGCGATCCATCTGCTGGTAACGTTAAGCCTGCTCACGTACTTCACGCGTAAGTTTGCAGAGTTTTTTTATATTGTACTGACACTTTGCAGACACTCTTCGCATATGTTCTTCAATGACAACCTTCCTAGTACTGAAGTATTCCCACTTACTTGCTGGTCTGAAGCAACCGGTACATTTACTCCAAATAAGACTGACAACTACGAGCTCGGTGTTGCTGGTATTGGTAAAATTGATCTCTATATCAACAACGAGAAAGTTGTTGACAACTCTACTGATCCTCAACCAGGCACGTTGTGGTTCAATTCCGGATCTGAAGAGCGCACAACCGTTAAGCATCTTGAAGAAGGCAAGCAATACACAATTACAGCAAAATTATACTACAGTAGCGAAGGTTCTCAAGCTGCTGGTACTCTTTCACCACTTTTAAGAGGTGGTATTCGATTTGGTATTGCACCATTCAAATCACAGGAAGCATTCATTGAAGAAGCTTTGGAAGCTTGTCAAGGTGCTTCTCTAGTCCTTGGTTTCGTAGGTCTCAACAATGACTTCGAAAGTGAAGGTTTCGACAGACCAGATATGAAACTCCCAGAATCAGCTAATGCGTTCATGGATGCTATTGCTTCTGCAAACGAAAACACCGTCGCTGTAGTTCAAACTGGTACACCTGTAGAATTACCTTGGGTTAACAAAGTTAAGGGTGTCTATCAAGCTTTCTATGGTGGTAATGAAGTCGGTACTGGCCTTGCTGATGTCCTTTTCGGCAAACACAATCCATCTGCGAAACTACCATTAACTATTCCAGTCGAATTGAGAGACAATCCATCACATTTAAACTTTGGTGGTGAGAACGGACGTGTTTCATACGCTGAAGGTGTCTTCGTGGGATACAGACACTTCGTTACAACTGGAAGACAACCGTTATACCCATTCGGTAAAGGGTTGAGTTACACTTCATTCGCTATCACTGAACCACATCTTGAAAGCAAAGGCGACTATGAGGTTGTAATCAAAGTTAATGTCAAGAATACCGGTGACGTTGCCGGTAAAGAAGTCATACAGCTCTACGTACATGATGTTGAGTCTCGCCTTGCTAGACCATACATTGAACTGAAGGCATATGGCAAGACCAAGACATTGAACCCAGGTGAATCACAAGAAGTTGTGTTGAACCTTAACAGACGTGCATTCAGCTACTTTGATGATTTGAAAGGAAAATGGGTTATTGAAGCCGGTGAATTCAGACTCCTCGTCGCTACTTCATCCGCAACTGAAGATGTTAAGCACACACTTAGCCATACTATTAACCAATCTACCGAATTCATCTAGCATGTTTAAAGATTATTAAGTTTTGGATATATAACTTCTTTTTTCGTATAACTGATCTTGTGTCTTTATTATTCTGGATTGCATCAAAATTTTCTAATTTCAAATTCCCGCTAAGGCACAATCGAGACTAGATAATTTTACTAGATAATTTCAAATTCATGCATTAGAACAATGGTATTATTTGTTTCCCCTAACAAAGGAATAAAGGGGATGTTTAACTTCCACCTATATTTATGAGGAGCCTCTCTCATCTTCAACATTATCCATTATAAGTATGTCTAGAGTAGTCAACTGGTTTGACGTTAAGAACATCCGTATAAACTATACACAAATACCCATCGCAGCTACAGCTGGTCTCAAAGCTGCAAAGAGTGAGTTATCCATGTATCTATCCATTGATCCGCTAACGATGTAAAAAGATAATACCCGGCCTAAGATGTTATTAAATATCCAAAACAACCACAATGGCATTAAAAATAACGTAGCATTATCATCCAAGACACAAAATAGAACTTTATATCAAACTAGCCTTCCGTTTGATAATACGGAGAGAAGCATGACCGAAATGACAAGTAGGATGAATAACAAGACTGCTCATATCAACTATGATCAACTTGTCGATATTCATATCAATATAAAAAGGGCAGGAAGTAGTTTTAGTTATTATTTCAAGAAACAGTATGAAGTTTGGCATACAGAAGACCCCAAAGCCCTCTTAGATAGACTGCTCAGGCCTCTTCCTCTAGATAAAGCCAAATCGTTAACAATCAAGCCAAGTGATTATGAGAAGATCTCACCTCAAACGATGATGAAGCTTGTTGCTATGAGATGGACTCTAGTACCTAAAGAAGAGAAAATTGTAGGTTTTTCTCGCGTCGCTCATTTGATACTCATACTATGTTCCCAGAAATATGACAGTCTACGTCAGAAAATAGGCGCATACAGGAAATCTCTACCAAGATTCATGAAAACGAAAGAGTTGAAGATCGGAACCGGCCCAAAGCAATTTAAAACATTGGTAAAAGATTGCCAGTTATAGCCTGTAACTTGTAAAGATAGAAAAAGTAGAAAGAAAAAAGTTGGTAATTTAGATTATTGCCAGTTAAAAGAAATGAAAATGAAATTTCAGAACTATTTCCTACGTGGGTTATGTTTAAATAAACCACACGCGCTTCCAATTCTATGATACATTCTGAGATACCATCATAAAGATCCCCCCCCCACTAAGAGCTATTAACGCAAAGCATCAGATTTCCGATGCATGGTTCATGCACAGCTTTATATACTGTCAAAGATACTCATTTTTCTACTAATTATTATTATACGATAAGCTTCATGGTAAGACGATATCACCAAACAACATAAATACCTAAAAGGAGAGCTGACAGAGCTCAATGTAATAAAACACATATATTTGTTTACTTTGTCAACCAAGGGACGTTTGACTTGCTGATTAAAGCGTAGATAACGCGAAGACAGATGAAAATTTTAGCATGGGAATATTGGAGATCTAATAGTACGCAAGGGACCCAAAATTACCACTCTATCAAATGTAGGTTTCCTTTAAAACTTACCTCGAGGAAAATAATTCAAATTCTTCACCTACGGAAATAGACTTATTAAGGCTTTTTTACATACATCGAAGTATCAATATTATTAATTTATAGTACCTTATTACCATATGCACACGTAGAGGTTTGACATTTCACAATGAGGTATGCAATGTGTAGTAACAATATCAGTATAAAACCGAATGTCATAAGATGCATTTGATAATAAATGATCGATTGATCACTTAGTATTCAATTATAGTGGATGTTCTGTTGAACGTTTATTCTCACTCGTCATGTTATCGTAGATGTTGGTACATCATGACGATAAAGGTACGCTCAAGCGACTAAGGATGTTTGAGTATATTATATGAGGTGTGTATAACCACTATTATATTAATATTCTACTGTAGCTGTATCCGATTAAAATTCGACATCATGGTACGAATTAGCACATGATATTATTAGCAGCAGCAGTTTTTACATATAAAATGAAGTAAAAGTTGTGTATCACCGAATAATAACGTGCTATTGAATCATCTTGAGATTTAAATAGATCAGCCGAATAATTCAACTCAGTGAATCAGGTCAGGTTGACTCATGATTGCATCGTTTAAAAAGGTACCAAATTTTCTAGCTCCTTTTAAACAACTACGAGGTAACATGAGCCACGTTCACAACACCGCTAAAAAAGGATTTGGTTTGAATAGCAATGACTACGACACGCATAGACCAAGATATGCAGAAGAGGCTGTAAAGGAGATCGTCGATAATATTCCAAAACAAAGTCAACCATCTACTATACTAGAAATTGGTAGCGGTACTGGTATTTTCACTAGAGCGTTGCTAGGAAGCACAACCAATGAAATAAAGAAACTTATAGCTGCGGAACCAAGCCAGGGCATGCGTGAGACATGTAGGGGTAGCTTGACCGAGGATTTAGTGCAAGGACGCGATGTAGCCGTTGTAGAGGGTACGTTCGAGTCAATTGACGCTGAAGACAATTCCTATGATCTCGTTATTATCGCTCAAGCATACCACTGGTGTACTGACTATCAAAAGTCCCTGAGTGAGATAGCACGTGTTCTCAAACCTCAAGGGAAGCTCGCACTTACCTGGAACATGGAGGATAGAGATTGTAAAAACTGGGTTGGCATTGCTAGAGATATTTATGAACGTTACGATGAAGGTACCCCACAATATCGTCTCGGTAAATGGAAAGCAATGTTTGACACTGATGCCTACAAATCCTTTTTCAGAGGCACGGATTACAACAAGTACACGCGTCACGTTCCAATCACCTTGCAAGGATACCGTGACAGGCAAGCTACTAAGAGTTTTATCAACGTCCTACCAGCTGATGAGAAGGAAGCTTTGTTGAAGGATATCGTCGACTCTATCTCTAAGCAACCAGATGTTGACTGGATCAACCAGGATGACGGTTCCCTCTATATTCCGTATCTAACCGATTTATATATTGTTCATCTGAAATAAATGCATACACTTGAACAAGAAGTTATCTTAGTGCCAATATGGTGAAGCAGTAGGCTTGATGACTTCCCAAAGAGCATCTACAACTGAGACTACCTCTTCTGGGAGTGCTGCGCCATTTAATGCATTAAGGTTCTCCTCGAGTTGCTCAAGTTTTGAAGCACCGATAATGACAGCATCGCCATGTTCGGCCTTGAGTTGAGAGTGGTGAGCAATCCACCTCAATGCGATCTCAATTGTTGTCAAGTTGTATTTTTTGCCTAATGAAATGTGTCAGTTGGTATTATTGCAAGTATAGAAACCCACCAATTGCATCGATCTCGTCCAAAGCTTTGAAGACATTGTCGTTGAAGAAACGCTTTCTAAACATCTGTCCTTGTGCATGGCTGTCATCGTATCGACTGCCCTTTTCGAATTGAGTATCCTTGCGTACTCTACCTGTAAGAATACCACCAGCGACTGGTGAGAATGCATAGAAGCTCATACCATACTTGCGCAAACAAGGGAATAGCTCAGGTTCCGTGATACGTTGTGCCAGACTGTAGTTTCCTTGATATACTTTAGGTTGAATCCATCCATTTAATCTAGCTGTTACTACCAATTCAGCGACTTCATGAGACATAAAGTTACTGACACCGAGTGTCTCGAACTTTCCAAGCTTGTATTGCTCATCAAGAGCTTTGAGAGTTTCTTCAACAGGTGTACGGGTACCATCTTCAAATCTCTCTGGACCATGTAAATAGAATATTTTGAGTTTAGATACACCTGTGTTCTTCAAGGCGATATCAATGTGCTTTGCAATGTTACTACGAGTGAGCGGAATGTTATCAGGTCCTAGATTCAACATTGCACCCATTTTAGCAGCGCTATATGGATAAAGCTTTGATGAAACTTGATATCCTTTCTTTTCTACATTCAGTTTACCGAGATATTCTTCTGATGTACCTTTACCGTATACTCTAGCAGTGTCGAGCTCAGTGTGTCCATATTTTCCGAACAAATCAATGAATTGTCCAACTTTATCTAAATCAGTAACTCTGACGTGAGTAGCTGATTCTGGCTCTCCAAATTGCATACATCCGAGAACTAATTGTTGTCAGGGATATAAAGATATTAATAAGTTATACATACCGACAGGGATTGCTGATTTTCTTTCTACTGACATTGCTTACTGATGTTAATCGTATGGGTTTAAGAGTGAAGTAAACTATTTATATTCACACGGTTTCCGAGTTGCGAGTCTTCCTCCACTTAGACGGTGACCGAGATTAAGGCGCGTGATGATATCATCAACCTCATAGGTAACAAGATGTCAAAGTTCTAAAGACATCCGATTATCTATTACTTTTAGTGTGTAAATCGTCTGTTGTCAGAAGAAGGCATATTTGTATGGAAATCGTTGCATTCAAAATACAGTAATTATCATACTTGTCAAAGCCAATGCTTTATTTAATATTTATCATGGCATACGTCACGAGTTTGTGGACAGCTTTTTATTCATAAGTGTATACAAAAGATTAAGGAACTTAGTGAGTTAATACAAAGCGATACTTAACATCGCCCTTCTTCAGTCTATCAAAAGCGAGCTGGAGATTTTCTTCAGAGAGTTGTAAGACCTCTACTGTAGGAGTGATGTTGTGTCTACCCATAAACTCGAGCATTTTGGCGTGTTCGTAGCGAGTAGCGACCAGAGATCCACCAATCTAGGATTACGTTAGCGCATTTCTGGCGATATTAAACCACTCACTTTTGATTCATTGAGGAGTAGAGGAGCGTATGGTGCTTCCAAGCGACCAAAGTCTACCGCCAAAACGACTATTGTACCTCTTGGGGCCAAAGCATTAACATAGCTATCATATTGTGGTTGAGCGTTATTTGTGCTAATAATAAAGTCGTATTTTTCCTTATCCCAACCCTCTTCTGTGACATTCTTGAATTCATGGGCACCGAAAGCAAGCGCCTCGTCGCGCTTTCTATTGCTGCTTGAAAGAGCTGTAACATGACATCCCCATGCTCTGGCAACTTGCAAAGCTACATGTCCGAGACCACCAATACCTGCGATGGCAACTCTTGAGATTGGGCTGATGTTGTACTTTAAGAATGGAGAGAAGACAGTTGCACCAGCGCATTGTAAGACTGCAGCATGTTCTGATTTCATGTTGTCTGGAATTTTATGAGCGAATCTGGCGTTCATGGCGACATATTTTCCGAAGCCACCTTGATGTCCTTCCTCGGGGCTGCCATGCATGACGCGTTCAGGGCAGAGTGTGTCATAACCGGATCTGCATTCATCGCAAGAATCGCAAGATAAGTGGTTACAACCATATCCAACCCTATCACCAAGTTGGAATCCCTTGACTTCCGAACCGATAGCTTCGAGTACACCAACCGGTTCGTGACCGAGTACAAAACTGCTATCCATAAAGTGAGTATCTGAGAAACAGAGACCACCATGAGTGATGCGAATAAGAACTTGGTCTGGTTTGAGTTCACCGAGTGTGGATTCTGACTTGACGACTTTACCACCAATTCCTTTGTATGCGTAAAACTTTTCTCCTGCTGCTGGCATTTCTATTTGTGTAATAATGGTTTATGTTTCAAAGAAGAAGAAGTCTTCTAGACAATTTATAGTGGAGCCAACGGGACGCGAGATTCGGTACCGTCAGATGGTTCGTAAGTGTACTTCAGATAGTATGTTATAACGTAATCAAAAATTTGCCATCATGTACTTCAGTTTTCCTAAATTTTCTTCATATCTTGATGATAATACAATCGAGAGTCAGTGCATACAAGTGACTTCCCCGGTGGATTTCCGACGATGTACATGATTGTATGATGATTGTAAAATAATAATTTGTGTTTTATTGTTTTATTTCAAACATGTAAGGTGATGTTGGAGTACAAAGGGTACCACAACGGTAACACACAGTAAGACATTACCAGTGCAGAAAAAAAAATAGAAATAGAAAAGAAAACCCTAGAACAAATATCATGTTAATCTTTATAAAGTACAAAAAACCGTAGAAGTTGATTGATGAGCAGATGTCTTGAAAGAATACCAATGCAAAAGCTTTAATGGGAGCCATTTAGAAATAGTGATTAAAATGTGGTCTATAGATGTATTGCTTCAAAGTGATCCAAAAATAAGCGATAATATTACGTCTTCGACTGGTGTAATAGTTGTGGTCTAATGTCATCACCTGGTGTGTTATCTGAAGCCGGTGATGAGTGATCAGAAGATTGAAGTTTCGCGCCATGTGAGTGTGCTCTTGCCTTCTGCAAATTACCCATTCTCTTGATGTACACTTGTTGTTTTGAGAGTTCATCGGCGTTGTCTTTCACAGGTACAGTCGTTGCATCGCTTCCGCTCGATACTGCCGAGTCATTGTTCGTCTTCGTCAGCGCATTTCCAGTGATCAGGGGAAAGGGATATCCTCCATCGTCTTCTGTAAGCGCTTCTTCTTCTTCTTTCTCGTATGGTTGTAGAGGAGGCTGCTGCTGTTGATGCTGTTGTTGATGGTGCTGATAATGTGGATATTGGAACTGATAAACTGGAGGGAACATCGGATTGTAACCACCGCCAGGTGTTCCAGCAGGAGTGGAAGGTCCATAGTAAATCGGCGCACCAGGAGCTGGATTCAAGTAGGGGTTGTAATGCGCTGATGGAGATGTCAGAACGCCTGGACTGAATGGACCTATACCAGGACTAAGCATCTCTGGGGCATAACCAGTTGGAGTCCCAGGTGGTAAAGCATTTCCATATGGTCCTAAAAAGAAACCAGGCATTGAGGGTGTCATCGGTGGTGCCCCACCTCTTGATGATGGGTGCTGCTGATTTGCTATAGAGAAAGGATTGTTTGAAAATGTAGCAGGTGGTAAAGAAATTTTACCTGGATGAGCTGCGTTTTTTGGGGATTTAGCTGCTTCGTCAATTTTACTGTCCAATCCATCCTGAATAGTCAGTTCATCCATCTTTTTAGAGGCTGCTAACGCAATCTCGTTTGTATCAGTCATCCGAGGCAATGGGTAACTAGGCGATGGTTGAGCAGCTACTGGTGGCGATAAAGGTGTTGGGAACGGTGATGTTTTGGTCACATCTGAGTTGGCTGAACCTGTCGAGAATCCAGAAGATGATCCAGCGGTTGCCGGTATTATACCTAGTCCAGAGTTAGGAGTTGACTGTGCGCTGTGCACGTTTGGATTCAACTGATTGGAAAAAGCATCGCTGGCTAATGAAAGTGGTCTTATCAACGATGAAGATCCTTGGGTGATACCCCTTTCAATATGAACCTTTAGCAGTCTGCCAGCGATTTCGGAGCCATCAAACATCTGTACTCCCTGTATGGCTTCTGACTCATCGGCGAATGTTATTATACCATATCCTTTGCTTGTTCCATCATGATTCGTTGCGACTTCTGCCCTGATCACATTACCAGCGGCTCTGAAAGTGTCCTTGAGTTCTTGCCATTGCATGTTGTAAGGTAAATTGCCCACAAAAATATTACGGTTTGTAAGCGATGGTGTGGATGCTGTTGCAAGGTTTGCTGGAGGTGATGAACCCAAGGCACGCAAAGTCCTTGCACTTGGAGCTGAAAAGCCTTTATTCAAGATAGGTTCAACCATAGCAGGATTTTCGACGTCCTGAAATTGCTGTGCGACGTTTGCGTAGCTTGAATTTGGTTTCTCGAGGGTGGCCGAATCCGGGAACATCCTCGGAGGTACATGAGCCCCGGACATCATACCATTGAACACAGGTTGATTCCAATGCTGGAGCATGTTTGGCTGGATAGCTCCCATGTACGGGCGTATCGTCTGGTTGTGAGGCTGGGATTGCGGGCCCGGCAGATCGTACTCTGGAGGTAAGCGGTCGGGCCTAACTTCGAGTGTTCTCGTCTGCCAGACGTAGCCATTGTAGAGCTCTATTGCTTTCGCTGCGTCAATCTCAGAGCCCATAAGAACGTTCCCATAGCCCTTGCTCCTGTTGTCCAAACCTAAGGCAACGTCTGCACGTAGAACTGTGCCAGCTTTCCTAAATAAATCCTTTAGATCCTGCCAGCGAACTCTGTATGGTAGCTGATAAGGCGATAAGATGATTTGCAGACTGCAATAAATGGAGACCTACGTTCCCGACGAAGAGGTGCGTTCTGCCATCCCTTCCAGACGCGCCTATGCCAGCACCTGGGGTGTTCATAGGGCTGTTTCTTAATAAATTAGCGGCCGCTTCCGTCGAGGCCGTAGCGCTGTGAATAACGTGTTCGATATCTACGTCCGTAATACCCCTCTATGCAGGTTTAATAGAAATCTATAGAAAGACTTAGACGCACCTTCAACCCAAAATTACTCGACATTCTCGTCGTCCTGAAGGAAGCTGCAGATCACTTCAACTCTCTCGAATAAACGATCATTTAGAAAATACGTGAGTTTGATTTATTAATAAAAAAAATAACTTCTGACTGTTGTTTACAGTATGCCACGCAACTCTCGCTCATCAGGAAGGTCATCTGCTAGCTCACAACCAAGGACAAGCTCTTTCGGTAACCAGCAAACTAGACAAGCCCATACAGCTGCTCCAGCATATGGTCAGCAGCGTTCAGGTGCGTAGATTTGCTCTCTATAACCCCTCTCACACAACACAGCATACGCTCAGCAACAAGCTCAGCCACAGCAAGCTCCAGCTGCTCAGCCAGCAGCCACTGGTGCCGGTGGTTCTTTCTTAGGTAACGTAGCATCCACTGCAGCAGGTGTATGTTTATATATCGTCATACTAGCAAATCTCACAATCCTGATAGGTTGCCGCCGGACATGGTCTTAGTAATATGCTTTTCGGTGGCTCTAGCAGCCACCAAGCCCCAGTAGAGCAACCGCCTGCACCTGTACAGCAGCAATCCGCTGAACAAAAACCTGTTTGTGAAACACAGGCTAAGGACTTCGTGACGTGCTTAAATGCGACGGGCGACGTCAACAGCTGCTCAGCGTTACTTGAAATGCTCAAGGTGAGTTTGGTGACTTTAATAACCGTCTCTAACTGTCATAGTCATGTCAAGCTGCTGCTGCACCATACTAGATAACCAATCATCAGGAATAGAGAATATAGTATATTATACATTAGTACTCCCCATTCATCGTTATTTATGACAGTTACTCGCTTGTATCTTGCTATTTCCGTCAAAGTGATATTTCGTAAAAACCCCCAGGAACAGCGCTTCCTTTGCGTGAATAGGGTGTACTAACTATATCCGTGCATCCTACACTCCCCCAGTTATCTTACTATTGTCACATATGCAGTGTGACTTTACAAAGTTCTGGTGTCATGCTGTCAAACACATTCCATTCCTTAAACTGGTATGTGTCAGAGGAGCTTTTAAGAGAAATGTCTAGCTTTTTTCTTTCTTCCCTTTCGATCAAATAAACAAGACAATCTAAACCATGTCTAGTCTCGAAACAAGATCAAGCAGCCCGAGCGATCGTTTCATAAAGCCGCATTTGCCTCCGCTGCAACACAAGAGACCTTCACCACCTGAATCTGACGAGAGTGACGATGATCAGTTCACTTTCAGCCCGGTCCATTCACCAGCACTCAACTCGGGAACTTTCACCAGTGGCCACAGAAAATTTGTGCTCACACCAGCACATGAGTTCTACTATAGACAGAAGATGCTATCATTATCTAGAGTAAGCTCATATATTTTTTATGTGTATCTTCTGACGATATCAGTCACAATTCGCTACAGTAAGCGACTACAGTGCGCATGTCACAGCAATAGTGCAGAAGCTTATGGCTGCTGGCGTACGCCTCACCGAGAGCGAAGCGACACACGCTTATATTCGAGGATTACCTGACGTTACCGCCCAAGCTGTCTTATCTTCGCTTGAGAACAACACGTCATTTACAAAAGTACAACTGCTCACCCACGCTGTCGAAGAAGCTCGCTCGTCTGCCGTAATGGCTGGCCAATATGCAGCTGAGCAAGCGACCGAACCAGTACAAAACAATAGAAAGACAACTGCATCACATCGCAGAGTGAGATATAGATCGCACTCAGTCACAACGCAGCCTACATCGAATCACCTCATGACAGCTTTAACGTCGACGCCGCAAACTACCACAATGTCAAGGCCACGTTCAATTGCCTTCCCACGGGCACACAGACCTAGTATCTCTAATGTTAATGACATATTTGACAATGATAAGACACCACAAGCCGGAACGTCGTTGCCAAAATTCACTCCACTCAGTCCACCTTCAGAATCACTCCTGAGTCAGACAGAAAAACTTAGTCTATGTTCGCCGACGAGACATAAGAGAACTGTACAGCGCAGTTCTCCTTACGCTTCCCCAACTAAGCGCTCGCCAGTCAAGCGTGAAGGCCCATTTGGATTAGGATTGGGTATCTAGAAATAGATCAGAATTGCCCACTACACTTTTTAGGATCTCGGATGTAACATTACCAACATTACCAATAGTACGAACATTTTCAACAACTATGTTTTATTTTCTCTCATTTTTGCTCACGATATTCTCTACTCATGACATGTTTTTCTTTTTTGTATTACCAAATATATAATAGAAATCTTAAATAAGAACAAGAGATGCTAATCCGACTAATGCGAGAGCTACCATTGAAATGCTTACTTGGGTTACGCGTGAGGAATCGTCATTGTTTGAACTGTTGTTTGAGCTACCAGTTGGCTTTGCGTTCGCTGTGCTTGGAATTGTTGCAGATGGATCTGGATATTGGCTTCCCTTCGGCTTGATCTCAAATTCCTCCGATTGAGCGTATTCTTTGTTTTGGTCTGTCGGATCTGCGAAGACAAGGTAATAGCCTTTACCGGCGTCGAGGTTGACACCAGCATTATTGTCAACTTGGTATGAACCACGCTCGGAATCTACGATTCCGGTTACTGCCGCTTGCCTGTATCACTTGTTAAACGACACTCATTGTATTCTAAAACACTCACTTTGAAGGCAAGACTTTTTCATCATCGTTTTTTATAATAACGATGAATTGATCTGGATCCTGAAAGATATTATTAATTAACCACGCGTTTGCTTTTACACTCACAGATGCACTCGATTTCCAAGCGAATGTCTGAGACTCTGAGGCGATCCACCAATTGTTCTTGTTTGGTACGGTAATTGTGAATTTTGCTAATGATGTGCAAGTGATTGCCAAGATTGTAAGGACCGTGAATAGCGTGAATTGCATTTGATATCGTCTTTAATGAGCGTGAGTGTGAGTTGTTTTATAATATAACTATTTAACGTGATATATATAAAGGAAAAGAGATCTAGAATTCAATGTTTTATAATAAATTCGAATTTTAGTTCAAATCTTCAAATATAGTCTTATGCATACCGATCAGCAAGCAGGCGTTTGGTATGTGAACTTAAAGTGATAATGCATTAATAAAAAGTAAAGAGAAATACCGTAAAGATAAGCTGAAGGGTTTACATAGCCAACTGAGCCTGTAACTGTCTGAGTTCCTCATCCTCGTCATCTTCCTGGCTCTGTGCTGCTGGAGTGGACTGGCTAGCTGTAGCTGGTATAGAAGCTGTTGCTTGAGGTCCTGCAGCCACTGGGGCATGCACAGGAGCTCTCTCTGCGCCCAAGAGCCTATTATTGAGCTCATCCTGCTCAAGTTGCTCAAGCTCGTCATTCAACTCATCCTCGTCGACAGGATCGTGATGTACAGGATTCGAAATCGCGTCTGAGATTTCATTCGTGAGATCCATCTGCTCACGGATGCTGTCCATCGTGGAGTCGACTTTGTCGATATTAAGATTCCCGTGTATAGATTTCAATGCGTCTGAGCCCTTCTTCATTGCGGTTATCGTCTCAAGGTTCATATTCGCCGATTCCAATGCATTCACTTGCGACTCTAATGTCAGCCTCGTACCCGCTATTCTATCGAGTTCACCCTCGAAGGCCTTCTTCTGACGGAGAGCAGCTGTGGCCACTGTATCGTTGTGTCAGTAATGATGTACTCATATGAGCTAGACGTACGTCGCTTGTTCGATGTAGCGTTAGCTTTCGCCTTCTTGAGCTCCTCTTCTATCTTTTTATTCAGATGCTCCTCCTTCTTATCGAGCATCAAAAGCTGTGATCTGAGCCCGACTATCGCATCTCTAGCACTCCCCCTATTATCCTTCTTGCCTAGAGGGAGTTAGAAATAATAAAATAAACTCCAATTGCTGCTTACCAACTATCCATGACATCCACGAGCTCATTTTTGTTTTTCGTACTTGACTGTATTTGGTGAAAGGGAAATCGCTTCTTGATTGTTATCACGACGGCGACGCGATAGAAACGCGTGCCGATATAAAATATACCAGAGATGGACGCAAATAAGTGTCATATAGAGGTAAATATACACCATACCAGCTGCCATCTCTCACCATCTCCAGTCTATCGTGATACACGGTTTTAAAAGTTACAGAGATCAGACGATCGTTAAGCCATTTTCACCAGGCCATAATGTCGTAGTAGGTAGGAACGGCTCCGGTAAATCAAACTTCTTCTCTGCCATTCGTTTCGTTTTGTCAGACGCCTACACTTCACTATCGCGAGAAGAACGACAAGCGCTGTTGCACGATGGTACATCCTCCTCAGCTACTCTCTCGGCTTTTGTCGAAATCGTATTCGCAAATCCAGACGGTCGATTCCCAACTGGAAAACCACAAGTCGTGCTCCGTCGAACAATTGGTTTGAAGAAGGATGAGTACTCACTTGATAGAAAGACAGTTAGCAAGGGTGATGTCGTCAACTTGCTAGAGTCTGCTGGCTTTTCGCGCTCAAATCCCTACTATATTGTTCCACAGGGTAGAATATCATCACTTACCAATGCGAAAGATAGTGAGCGTCTTCAATTACTCAAGGAAGTAGCAGGTACACGCGTATATGAATCTAAAAGGACTGAATCACTCAAAATTATGCAAGAAACAAACGCAAAACGCGAAAAAATTGTCGAAACATTGACATCATTAGAAGCACGTCTGAGTGAATTAGACCACGAAAAGGAAGAACTTCGCGAATTCCAAGAAAAAGATCGCGAACGTCGTTGTATTGAGTATTCACTTTATCAACAAGAGTTAGATTCTGTTCTGGCAGCACTTGATAAACTTAAAAAAGATTATGAATCTGATTTGGTTGAAGCATCAAAACGCACAAATGATGTCCAAGAAAGAGACATGAAATTACAGTCGCTGGAATCAACGATAAATGGCATTGAGCAATCACAATCACAATCTCTCATCGATAAGCAGCAAGCGACAGATGAGCTTGCTGAGCTCTATAAAACACGTACACAGTTAGAATTAGCTATTGAGGATGCCAGAGACGCTGGTGAAGGTTCCACATCTAGGCGTGACGCACTCACAGCTGAACTCAGAGAGCTCGAGCAGAATATCAGAACTTTCGAGAGTGAACTCGAGGAACTAACTGCCAATTGGGAAGAAAAAGTACAAAAGGAGTCAGAATTGAAGAGAGCTTTAGATGACACAACAGTCCGTCTTACTGCCTTATACGCCAAGCAAGCCCGCGCTTCTCAATTCAGCAGCAAGGAAGAGCGCGATGAATACCTCAAAGCTGAAGTGAAATCCCTCGAGGGTACAATTGCAACTCGTCAGCAAGAAGTCAACAACTATACCACCGAACAGGAAGCAATTTATGAACGTATAGCTGACTATGAGAAACGTATCGAGTCGATAAACTCGCAAAAAGACCAACGAGATGAGGAAGTAGACAGTGCTAAAAACGAGCTCGTCAATTCTAAACGTCAGCGTGTAGAATTACTCGATAATCGTAAGGAATTGTGGAGAGAAGAATCGAAAATCGAGCAGACTCTAGCTTGGGAGAAAGAACAAAAAACTAAAGCAGAGTATATCTTCCACAGAACGATGGATAAAGACACAGCTAATGGTTTGAAAGCCGTTGACACTATCACTAGAAGATTAAACTTAAATGGAGTTTACGGTCCATTGTTCACGTTATTTGAAGTGCCTGATGAATTCAAAGCTGCGGCTGAGATAACAGCAAATACATCACTTTTTCACGTTGTTGTTGACAATGATGCGACAGCTCAACAAATACTGAACGTAATGGTCAAAGAGCGCCTGGGTAGAATAACATTTATGCCCCTAAACAGACTGAAACCAAGCCATTTCGATTACCCAGAAGCAGATGATGCTATTCCACTGATTGAGCAGCTTACATTCAATCAAGATCTCTTACCTGCGTTCAAGCAAGTATTTGGCAGAACAATAGTCTGTCCTGATTTGCATGTTGCTGGTCGCTACGCGCGTAGTTATGGCTTGAATGCTACTACTATAGATGGTGATGTTGCAGAACGCAGGGGTACACTCTCTGGTGGTTTCCATGACCGTTCGAGGAGCCGTTTGGATGCGGTAAGGCAGCTCATGGAATGGGTCAACAGGGTGTCATCATCTGAGTCTAAATCCATTGATATCAAAGAACGATTAACCACATTAGATCAAGAGATTAATCAACTTGCTTCTTCTTACACTCGTGCCGAATCTAAATTGATGTCAATTAGATCGAGAGATGAACCACTTGTTCTCGAGTTGGAAAGTCACGAGCAGGATAAAGTCAAATTACAACATCAGATCCGTCAATTGAAGCGGGAAAAGGACGAAAACGACAGTGATATCGAAGACATGCGCACTCAAATTTCTGTCTACAAGGAGGAACTTCAAGAGGAGATGTCTGAGAGACTCACTGAGGAGGAAGAGGAGAGATTGAAAGTACAATCGCATGAACAAGTCGAACTGAAGGAGAAACTTGCTGCTCAAACGGCTGAGACGACTGACGTTGAGAGCCGCAAGGAGCTACTCGAAGTTGAGATTAACGAAAATCTCCGCAGGAATAGGACACTCATTGAATCTCGATTGAGGAAGATGGAAGATGGTGCAACAGACAATAGCGATCAAGATGAGAGCTCCCGACAGGCTGAATTGGATTCAACGACGCGTCGCATCAGTAAATTACAAAAACAACTCGCGAGAATCGAAGATGACCTCAACAACTACGACAATGAGATTAAGAATACAAAGAACCGCATTGACGAAATCCAAAGTGAACAAGATAGCCAAAACCGCTCTATAGGCAAGCAAGCAAAGAGTGTAGAGAGGTATCACGCTAAGACTAAGACATTACAATCACGAAGAATGGAGTTCCAGAGGAATATTAGAGATCTCGGTGTACTCCCAGAAGAAGCTTTCTCGAGGTATACCAACACCTCATCCGAGAGGCTTCTCAAGCAATTGTCGAAAGTTAGGAAGGCCCTCAGCGGTTATTCACATGTAAACAAGAAGGCTGTCGAGCAGTTCACGACGTTCACTGAGCAAAGAGACGAACTTATACAGAGACGTGATGAGCAAGACCAAGGTGCAGATAGTATTCAGGAGCTTATTCTCCACCTCGATCAGCGTAAAGATGAAGCCATTGAGCGTACTTTTAAACAAGTATCTAAGTATTTCAGTGAGGTATTCGAAAAGCTTGTTCCTGCTGGGCATGGTAAGCTTGTGATGCAGAAGAGGATCCAAGGTGGTGATGACGTGGGTGTTGATAATTATTTGTTCTATAACTAACAACCTGTTAAGGAATCATCGGATGAGGATGAAGAGAGAAGCACAACTGATAACTACACCGGTGTATCAATCAAAGTATGTTAAATGCTCTACTTTGAATTATCTCTAAGCACTCTATAGGTTTCCTTCACATCAAAAACCGATGAAGGTGTACGAATCGCCCAGTTATCAGGAGGACAGAAAGCTGTTGTTGCATTAGCAACCGTTTTCGCAATCCAACGTACTGATCCAGCACCATTCTATCTCTTTGATGAGATTGACGCAGCTCTCGACGCACAATACAGATCATCAGTCGCGTCCATAATCAGTGAACTGTCTCAATCTGCTCAGTTCATCACAACTACTTTCAGACCAGAGCAGATAAGCGTAGCAGACAGCGTAAGTAGTTTGAGATAACGTGGATTCATTATTAACATATTGTACAGTTTTACGGTGTAATGTTCACCAATCAGAAGATATCAACGATCACTCCAATTAGAAGAGAAGACGCTCAAGAGTTTGTTACTACTGAAACAACAGGTACGGGTTAGTTAGATTTTGTCAGCCAAGCCTCTATCCTTTAGTTTTCTATCCAACACAGATTCAATTGGGCAGCTATCTATTTTCTCCTGAGTATTTTTGTAATGATTACCACAGCAGATGTATAATTGATCGATAATCTGGTTATGTGAGGGTTGATTTTGTATCGTATATCGATAAACTCACGTTCTCACATTTCGATTGTTGATAGTCATTCTTCATTAAACATCCTTGGAGTTTGCACGCTTTGGGTGGGTGAGCATTCAGTCAAAGGTGCTGGAAAAGACAAACCAAGGTGATGGCAAGCGTCTGGCTTCTATTACAAGGATAAGAGGAGTGAATCGTTAGTTAAAATTCTGCCCACGTCAGTCATTTTTAAGAGTTCTTTCTTCAGCGCTAACAGCGAAGACGGATATAATGTCAGGTGGGTCTAAAATAGAGAAATAAAGAAAATAAGTAATAAAATACAGGACAAATAGTCTACGTTGACGAATTGGCTACAGTTGAACAGCCTTCCGGTACACCAAACCAGCCATATAAATCAGTCGTCGACGTACTCACAGAGACACCAGACGCTCAACTATACGTCCTTAAAAAGCCAGAAGAGGGTCAACCACCTGTCAAGGCAGTTAAAGAGCGTACAAACATTGACTACGTTCCAATTTCAGGCGCTGCCTTGAAAAAAGCAAAGAAGACAGTTGAAGTTAATGCGAAAAACGCTGCTAAGAAAGCACAAAACAAGGAAAGATTAGAAAAGGAAGAAGCCGAGAGAGCGGAGAGAGAAGCAAAGCGTATTGAGGAAGCAAAGAAAGTTGTACTCACTTTAGACGAGTCACTTCCAACACCAACAAAGGTAAAAGCATACCAATTAGAAAAGCACCGCGACCAACGCATCAAGATCTCCGGTTGGGTCCACAGACTTAGAGCCCAAAAGGGTATGACATTCATCATTCTCCGTGACGGCACAGGATACCTCCAAGTAGTTTTGACTGGAAAGTGTACAGAAACATACGACGCACTCACATTATCTGTTGAGTCAACAGTCTCTATCGTTGGTACACTCAAGGCTGTCAAGGAAGGTCAACAAGCACCAGGTAACCATGAGTTAGTCGCTGATTACTGGGAAGTCATGAGCAAAGCTCCATCCGGTGATGAAGCATTCAACAACAAAGTCTCAAAAGACTCAGACCCTTCAATACAAGCAGACTTGAGACATTTGGTTTTGCGTGGTGAAACAGCCTCCAACATTATGAAAGCCAGAGCAGCAGTTCTCAAGTACTTCAGAGAAGCATTCGATTCTCAACATGTTACCGAAGTCACACCACCATGTATGGTCCAAACTCAAGTCGAGGGTGGTGCAACATTATTTAAGTTCGATTACTACGGTACACCAGCATTCTTGACACAATCATCTCAATTGTATTTGGAAACCTGTTTAGCTAGTATAGGTGATGTCTACTGTATTCAAGAATCATTCAGAGCTGAAAAATCATTAACACGTCGCCACTTGTCTGAGTACACTCACTTGGAAGCTGAATTGGCGTTTATTGATTTCAATGATCTTCTCAGCCACATTGAAGAAGTTATTTGCATGGTTATTGACAAATTACTTGCTGATCCTAAAATCTCAGAAATCGTTTACAAATTAAACCCAGGTTTCGTCAAGCCTTCACGCCCATTCATGAGACTTGACTACAAGGATGCTATCAAGTGGTTGCAAGACAACAACATCCTCAAGCAAAACGAAGATGAAAATGGTGACAAAATCTTCAATGCTGATGGAACACCACAAATGTCTGAACACCAAGTCGGTGACGATATTGCTGAAGCTGCTGAGAGAAGAATGGTTGACACACTCAACGTTCCTGTCTTCTTGACTGGCTTCCCAAGAGACATTAAGGCATTCTACATGAAAAAGGTCCCAGGTGATGAAGGTTTCACTGAAGCTGTCGACTTGCTTATGCCAAACGTTGGTGAAATTGTCGGTGGTTCAATGCGTATTGATGACTATCAAGAACTTATGGAGGCCTACAAGCATGAAGGTATTGATCCAGCTCCATACTACTGGTACACCGAACAAAGGTTATGGGGTTCAAACCAATCTGGTGGTTACGGTTTAGGTGTTGAAAGGTTGTTAGCATGGTTGTTAAACAGATTCACAGTCAGAGATTGTTCATTGTACCCAAGGTGAGTATCTTTTAACTCGTTATTGTTTCACTAACGGTCATCGCAGATACACGGGACGTTGCACACCATAGAGTGCTCACTTCTGTTACTCTTTTTTTATCTATTATCTGCTCTATTTGTCCTAATATGTATAGATGTTTCATCGTCAGTTTACTTTTTTGGTACAATCTCTATAAGTCTACTCGGGATGCCTTTGCTCTTGAGGAGATCAATGATGATTTTGATTTTGTCTCCTTGGACGATGACTTCCAATTCTTTTGGGTTGTTTTGCATAGGACCAGCTGATTGTTTGTTAGAAATGTCAACTTGCGGCAATAAAACTCACTCGTGGTGCTACTAGCGCAAATAACCTTCAATTCATTCGCCAAATCATCCAATTTTAATTCAAACTCTTTGAATGGACCAGAAAGATGACTTGTGACCTTACGACCCTGACGTTGCTTGATTTGGAGTGCGAAATTGTTGATGTGGCCTTTAATCAATCTGCTATTTGTGCCATTAGTCAGTCTAGTGAATGGCTGCATGTGCTGAACGAGTCTTCCAGTTACTTCCTGACGTGGAACAAAGTCAACATCATCGTAGGTAATCTTACCCTTTTTCTGGTTTGCTGGTTTAGCATAGAGGGCACTAGCTAAGATGTCATTTTGCTTTCCGAGCACATAGGCATGATCAGCTGGATGAATGAGGTTATGGGACTCAATGAAGTCGTTGGAAGCAGCGCGTAGCTCGCTAGACGTGTAATATTCGTCAGGGTCTACACCAGCATGCGCGAGCCAATCGCGGACTACGCCCTTAGCGAGGTAGACATCTTCCACAAGATATCCAGTGCGTGTCTCACTTGGCAATGATTCCTGTTTGCTTCGCTTCTCGACTTGCTTTTCAGCTACGGCGAGTGTTTTGTGACCTCTCCAGCCTTTTACTAAGGGATGGGTATTATTCAACCTCGTTATGATCACGTTTGACTTCTGCTCCTTAAAAGAGAGCAAATCGTCCTTCTCCATAGCCTTGAGGAACTTTGTCGCCTTCTTAAACGAGCTGCTCTTCAAATCTGTCAAACCAGGGTCAACTCTTGATGAACGACTAGGGAGGACGTGAGCGGATAAGAGCGTCGACGCTTGCATTGGTAGCTCAGCATCCTTTAAAGACGTCGTAATGGCATGTACCAGTGCATTCTTGAGTATATCATCGACTTCTTTGACTGATAGTTGGACATTCTGGTAATCACGGTCGTCTTTCACATCCAAATTGTCGACCTGAGGTGTCAGTGTCTCGACAGGGCCGTCGGCTTCATCCTCACTATCGTCGAAATGACCATCTTGTCTCCCTCCCTCTGGTATATCCTTTGGTTGGCTTCCAGCAAGCCATAAGGCATCATTGATAGAGTGTGAGATCAGAACAGCTTTTCCAGTTGCGTCCAGTGTCATTCTAGAAGTTGGTATTGCTGTTTTTCCAACGCATACGGGCGCTAGATTTGGGCCATGCTCTGCTATAGCGACTAATTCACCTTCCTTAACGTCAGGAAGTTGAGAAGGGTTAGATTTGAGGGCAATTCCGGGTGCCATGAGATCTGCACCGGTTGATATCCTTATTACTGCATTAGAGTAGCTGGTTTATGAGATAGTAACCCACTTATCAATAACAAATGACCATGTCGTAATAACGGGCAATAACGAAGGTTTCTTAAAGAGGGTGTATACTGTACCGTCTTAGGTGATATATTAACAATAGTAATGCACTCACCAGATGGAATAAGTTCATCTTCAGATTTGCCTACTGTGTACCACAAAGGGTCGTTATTCTGAGCACTATATACAAGCTTGAGAGCCTGTGAGTATTATTGGGCCACTAAATAACGATACGCACGCCATTCTCATCGTTATATGTCTTTATTTTCATCGAGCTGACGACATCCGGTACTAGCAATTTAGCGTCGTCGTCATTCAATTGGAAACGCTCCTGTATTTTAGATCTCAGTTTCTTTCTATCAGAGTTCTTGAGCGTCGTCTGTGGTTTAGCAGAGAATGCTTTCTTAAATGACATCAAGGTTCTAAAGATACATAATAGATACAATAAAGTACACGCTTATTGGCCGAAACCGTAGAGTATTCTACCCTGTCTCTTGAGAGCGTAGACGACGTCGAGTGCAGTCACAGTCTTTCTCTTTGCGTGTTCTGTGTAGGTGACAGAGTCTCTGATGACATTTTCCAAGAAGACCTTGAGAACACCACGAGTTTCCTCATAGATTAGACCGGAGATACGCTTAACACCACCACGACGCGCTAGACGGCGTATAGCTGGTTTGGTGATACCCTAGATGGTTGTGAGAGATGACGAGAAACAGCCATCGACTCACTTGTATGTTATCTCTCAGAATCTTACGGTGGCGCTTAGCACCTCCTTTCCCGAGACCTTTGCCGCCTTTACCTCGACCTGACATCCTGTATGTTTATCTTCAAGAGATAGCAGGCCTCAATGATGGCAATAACCAAAAGCGGTAAGTTAGTCATTATTCTTAATAGATATCTACCATTATAGGAAATATCTCAGTCACTCGGTCGGCGTCACTCTGACGTCGATTCGTTCTTACTAAGAAATCTAGTTTTCTATAGTACAATCAAGGTCAATTTCCTTTAAATTTCTTTATAAAACGTACTTATATCCTGCCTACCTACATAGAAGCATCATCTCACCCCTGATACAGCACATCTCCCAGATCTCATCTACAGAAGGAGATCTCTTGAATTTATAGTAGAAATGATGGATCCTCTATCATTGAGTGTCAATCTATCACCTGTGCGTTTATATCTCTTATATATCATTCTCTAATCCTCCCAGGTCGTTCTCAGAACTCTCGTACGACATCTCATCAAGAAGCGCAACAAAGAGGATAAGCGTGAAGTGGATGATCCAAATGATGAGTATGCATTTGACCAGGTTTGTTTCTTTTATATCTTCGCTATTACGCTGACATCAGTAGACATTTAAGCTAACGAGAGCTTTCCTCGATATTGCAATGAATGTGGGCGATATATTTAAGGTAGTATTATTTCTAACACATAGTAAAGCACCCCGTCGAAGATCTTCAGAATCTGGGATCCACATATGTTCCACCACCATTTTGGGTGCACAATGTACCTGTAACAGTCCCGATGAGCATTTGCAATGATGCGGCCGAGCACCTTATCAAAGCATTTGGTGGTGAGGAGCCTATGCGTGCCGCTGTCGGCGGCACACGCTGGTGGCAAGTCCGACCAACTGCCGGACTACCAGCCGAGTGGATATGTATGAAAAGTGATAGGAAGCTGGCTACTAGGCATAACAAACTAAAAGTACGCGAGCAGCCAAAGGATCCACTCACCCCACAATTTTTTCAAGACATCGAGGGTCTACCCCGCACAATTCTCTATGTTCATGGTGGTGCATACTACTGGGGATCTATAAACACCCACAGATATTTAATCTGGCGTATGGCACGCAAAATGCGCGGAAAAGGTACTTCCTTATTCTTTTTGGTAAAATCTTTACTGACATTACACAAGCATTCGCGGTCAGCTATAGATTATCACCACAATATGGATTCCCTTGTGCGCTGCATGATGTTTTAAGCGCGTACCTATATCTCCTTTATCCACCCGAAGGTGCACCACATAAGGCTGTCGATCCAGCAAACTTGATTTTCGCAGGTGACAGTGCTGGTGGTGGACTCCTACTTTCATTATTACTCATTATACGTGACTTAGGGCTACCACTTCCTGCTGGTTCAATCCATATCTCCCCATGGTGTGACCTCTCGCACAGTTTCCCATCAGTGCTTCAAAACTACGAGACGGATGTAATACCTAAGTATGGATTCGTGCACAAACCTTCAACACTATGGCCACCACCAAGCGAAGATCTCTTACAAAGAACACGCGAGCACATTAAATCATCGACGCTGAGATCCACTTCCCCTCTAAAGGGTCTCGGTACAGCAGCGTCCCACAAAGCTGAGAAAGGGCGGAGGAAAGAAGAAACAAATGCTGCAATCAACGCTGAGCATGGTCGTGAGAGAATGGATATTCCTCGAGAAGTGCCTACAGTCGACATAAATGGCAAAACAGTGGAACTCAAAGGACAAATACAGATGTATGCAACAAACGAGCAAGTTGGTCATCCTTACGTGTCGCCAGTATTAGCCCATCTGGGCGGTCTTTGTCCATTGTTCATCATGGCTAGCGACGGCGAGCTCCTTCGGGATGAAGCAATATATGTCGCCCACAAAGCTGCCCGTCCTGACGAATTCGAGTATAAAGAGGACGCTAAACGTCGGTTACCAAGTATGAACGGAATAGAAGGTCGATACGGTCCAACGAAAGTACATTTACAGGTATGGTTTTTTTCTTATGAGTGAAAGCACATATCTAACCTGCTCTAGGCATATGACAAAATGTGTCACGATCTCCCGCTTTTCAGCATGGTCACGCCAGCAAAATACGCATATAGAGCTATGGCGGCGTTCTGCTTCCACGTAACGAAAGATAAGGCTGCACAGCCATCACCTGCAATCAAACCAGCACACAATGGTATGACAATGTCAGACTTTGAGTTAGACAATCCGCTGGAAATGCCACCGACGCCATCATCAGGATTAGCATCACCAACAAAGCTGCCAGAAGCTAAGTCACCGCGGAGAAAGTTCTCCTTGTTAGGATTAAGAAATGAGGGTGCAGGGTCAAGTGATATGAGCAGTCCAGTCACTTCAAATGGCTCTCAAGACAATGCGCCATCGAGTGATGCAGAGAGACCGATAAAAGCAGGTCCAGGTACGGCTGGACATATAGCAGTCTACGACGAAGCCACTGCTTTCAAAGATGGCAACATGATTAGAGAGAGAGTCTCCATGGGTGGGGTAACAAGACCAATGGAACCACCAGAAGAGTTAGAGTATCTCCGTATGTCTGTAAACGAAGTGGGAGTTTTCAAACCGGACGCAGTGAAGCGCTATATAGAAGGAATGGAAAGCTGGAACACCAAGTTCAAACATGCAGCTAAGAACGTTGAAAGGCAGCGCGAAAAGAGTCTCAGAGAGTCACATATACATGCTGAAAAGATGATGAAAGAGAATGATGACATATTTGACATTCCTGAAGTGACATGGCGTTGGCAGTGGGCGCTTGAGAATGAGAAGCCACCACCAGCGAGCATTGTTGCTCGAAGAGACACTCAGGAAGCCCGTAGATTGGTAGAGCTCGTTGATAAAGTTGACAACAAGCACGCAAGTAAGACTGTCAACCTGTGGACATTGATAGTACACCTCCTTAGTCCGCAGAAGAGTAAATATGGCGTCAATGATGAAGATGAAGTTGGGCCATGGACGAGAGATATCGAAGAGCTAAAGAAGAAGTATCAGACGGATGAAAAGGGTGAGGTAATACCGGAGGAAGTTAGTGCAGACGAGGAGAACAACTTTGACAACAAGAAAGAGGCATGGATGAAGAGCCAAGTGAAAGACGAATGAAATGTGTATTTTTAGCATATGTAGATGGTATTAATGTAATTAGATCTCATAAATGTCAGAAAGATAGTAGAGTGATGATGAAAAAACTGTATATAAGAAAGAAAGAATAGAGAAAGCTAATGTAGAAATAAATGATAAAGTAATAAAAAAGAAAAAAACCAAGAAATTTCTAATAAACTTCTTAGGAAATTACCATCACGATGGCTTCGACGTCTCAAACGTGAGTGATAAGTAGAGAATAAGATATAGAGCGTATTAAAAGGAATACAGACAAGAATCTGAATGGAAAAACCAAATAAGAGCACCGCCAAAGGATTTACGCCCGCAAACTGAAGTGAGAAAGCGTGAAAGATAATGTTCACACAAATTAACAGCCTCTAGGATGTTACAAATACAAAAGGTGGAGAATGGGAAGATTTTGGACTCAGAAGAGAATTATTAATGGGTATTTTTGAAGCAGGTGTGAGTGAGAATTACTCAGCTGTCATTGATTTACTCAGAAATTTAGTTTGAAAAACCATCACCTATACAGGAGGAAGCTATTCCATCAGCTATAGAAGGCAGGGATATTTTAGCAAGAGCAAAAAATGGTACAGGTAAAACTGCATCATTCGTCATTCCATCTTTAGAGAAGATAAACGTACAGAAACCAAAAATTCAAGCTTTGCTATTAGTACCTACTAGAGAGTTGGCTTTGCAAACCTCTCAAGTATGCAAAACATTAGGCAAACATTTAGGTATACAAGTCATGGTTACCACAGGTGGTACTACTTTAAGGGATGATATTATGAGATTAGCCGACCCAGTTCACATTTTAGTTGGTACACCAGGTAGAATATTAGATTTGGCAAGTAAAGGAGTTGCCAACCTTGAAGAATGTCCAACATTCGTTATGGACGAAGCAGATAAATTATTATCACCAGAGTTTACCCCAGTTATGGAACAATTGTTAGGTCATTTACCTTCATCTAGACAAGTTATGTTGTTCTCCGCAACATTCCCATTAATTGTTAAAGACTTTAAAGAAAAACATATGAGAAACCCTCACGAAATTAACCTAATGGATGAATTGACACTTAGAGGTATCACACAATATTACGCTTTCGTTGAAGAGAGACAAAAAGTTCACTGTTTGAACACTTTATTCTCAAAATTACAAATCAATCAATCAATTATTTTCTGTAATTCAACCAACAGAGTTGAATTGTTAGCAAAGAAGGTTACAGAATTGGGTTATTCTTGTTTCTTCTCTCATGCAAAGATGTTGCAGAGTGAGTTTAAAAAGCTTTTCTCTTAAAAAGAAAACTTACTAATAATTTTCATTAGGCCACAGAAATAGAGTATTTCACGATTTCAGATCAGGAGTTTGTCGTAATTTAGTTTGTTCAGATTTGTTGACACGTGGTATTGATATCCAGGCCGTCAACGTAGTTATAAACTTTGATTTCCCAAAGAACAGTGAAACATATTTGCACAGAATTGGTAGATCTGGTCGTTACGGTCACTTAGGTTTAGCAATAAATTTAATCACATATGAAGATAGATTTAGTTTATACAAAATTGAACAAGAATTAGGTACAGAGATACAACCAATTCCATCACAAATTGATAGGTCGCTTTACGTTGCACCAAACGCAAGTAATGAAGATGGTCAAATTCAACAATCACAACAACAAAACCAACAACAAAAAGGTTTACCTACATTACCACCTACACAACAAGTTATGAATGCATATGCACAACCACCACCACAACCAACATTTAACCAAAATCAACAACAGAATAACCACCATCAATACCAACAACGTAGTCATCGTGGTGGATACAACAATAATGGATACTACGGTAATTATCGTGGTAGAGGTGGACCACCACGTGGAGGAGTGCCTAGAGCTTAGATTCTTTTCTTTTGACTATTTCTTCAATCTGTGATATAGTTCTTCTCATTTTTTCAACTCATTTCCTTTAACGCTTTTCAACATGCTTTCTTTTTATTCAATATCTCCTTTTCTCAATTTAGTTACTTGAATCAGTAGTTATCTCAAACATCAAATCATTTGATTCACTAACACTTATCAAACAATCCGTCAGGACGGGATACTTTTACGTTATTAATATGAAAAGATATCCTTTTATTATTATATTTGCAAAATAAATGCAAATATCCACCAAACTAGCCAGATATTGAAAGCATTCAACATGCTTTTTACTTTAGTTAATCTAACCACCGCAAACGATTATCAACTAACCTTTAAACAAGCAAAACCCAACCGATTAACAATAATAACCGAGAAAATAAGAAATAAAAAACTATTTAAATTCAGATTGTATTTGTATCAATGCATTCAGATTCAATTTGAAATATACATATGTTTTAATAATTGCATTAGTAGTACATTGAAAGAATAAATATAAAGACATATTAGAGAATTATGTTTTCAACCTAAATAAATTGTAAGTATGTTCCTTTCAAAACAACACTAGCGTTGCTTATACAGAGTCAGACGTAGAAGATATAGACTCAGCATAGACGGTTCAAAGAGAACCAGTCAGAAAGCCATGCATATTTGATCTTAATCATCATCTTGTATAGCATATCTTGCTAGTTTAAGCTGTTAAACTCACACTAGAGGACGTTGTTAGTTTGAGTTGTAAGAAAAACGAGAGAAGAATCAGTTGAATCATTTAAGGACAAGCAGTCCGTCCACATATTCCCATAAGGAAATTGGATAATACATGCGTTTAAAGCATCATTATTCTCTCAAGTCAAATTCACTCACATCATAGTTCGTTTTGAAGGAAGGAATTAAGAGACAGAAAATTTAACAGCCATAAAATAATAAAAAAACATAAATTTATTACACATTTAATATTCAGTCACGTTCTTAATAGTTTAAATTGTATCCAAAAAGAATACTGCAATTGTAAAAAAAACCCTCTACTCTGTTTTGCTTTGAGTGTAATCCTAGTAGTTATTAGATAAAGACCAAACATCGAACAATGCCACTAACCTCCATTTCAGCATCTAAATCTTCAGCTGTCTTTGGAGTTCTCTTTTCCGGCTTTGGTCCACGCTTCTTGGCTGGTTTCCTAACAATCCTGTTAATTGATCGCTCCTCAAATCAATTGCCAATAACTGGATTTATTGAGATTGAAGAACTAAATCCCCAAAAATCCAATAACGAGCAATTTCAAAATATGAGACTCACTTGAGAGCCTTCTTCTTTGGTGCTGGTTTTTCGTTCACCTTTGGTGCCAATCTGTTGACTAATGAACTCTTATCTGCTGTTTCAACGACTATTTCAATCTTGATTGGTCTGTCTGTTGATTTTATTGAAAAAAGGAGCATACGTCAGTCAATTGTTCTTATATAAAGCACACATTATTTAGATAGTCTGTGTGATATCATTTATCCCATAATTGACTGACCGACTGACTGACTGTACTCGTTGCGCAATTATAAAGTGAGAAAGAATTGATAATTACTGGGTCATTGGCGAAGAATCAAAAGTCAAAGTTAAAGTAATCAATGCAAGGTATCAACTGCCTATCCAACTTGTGAGCTGGTGAGAATGATCTATCTACGTTGGTTCATAACCAAATTTAGCTACTACTAAGACAAGTTAGTCACTCTCAACTCTTAAGAGAGATGATCGATCAGATTATGCAAGACTGCACTATCCGCGTCAACTGACACATCAAGTCAGGTCACGTCGCGTCATCAGTATTTAAAATACTAGACCGACATTAGAAAAATGTCGTCAAAAATGTGAGCTAAAAAGCCAGTTGAACGCCGTAAGCTGTCAGTATTAGTAAATCCCCAACACAACTATCTAAATAATGTGTACTACGAAAAAGGTAAGACTAACTGTTGTCAATGAGGCGACCGTTAAAGTCATTATAAGCTTTGTTACCATCGCCTGGTCTCTTGAATCTGACCTGAGCGAAACCTTTTGAGTTTCCTTTTTGGTCGTAGCTGATGCTACATTCGCTAACTGGACCAATAGTGGTAGTCATCAATTCCTAACGAGATTTAGTGGAAGTTACTATAGCTAACTATTGACACACCCTCAAAGATTGATCATTTACATCGAGAGGGAGGTTTGAAACGATGATTTTCTTAGCGGTCTGTTCATTAATTGGAGCGCCTTGCTTAGTCTTTGGAACGACGCGACCGGCGACAGGTTTAGCACCTTGTGCAAGACGCTTTGAGCCACCTTGCTTTGGGCCGGCTGTGCGTTTGCGCTGTTGAGTTTGCTTACGGTTGCTACGTTGCTGCTGACGTTTTGCCTTGATAACGTCTTCGAGTGGTTGATCGATGTTCATAGATGACTGTATGGCGTTATAAATATATTTTCTAAACAATTTTACTATTTACTCACCATTTTATCGTTTCAGTTCTTGGAGGTATGAGTCCAAGAGATGGTGGCTTCACATTCGACGACGAAGATGAATAAAAATAAATTTAAATTAGAGAAATTTGATAAGGACAGCCTCTTAGAAGAATTCAAGCAGTCAGAGAATTTGGACTCTATTCATGATCCAAGTTGAGATCTCCTGTGCAATTTTTCTAACGCAGAGATGGCTAACTAGACTGTATAGATTTGTCTTTGAGATTGCAGAAGATATGCTTGCTCTTCAATTGCTGGCTCAATACTCGGAAGAACTACGAAACTGACAGGTTAACACTCGAGATCAACGACGGTCTCAAAGAAATCGAGCTCGAGCATGACAGGCAAGGTAATACAAATATTCTTATAATAATAATTACAATTTACGCTCATTTTCTTAGAAACTGAGCAGAAGAAACTAGTCGCTTTTATGAATCAAATCGAGGATGCGCTTAAAGTTCTCTAAATGTTCAAGTTACGAGGTGATGCGGGGCAGATGGTACTGTCTTCTGCTCTCGTGATTGCGTAGTTGAAATATCTGCAAGAAGTGCACCTCCTTTACGATTACGCTTACCACGTCTCATCACACCTCGTCTAGTAAATGATAGTCCCTTGAATCTATAATGCTGTTCACGTGTTAAAACATACACACTTCTCATAATCAACTCTTACCTTCTTATTCATGTAATAGAAAAGTACGCAATCTTGAACACTCTTGTTTGGGATTTTCTCCGCGATTTCAGCAAATGACTTTGGTGTGTCGACATATGCTTTCAAAAATATTTCCTTTTCATCTTCGCTCCAGAATTCAGATTCATGACTACGCTCGAAGTAGCTGATTGGATCCAATACTCTGGCATTCGCGTCATTATACGCGCAAGACCATCTATCGATCGAACTGAGCTCTTGATTGGGTATATGGGCTTGAGTTCTCTCCGCCTTAACGTGTGGATCCTTTTTATCAATCGCCTGTAATCTCTGCAACATCCGTGATAAAACTTTTTCATTCTCCATTTCCTCCTTACTATTCTCGTCAACGAGGTGTAATGGCTCTGCTTCTTGTACAGCTTTATCGAAAACTGAACTAGAATCTGTCACCTCCATCTCAGATGATTCTGCAGGTGGTGTAGGCGTAGCTTCCGCGACAACGTGTTGAGGTACCGCGGATGCAGGTTTTCGCGACATATTTGCATTCCTTCTATTTGTAAGCTCAACATGCACAACCGCGTCACCCCTTCTCGACCTTTTGTTAGGCATTTGTGGTGCTGATGCAATCTTGATATCCTTATTGCATCTAGCTTCCCAATCAATTTGTAATGTCATATAATCATCTTGTAAAGCCTCAATCTTTTGATTTCTTGCCTGGTTTCTGATTATCATATAGTCCCTCATCTTATCCTTAACTTTTTGATGATCTTCTAAAACTTGAGCTGTTATGGACTCAAATGATAGCATATTGCTATCTGTATATTCAAATCCTAACGGTTGAACAGGCTTATCAAGTAATTTCTCTTTATTGTCTTCTAAAATTGGCTCTGTCGGCTCGAATGATATTCCATCTATCTGCTTCTCCTTCACGGTGTAATTCACAAGTTGATCTAGATCATATAATGGCGTGCCATCAGGTGCATCAGATTCCACTCGTGCATTTTGTCGTAGTCCTGAGACTGTGTGTGGATTTAAAATGAAAGGGGCCATGATGGTGTCTCTTGACTAACAAACGAGTGAAGTGTAGTTATAAAATAAAAATTTAATTGGTAAATTGTTTATATATTAACTTTAATTTGTATTCAAATTTAATACGACACGTTAATTCAAGTCCCTAATCTCTGCTATCGATTTTAGACGGTAATGGAATGACGGAAATTATTACATTAAATGGGATATATAGTATTTTATATGCCAGCAAATTAGCTATTAGTAATTTTTTTAATCTCAATGGCTGTTTTCACGGATAGAGAAAAATTTAACGTTGACGAGGAATGTGCGACCTATGAGTCGAAATAAACTATAAAAATGGTTGGAATACAATCGAACATAGCTGTTTCACACTATAGGATCATTTAATTATGCACTTCATAATTGATAACGTATATGTCAGAGAACGAAGTAGGAAGAGGATGATTACGATCATGTGAGTACACGAAGAATGCGGATCGGAGAATAATAGACTAATCATGAACTGATTTCATGACAATATAATATTATTCGTGTGACTTATGTGGTAAGTACATGATGACGAAGTTGTCTTTATCATGCAATCTACGAGAGGGTAGTGTATGTAATAAAAGGAATACTCAAAAGTACATAAACCATGCACGTTTACAGTCGGACAAACATGCACCTATGTAAACTATCACTGGAGGAGAGCATCTTTGGATATTATTTTGTTCCTCAAATACTTAATCACGGAATTTGTAAAGCTGATAAATGAATGCAGCTATGTCTAAAGCTGATTACTGATCTGCTAAGTCATCATACCTGGTTACCAAAATTTGTACTCTAGATGTTTATATAGTCTTTCACTGTATATAGTAGTACATAATACGCTAACATCTCCTGGTTTTATCCGCTTTGTCCAATTTTCGGTCATAGCTAAGCGGCGTCAAAAGAGGAAGAGAGAAATTTGTAAAATAAAGAAAAGGATGGATTAATGAAACTATTAATAATATTACCGTAGTCTTTTGTAAGCTTATAGTCCCTCGTCATCTCTTTTTAGTCGACCATCACCACGAAATGGCTTTGAAGAGAATTAACAAAGAATTACTCGATTTAGGACGTGATCCACCTTCAAGTTGCTCAGCTGGTCCAACTGGAGACAACATGTTCAAGTACGTTCTTCTTTCCCCGATTTCGAGATTTTCTTAGACCACACACAGCTGGCAAGCAACTATTATGGGACCAGTAAGTGGCAATTTAAAGGTGGATGTTAATCCGGTAATATATATATAAACTCTATATTACAATTCATCTTGATATCCCCTTTTCTCTTCCATGCTCAGATTATTGACAGTTACATACAGTCCCAAAGCCCATATGATGGCGGTGTCTTCTTCTTGAACATCGTTTTCCCTACAGACTACCCATTCAAGCCACCAAAGGTTTCTTTCCAAACTAAAATTGTGAGCTCATCACATTTGTTCCGTGTACCTTCCTAATCTCAACTCAAGTACCATCCAAACATCAACGCAAATGGCTCAATCTGTCTTGACATTCTCAAGGATCAGGTGCGTAGTTTCTCTACATAGTCATTATATCCTTATCGAATTTTCTCGAACAGTGGTCACCTGCTTTAACGTGAGTTCACCCGCTATAGCGACCTATCGGAGGTATTGACTGTATCGCACCAGCATCTCCAAAGTTCTCCTTTCAATTTGTTCAATGCTTACCGATCCAAACGCGGATGACCCACTTTCACCAGAAATTGCTCACGTGAGTGCACGTATCTTGATTTATCTTGCATTTCTAACGATTACTTCAGCTTTACAAGGTTGACAGGTTTGTCTGATCCTCCTGTAGATTTGCCCCCATTGACGACTTATATAGACAGCGTTACGAAGCTACCGCTAAAGAATGGACCCGCAAGTACGCGATGTAAGCTAGATAAACGTACTACAAAATGACTACATTTTATAAAGATATTAAAGCATTCTTCCCCATCCATAAACACCCTTATCGAAGACACCTGGTTTGCATTGATTTGCGTTGTGTGGATGTGTGCTCTGTTAATGTATAGCCCAATTGTATAATTATGTAATCTGTAAGCTCTATACAGCCTATACATCTATATACCCCTGTATTACACCTTCGCTCTTCACATTCATTACGTGATTCAAACTACAATAAAGTAAAATCCCCGTTTAATCGCTTATGAGAGTGCGTTATATTGTTTATTGTCTATTATACGCGTCATAATAACGATCTACAGTGGGTATTTCAGGTTTAATCCCAATACTCAAGGATGCATCAAAGCCTAAGCATATTTCTGAATACAAGGGTCAAACTCTAGCTATAGATGCTTATGTTTTATTGCATCGCGGTGCATTCAGTTGTCCAGCTGAAATTGTCAAAGCTAGCTTAATACCTGATATCGATAAGCGTAATCTAGCAATATCTCAATTATCAACTAGATTTCTGAACTATGCCATATTTCAGATTAAAGCTATGATATCCATAAAAGTAAAACCATTCGTTGTATTCGATGGTGGTCCACTTGGTGCAAAGCAACATACAGAAACAAATAGAGACGAGTTAGTGATTCTTGAATATACAAAAGTGTACATCTAATAAGGATAATAGATCACGTGCTAAAAATCTCGAGATCGCACTCAAATTGGAATCACAGGGGAAGAAAACACAAGCAAGACAAGCGTTCAGCAAGTGTGTCGATATTACACCTAGGATGGCTTATGAACTTATAAAGGTTAGTATACGGTTTCTAGAAATTTTCTTTATCTAAAATCTATCAGGTTTTACTTTCACTAAAAGTCGATTACATCGTCGCACCCTATGAAGCTGATGCACAGATGTATCATCTCGAAAGACTCGGTATAGTCGATGGAATCATCACTGAAGACTCAGACTTATTAGTTTTTGGCGCTAAGAAGGTAAATGTCTTATTGTTTTCCTACCGTTTCTCACATTGTCAAGGTCATTTTCAAACTCAGGCAAGATGGTAGCTGTGATGAAGTCTCCCGAGATAGATTTGGGTTGGTTCGCATCGATGGAAAAGCTCTCTGTTCTGGAAAATGGACTGATGTTCATTTCCGTAGAATGGCAATGCTTAGCGGTTGTGATTATCGTGAGTATTAGATTTTTTCTCTGTTATCAAACTAACGAAGTCATTAGTTAAGAGTCTCCCTGGAGTTGGATTAAAGAAGGCTTTTGATGCTGTCAGACGTGGTGGTGAAACTTTTGATATGGCGAGTATTTTATTTCACAGTGATAATATAACTTACAAAAACGAAAGATTTTTATCTATTTCACTCACAATTATGAGAACAAAGTGAGAAAAGTACCCGAGGAATACAAGTTTAAGTTCAAGCTTGCAGATCTTGCTTTCCTACACCAGAGGATTTGGTGTCCAATAGAACGTAGAATTAAACCACTTAACCCACTTCCCGATGATTTAATTGGAAATGAAGAAATTAACGATTGGATCGGAAGTGATATGCCTGATGAATTAGCTGAGGGTATTGCTATGGGTGATGTATGTCCAGTTTCTAAGGAGCTTTTTATTAGCAGTGGAGCAACAGCAACATCTTACAAACCAATGTCAAACCATAACGCTATTGACGGAAAGCGACCACCTCAGAAGTCTTTGTTCGAGTTCTTTGAAAAGCGTCAGTAGTAGATAATTTCAAGAGCTCTAACTTACCACCAACGTAGGTCCTGCAGGAACAGGTAGTAATAGTGGAAGAAAGACTCTCACAAGAGCCATCGCTGAGAGCGACTTTTCTAAGAAATTACCATTATCAGCAAAGAAGGATACCCCACGAGCTCAAAAGGAGAACGTATGTTCGCCTTACTTCAGTGCAATAGCTGGTACCTCCAATCCAACAAAGAGAAAGTCGGATAAAGTTGAGACGCCACGTAAAGCACTCCCATCTAAGCAAAAGCCTGATGTTCAAGTAAGTTCGCCTATATCTATAGTAGAAGAGCTAGTATCTTCCCCAATATCTACTGTTCAGAAAGCAGTCGAATTTGATGATTATGAGGGGTTTGAAACTCCATCTAGAAGGGATAATGTAAAGAAACAAAGATTATCATCAGCGGATATATTCAGTCCTACTCAAAGACTTGAAAAGCAGCTGGATGATGCTGATAAATTAAAAGCTGAAGATAGCCTTTGTCGTGATTCACAAGATGAGGACGATGATGAAGTGGAGTATTTAGGTAACACATCAATAAAATCAACTGAGACTATTACGAAAAATTGGTGGGATCGTTTCTCATTTGACAAAAATAAGTTGTCTCAATCTCAGTCATCGGCTGCTACATCTATATCAATTACTTCATCACCACCGCCTGAAGAAGCAACACAGTCAACGCCTTTTTCATCATTCTCTACACATTCTCAACCTGAATCCACAATACCTAAATCCTCCAGTTATCGTAAACTCATGAACTTTGCATATCGTCCTTGAAAATTTTTATTTGATTAAATTAATTTAAATTAACCAAGCAATTGTATCAATTTTCAACTTATATAGCATACATTGACAGAAATAATATTATAATAGTCATCTCGTAATACTTTTCTATTCACTTTTATATCAATTGTGCTCCTCTATGTCATAGATATCGTTGATGTTTGATCTGCCGAAAATAAACTTAAGACTACACAAAATATTCCCTAAACTTGATCTAATCTAAAACATTGGTATTTCCGACGATAACACTCTTAATGTTGATTTCGCTCAACTGTTTCTTGGCTTTTGATAATGAAAACATGGCGCATATTTCTGAGCCCGAGGTTCGCTGTTATGAGCAAGCTGTTACACTGGACATGCCATTCAGTTTATTCTACATCGTTAAAACCAGTACATCAGGCAATCCCTTCAAGTCTTTTATCAAATAGTGTGTATGTCAGTGAAGACAAGGGAACAACTTAGATGGTTAAATCCGTATAATTTGAAGTAATCGTGCAGATGCAATGCTACTGCTTACACTTAGCTTAGTTTGATACCAAATATACTGACATAACGATAATGACAAATGCAAATTTTCCACTAAGATTGTGATATCTGATTAGGCATTTCATGACGATGTTTTGTTCAATAATGCCTTAACTTCCGTGTTAACCTTCAGCATATGGCTTTACTCACATCCTCTTCAAATTAGAATAAGGCCGGCATGCAATTGCTCATTTTCCTGTCGTCGTTGGTAAGACTTGCTGTGATATATATATATATATATATATATATATATATATATTACTTATAACTAAACTATTACTTA